ATTTTTTAATTTCTTTATTGATTAAGGTATCACATATTTGTCCTCATCCCCCCCATTCCCATCCCAAACCCCTCCCCAGGGATACCCCCACTCCCCTGTTGTCCGTGACCTCTGGTTAGGCTTAGATGCAAGTCCTTTGGTTGATCTCGCCCCCTTTCCCCCACCCTCCTCAGAACTATAGGTTTCTATCCAGTCTTTCTTCCGCGCTCTCACTCCCTCAGCTCTAACTGGGGGGGGGGGGGGGGGGGGGAGGACTTGTTGCCAGGGAAACCCCAGACCGCCCTAATGTCCGGGACGGGACGCGGCGCCCAGGAGCGCAGGCGCGGGGCAGGCGGGGCGGCGAGAGGGCGGAGGCGGGGATTGGTGGGATAGATTGCAATCTGGAAGCGGAAGTCCCCACCCACCCCGGCAGGAACTTCCGGCTCTGGTTGCTCCGGGCTTTCGCGGCCTGAGCGGGGCCAGCGGAGCCGGGATGGTCCTGCTGGAGAGCGAGCAGGTGAGCCGGGGGCCCCGGGGAGGGCGGTCGGGCCGAGCTCGGGGCGCTGTCTCCGGCGGCGGGAGGGGGCGGGCGCGGCGGGGGCGGGGCGGCCTGACGGGCCTGGTTTGTTGTTGCAGTTCCTGACGGAGCTGACCAGGCTCTTCCAGAAGTGCCGGCTGTCTGGCAGCGTGTTCATCACCCTCAAGAAGTGTGAGCAGCCGGCCGGGCGGGAGGGAGCGGGGGACCAGCGGGGCCCCAGCCTGGTGCCCGATGTCTGGGAATCCGAGTCAGCCCCGACTCATTCCCGCCTCCCCCCACTTCCCTGCGTGTCCGGGGCCCTTTCGGGGCAGAGGGACCGAAGACTATCGGGGCGGGCGCGGGTGCGGTCCGCAGCGCCTAGCAACGTTAGCGGGTCCCGGATGTCCCGGCTCTTCTCCTTGTCAAGGATCCCAAACCCACCCCTGATAGCGGGAATAGCAAGTCGTTTTCCAGGTTTTGTCCAAACTTGAGACGATAAGAGAAGGTGGTTAACGGAACTAGAGCAGTGCAGGTGGATTAGGGGTCCTCTTCTCTTCCTTCCCTACTTTTAGCTTCTTACCTCCCTCTTACCAACGCCTGTGGCCGGGCTCACCAGGGTGCGTTTTCCTTGCAGATGACGGCAGAACTAAACCCATCCCAAGGAAAGGTTCAGTGGAGGGCTTTGAGCCCTCAGACAACAAGTGTCTGTTAAGAGCTACTGATGGGAAAAAGAAGATCAGCACAGTGGTGAGTTGGGTTCATAACAGTTTTGGAGTTTAAAAAAAGACTTAAACTTAGCTGTGCAGGTGGCATATCTGAACCAGGTTTCGTTTTACTGTATTTTTAAAGGAAACATTTTTTTTTTTCATTGATTTTGGAGAGGAAGGGAGAAAGAGAGAGAAACATCAATGATGAGAGAATCATTGATCGTCTGCCTCCTGGGGATCAGCCGCAACCCGGGCATGTGCCCTTGACTGGGATGCAGGACCCTTCAGACTGCAGGCCAGCGCTCTATCCACTGAGCCAAACCGGCTAGGACTACTTTATTTTTTAAAGAATAGTTGATTTTTACAGAAGAAGGGAGAGAGAGAAACATTAAAGGGACAACGCAACATCGATAGGCTGCCTCCAGCACAACCCCTGCTAGGAATGAGCCTGCAACCCAGGTGGAACCAGCATCTTTCAGTGCACTAGACACTGCCCAACTGAGCTACACCGTCCAGGGCTTGTTTTTGTTTTAAATGAAGGGTAGTTATTGTGTAGCTCCCCAGCTGTTTTGGAATCAGTGCATTTCCCCCCTCTTTTTAAAAATCCTCACCCGAGGATGTTTTTATTGATTTGAGAGAGGGAGAAACATCCATCATTTTCATGCCCCGACTGGGGATCAAACCTGCAATCTAGGTATGTGCCCTGATTGGGAATCGAATCCATAACCTCTTGGAGTATAGGATGGCACTCCAACCAACTGAGCCACCCGGCCAGGATGGGATCAGGGCTTTCTTTTATTACCTTTGTAATAGGAAACTCAAGAGCAAAATTAAAATGAAGGTGGAAGTCAAACACTTGTTCTGCTGAAAGTTTTGTAGAAATAAAATTAGCATATTGGTCCTTCTAGTAGCATTGTAAGGAGCAGTGAATATATGATTACTTATGCCCTTAGCTTTTACTGTGCTGGCCCTTCCATGACCAACTTCTTGACACCAGATGATGCTTTTAAGCTAATTATTCCTTTTCTTTGTGGTTCACGTAGTAAGCGGGGCGCTATATGTAGAGTTGGTACTTGAGAGAGTATAAATTTAGTCCAGAGTCTAGTATTGCCTTTCAAGGTGGAGGCTGAATATGGCTTGAAAGGGAACATTAGAGCTCTGGACTCTTTGAAGCACCAAGAGACTCCCTGGGCTCTGAATGAATACAGGCATTCCTCTTTTATTACACATTGCTTTTTTATGCTGCCAGATGTTTATTACCAATTAAGGCAAGGCCCTCCACTGCAAAAAGGCTGTGACTTGCTTTGTTGTGATAATTGCTTTACTGTGGTGGCCTGGAACCAAACTCTCCCTGTGCTTCCTTATTCTGCTGGGGCAGAACCAGACTGCCCTCCCTGTCCAGGCACATCAGTATATGATATCTGTGAGCTTGAAGACCATAATCAGTTGATGCCTCCCTTTACCAGTTATCTCGAGGACATTTACAGTAAAGCTTATGGGGTTTTAAACAATAAAGTTGGGTATCACGAAATAAAGAAAACCCAAATAATTTTTAGAGAAATAGGATTTCTTGTAGTAGCTTGCATTTTGCTTAAATAGGCCTGAATTAAAGGAAGACAGGTTTAAAATAAGATCGGGAATAGTTTAAATGTATCCTGCAGAAAAGATTAGTACTTAGTCCTTTGACATCTCAGAACCCAGGAGAAGAAGTCGATGCCAGGTGTGCATTTCAGTAGAGGTGAGGAGCACAGGAACGAGTTCTGCCTCCTTCCCATCGTGGCACAAGTCTCATGTGGAAAAAAGCCTATATTTTGCTTGTTCCCAGGCGGAGGAGAGGGAGGTAGGAAGACAGCCTGTAGTGTATCATGACCTCTGAGACAAGGAATATTTTAGCGATTAGGATGCTGTCTTCATGAGGCTTTGAGTTCTTATCTAGGGTCCCGCAGGGGATTACGGGATGGATGGATACTTGGGGTGACCATTTTCCCCTCCTCTTTTCCAGGTGAGCTCCAAAGAAGTGAATAAGTTTCAGATGGTAAGTTTCTGCTGTTCCCTCTGTGCCTTTCTCAGGGCAAGTCAGCATAACGTTGAGCACTGGGTGAACATTGATATTTAGGTTCACCGCTCTCCTATGATGTTTTACCAGTAACTTATGAATAAGAGCTGCCAGGCTCTGCATTTTACTGTCAACACTCATACTGTCCTTTAAGTCTTTATAAGCTAGATTTTACATTTTGGGCTCAGATATGCTCTGCCTATAGTAAAGTTGAACAAGAAGTTGCCTAGGTTTATCTGTTTTTGCTTAAAAAAAAAAAAAAAAAGAAAAAAAAAAGTGCAGCTCACAGTGGGTGAGCGTTGCAGAAGCTGCTAAAATGTGAGTGTGCTCCTCTTACACCCTTTTCCTTCGGAACGAGTGTCCCTGGTGTTACTTGCTTTTGTCAGGTGGCCTTTCTGATTCGGCCACACTGAAGCCATTATGGAAGTGGGCAGCTGCCCCACTGATGGTAACTCTTCCCACTAAGGTCGTGCTCTGTGTCTTTCAGGCTTATTCCAACCTGCTGAGAGCAAACATGGATGGGCTGAAGAAGAGGGACAAAAAGAGCAAGAGTAAGAAGAGCAAAGCAGCACAGTGAAGGCTCCAGATTCCCTGCTTTCACCAACTAACCACATGGCTATTTTTTCCTTTGGTTTTTACTTATGGCCACAAAATAGGTTTCTGGTTCCCCTCCATGAAGTGTTTTCATGTGAGGTTATGTTCATTTTGGACGGAAGAAGAGCTGTGATGTTTACAGGGTAGTATAAGAAGCCAGTTTATTTTAGATCTGGCTAATTGGTCTGTGTTGCCTACTTGCATATTCCTGGGTTTTAGTTAAAGACTCTGCAGGCATCTGTGTGAAGAACAATGCATCATTAAACCTATTTATCAGCACTGATTATCTCTTATTTATTCTTTTTCTCTCTCCATATTAATAATTCCTGGCAATAAGTACTGATTCTGGGATGATATGATTATGAATTGGCTTTAGCCCTATCTTCTAGGTCATTGGAATTGAAACCTGAAAATTTTATTAAAAGTTGTGTTAGCTCATGAGTATTCTTCCCAACTGACTATATAATTTTTTTTAAAGAATAGTTTATCGATTTTTTAGAGGGAGAGGAATGGAAAGAGAGAGAACCATCGGAGAGAGAGTGCAACATGGATTGGCTGCCTCCTGCACGCCCCCTACCAGAGATGGAGCTCACAACCTGGGCGTATACCCTTGACTGGGTATCAAACCCAAATCCTTTGGTGCATAGGCGGATGCTAACCATTAACCACACCAGCCTGGGCCAGGCTATATAATTGTATCATAGTTCCTTTAGCAAATTTGAATTCTCATAGTCAAATTAGAGTTTGCTTAACCACCTTAGGATAAGCATGTTACAAAATTAAGAATAAAGATTACAAGTTAATGATGAGATTTGATTTCTTTATGCCCTTCAGTTTGGACATTTTCATGAGTTAGTCATTAGAGCTAAGGGAAGAACATGCCTGTTTTCTTGTCTTCTAGCTCCACAAAACCTTTCGTGTCAATAGATTTGCATTTAAAAAGGAAATATATGAAAGCATTTATTATATTGCAAAAGATAAATTTATACATATATATGTGTGTATATATATATATATTACAAATGAGAAACTTGCAAAGCTCCACTTTGTGTGACAGCTTCTTAGAATGTAAAGTTAATTTAAAATTACAGTGAATGTACAACATTTTACAGCTTCTGTCTGAACAATGTAATACTGTTTTCTAGAATTAAAATAAGATTCGGTAGTAGTCATCTCTGTAGCTGTATAGGAATAGCACGGACACCCTGCAAAAGAAGGGGAAAAGTAGGGTCAGTATAATGGATAGAGAACAGGGTTAGTAAAGATTTATTTTTCGAGCACCTAGCTATAGAAGTTTTGTTTAATCAAAAGATGGAAGGGTAGGCACTAACATCACAAGTTTTACAAAAGCTGTGATTGGTGAGGATCTGCAGTATAAGGTCCTACACAAGGAGACCACCATTCACATTACCTTTTAAGCAGAAGAGAATAGGAACAGCTGGCTTCTGCCATGAGGACATAAAGCAAAGTAGTCACAGCTATTTTCTATTATTTAAACATAGTTCCAGGAGTTACCTGGGTGATTAAAATTTATAATTGGGATAGTTACTTCTGAGACCTCGGTTTTGTTTTTGACAAGATCATGACTGTGAGTCAGTCCTGAGTTGCAGTTCTAACTAGCTTATCAGCCATCAAAACCAGACAATAAACTATGTCACTTTAAAAACCCTCCTCGAGTTTTAACCTGTCTTGAAATCTGTGGTGCCTAGGTGATAACTTACTTTTTTCCTACTTTGATGTTACAAATTTCATCACAGACTACTTTCAGGTATCTTTGTCTTTGCTTTGGCAGGCGTGACAGCAGCTGCTTCACACTTGTGTCAAAGGCCTGTTCATCAGCATCCCACTAGAAAAAATAAATGAGACTTAACAACAGGCACTAGGGTTTATTAAGTGGCTTTTTTCTGGGTCACTAATGCAAGTCCAATGCCACTCTCCCCTTTAGTTATACTGACGAAGTCATTATAGGGTGATACTACAACTGCTGGGCAGACTGCTGGGGTTCCTCTTTGAGGCATCAGTTTTCTTTACAGATCACCTTATTGGATCTGGTTAACCATACAGCAGCAGTGTGTGCTGATCTGACTTTAGACCTGTTGTCTATTTTTTGCATAATGAACATACCACTTCTGATGTGCATCCACCTGAATGGATCATAAGACAATGCACTGCCAATGTAGCATTTGCTTATTTATAAGATAACAGCAGAAAATACAGTAGGAAGTGTTAGTTTTGGGGCAAAGTTCATTTTTCATCTGATTTATTCTGGATAGACAAAGTATTCTTTGATATGTTAGAAAAGTCACCTATAACTATGATTATAGTTAAATATTCTTAATAGCAAAGGTTTATTCAAAATTTAAAAAGTTATTTGGTTATTTGATAACTAGTATCCTTGCACATGAATCCGTGCGCCAGTAGCTCACTGCTGTCCTCCAGTAGCTCTCTATTGCCCTGCCCTGCCCTCCTGTAGTTACCTCCATACACCCCCCGTCCCCCCTTATAGCTTGCTGCCCTGCCCTCCTGTAGTTCTCTGCTGCCCACTTGTAGCTCTCTGCCCCACCCTCCTGCTGATCCATGATCGTGACTGGTTGTTATGCTTCCCGGAGTAACAACCATTTGCATATTGCATCTTTATTATATAGGATTAGGGTATGTACTTGTGGGAGGAGAGCATAAAAAAGTACCTAAATTAAATTTTTACAAAAAGATCTTCCATCACTTCTGTTCTACAATAAGCTTCCCTCGTTGGAATGAAGGTATGACATGTACAGTAGTTAAGAACATTGATTCCACTATTTTACCTAGGTTCAAATACTGAATCTACTACTAACTAGTTGGGTGACCTCGAGTAAGATATTTAACCTCTCTACTTCTGTTCTCTGTAAAATGATGATAACAATAGTACCTTTCTCTTGGGTTTGTTATGATTAAATGAGTTTAAAATTTGTAAAATACTTAGGACAAGGCCTGCCAGAGCCTGACACTCAATAAAAGCTCTAGTTATTTGTTAAATAATCTCTGAAATTTAAAAGAAAGTCACCAGCCAAAACCAGTTTGGCTCAGTGGTAGAGCATCGGTCTAAGTACTGAAAGGTCCCAGGTTCGATTCCAGTCAAGGCATGTACCTTGATTGCGGGCACATCCCCGGTAGGAGGTGTGCAAGAGGCAGCTGGTTGATGTTTCTCTCTCATCGATGTTTCTAGCTCTTTATCTCTCTCCCTTCCTCTCTGTAAAATATCAATAAAATATATATTAAAAAAGAAAAAAAAAAGTCACCAGAAAAATATGATTCTTTTAAAATCTGATTAGTAATGTATGTCACATAAAAGAACAATGTTACCAAATTCCTGGAACTGACAAAAAAATACCCAATATCACTAAGAAATCTTACCATTTTCTGTGTGTGTTTTTTGGCAAAGCTTTGGGATTTTACAAACCACGATGCAGAAGAGTTCATTTTGCTTACCTCTAATGATGAACACTGTAAGATGGTTTCTTTGGGTAGATCCACCTGTCAATACACAAAAATGTACGTCGTCTGTCAGAGAACCCCAGCAGCACCTTGACTTGTGATGATGGTGTCACTGAATAGAGCAACAAGAAAGTGGCCGGCAGAGTCCGGACGCTAGTGTGCTGTAGAGCAGACTTAATGAACCACGTACGGACCAGGTCTCAGCCCCGGTGAACTATATTCCCACACTGCACTCACTCCAGAGGTTAGACACTGCTACCAGCACTCAGTGTAGGCTTAGAGAGGCAAAGGCCTGAAACATTTAGAAAAAGGATTTTCATTTTCACTTCAGAGGAAGGAAGTAGGAGAAACAAACACAAAACCTTCCATTGTTCTCCCCAGGTCTTTAGTTTACACGAGATCCACATCAGTGATAACAGGCTCGGACCCCAATACTGCTGACACAGCAAAAAAGCCCTGACCTCTGAGGAAACTGCTTTCACAGTATGGACAGAGGACATCCTCAAAAGGTTAAAGTAACTTACAGCCAAAATTTCAACTTCACTGCTTTTCTGATGTAAGTTGGCAAGGGAGGTCTGCAGTCGGGTTTGTACCTAACAAGAAGAAAACATGTCAGGATTCAGAACCTGTCAAACCAAGCCATCTTCCTTGCCATTCTGTGTCCTATTCCAGGAAACAATCACGTGACAAACCAAAGCCTAGAAAGAACCCCAAATATTACCCTAGAACTTGCGTTTAATCCACCTCAGAAAGATGTATGTGTATGCCATTATGATATCGGGAAATGAGATTTTGTAGCCTATCTATAATTTAATAACCCACCTAAATTGTTTATTTCTTGATAATTCTGAAATGACACCTAGTAAAAAAAAAACTCAGTGTGGTGAAACTCACGTGGAAGCAGAGAGATTTCAGTATTAAGCTAAATTTGGCAAAAGGGGAAGGTGGTAGCAATGAGAACATGGAACTGAAATATGGTAGAAAGATATGAAAAATTAGTTTCCACCAACATCCTGAGAAATAGCCAGGAGAGCTTACAAAAGTGAGGTAGCCTGATCTTCTGTATTTCAATCTAATTACATTTCTAAAAATGACTGCTTTCCCACACTCACCCTCTTCCCAAGTGAGGGAGGCATCTTGACCGGGCTCAGTAGCACTGTCCATGCCACCTTTCCTTCCGTCCCTCCCGATGGGAAACCCTAACCTTTTCTCCCTATTTCAACCCCTCAGGGGCCATCTCTGTGAAGCAAACACTGACCTCTGTCTCTCCCATGTGTGCAATACACTCTAACACTCATATTAAATACTAGAGGCCCGATACACAGTATTCATGCAAGAGTAGGCCTTCGCAGCCATGAAGGCTGCCTGGATCCCTCCCTCACAGCTGCAGCGGCCGCCTCGATCCTGTGGCTGCAGCCCCTGCTTGTCTGGAAGGACTTCTGGTCTAATTAGCATATTATGCTTTTATTATTATAGATATTTAATTCAGCATTGTTACTTATTCGCACCTAATGTTCTCCAAGCATAAAATGCATATGCTTCTAAGGTTACAAACTCTTTGAGGAGTGGGGCCATGTCCTATGTCTTTTATATTTTACATGGCACTTAGCCCAGAATCAGGCAGATAGTAGATACCAAAATATATGTAAGGATATTTTTGCCTCAAGTCTCGGGATAGATCTCTTCTGTTTTTGTTATTTAAAGCAAAAACAAACTCCATTTAGGCAGCCAATCAATGATTACCTCTCATTGATGTTTTTATCTATCTCTTTTCCTCTCTGAAATAAATAAAAATATATTTTTTAAAAAACCTCCACAAACTCCATCTGCCATTAGAGCCAGATGAGAAAGCTTTTGTTTAGATCCAATAATTCTGACAGTCCACATTGACGCCTCTTTGGAGGACAGATTTGGCAAAATCTTAGTGCCAGACAGATGAAACTTTCAGAAGCCACCAAGTTAGGGAAGTGGGAAGGAAAATATTCCCAGAACGCTCTTTTATTTTCCTTTCCAATTTCCTTCCTGTGTAGCTGACCTTAGAAAGAAAGCCTTGGACACGAACGTGTACCTGAGTTTCATACCGCCGCTTGGTGCTGGCGGACAGTTTCTCCGGGGCCATCACAGTCACAGTGGGGACAACGGCTGCTCCGTGCGTTTCAAACAGACCTGGAACAGAGAGAGCTTCAGACTTACAGCCATCTCTGGCCCTACGTTCTCTAACACCGCCGAGGGGCGGAGACATCCCCTCTGGGGTGACTCAGTGGGGCTACATTATGTCTGGGCCTTGTTTCCTGTCTCTGCAACTGCCTGCAATTGCCCAGGGAGAACCCAGAACCTCCACAGCCAGCAGTTTGGATGGTTCCGGCAAAACCAACAGCCTTCTCTCCTCAGGTGGGTGTGGGAAGTGACAAAAACAAAGGGAGGCAATATGAGTCACCCAAACCTCATGTACCTATGAAAAAAATAAAACATTATCTCTGAAACTAATACTTCCTTAAATTTCTCAAAGTATTTTAAATCCGATGGTGACAGAGAGTCAATACTAACAGAAATGAACCAAAAAAATCCACTTCTGTTAAAAGCCAAATATGTCTCCTTGTGGACTAATTAAGTCCTAATTAAGGACACTTCTTTTAAGATAGATGTGATGAAACTACAGGCATAACTATCACCACTGTTCCTGCTTGGCTTTCGTGAAAAAGAAAGAAAGAAATATATACAGCACTTTTCTTCAATTTTGTATATGGGGAAAATTTCCAGGAAAAGTATCCACATTTAATAAATCTATACCATAAACTAAGTTGAAGAAAGATCAAACCACTTGTAAAAATAAGATACTAAGACAAAGAATACCAGGATCAGAAGTCACCAAATGCCCAGTAACCACCAGTAATCATCTTGCTATTTTCTAAGATGTGAGTTTTAAAGCATAGTGATAAATTCCATTTGGTACAATTAATTATATATATGTTACTTAAAAATATATACATTTGATGCAACAAGGAGTTAGCCACATAGTGTTTACAAAAAACACACACACATAAAAGCATTATTATGTTTAGGTTGTAATTAGTAATTATACCTGAAGCATTAGAAAATGACCCCTTCAGATTTTGTACTGCGATATTATCAGAAGCTTCTCTAAAAACAACCAAACAAAAAAAAAATTATTAGAAAACAGTCAATAAGCCAAAAGCAACACAGATTACTTATAGTGAGCTATACTTAGAGTGAATCAATTTTTTAAATTCAGTATAAAAATATTTCATAAGTATTGGTTATTAGTGAAGGAAAAACAAAAACAACTAATTTGCACTTAATTATGCTTTTAGTTAAGAGCAGGTAAAAATTACAAAGGATGACATTTCAAGTTAACAAATGCCTAAAGACAACATTCTGATCTATTCAGCTGTTTGAAATCCTGGCTCAATATCAGAAGCTAATTTCAATGAAATGTAATGGGTGTTCTTTCCGCTCCCCTCACAATAACAAGGAAACAGCACAGGCAGCCCCTCATGCACTCTGGCAGCAGCCTTGGCTGTCACCCACAGGACATTTAGTAAATAAGGAGGTTCTTTCAAAAGCTGTGAATGGATGTTCTTTCAAAGACTTTATAGCCTTTGAGAGACACAATAGCATTCTGTCTTAGGAAAATGGGGAAATAATCATTTGGAAGGAAAGATTTTAAACCTTTCCTGCTAAAACTAAATCCCATCTGGCTGATTAAGTGTCTTAATAGTGTTCATGTACTCACTATTAATTAGTTGACTTATTTGCTTTCTCTTCTAAATCTGTCTTTGATTTGGATCTGAAGCCCTTAATACCTAATAACTTCAAAAAACATATTCCCTCAGAAAAAGCCTGATGATGAATTTATGCAAGCTAGGTGCAGATGGGAGGGGGCATAGCCAGGGAGGGAGAAGAGCAAAACATTTATTTATTATTTAAAAAAATATTTTTTTGATTTTTTTTACAGAGAGGAAGGGAGAGGGATAGTTAGAAACCTTGATCAGCTGCCTCCTGCACACTCCCTGCTGGGTATATGTCACAATCACAGTACATGCCCTTGACTGGAATTGAACCTGGGACCCTTGAGTCTGCAGGCCGATGCTCTAGCCACTGAGCCAAGCCAGCCAGGGCAAAACATTTATTTTTTATTGATTTTAGAGAGGAAGGGAGAGGGGGAGAGAGAGGCATCAATGATGAGATTGATCAGCTGCCTTCTGAAACACAGGCATGTGCCCTTGACCAGAATTGAACCTGGGACCCTTCAGTCCACAGGCCGACACTCCATCCACAGAGCCAAACTGGCCAGGGCAAAAACATTTATTTTATATTAGACAGGATTCCCCAGTCTTGGCACTATTAACATTTTGAGCCATATAATTCTTTGTTGGGGGTGGGTGATCAGTCCTGCGCATTGCAGAATGTTTAGTGGTGTTCCTGGTCTCTACTAGATACCAATAGCATTTAATTTTTAAATTAAACTTACTGGGGTGAAATTGGTCAACATGAACTGTCACCCACAACATGAACTATCACCCATCACTCAGGTGGGTTTCTATGTTACAAGACCTGTAGATTGCACCATGTACCCACCACCCGAAGGCAACTTATATTAGAACCCCTTCTCCCCCAACTCCCTTCCTCTGCAACCACCACGCTGCTGTTTGTGTCCATGAGTTTCAGTTTTATATCCCACATATGAGTGAAGTCACACGGTTCTTAGCTTTTCCTGACTGACTGACTTCACTTAGCATCATGTTCTCAAGGTCCATCCATGTTGTTGCAAATGCCGCTATTTCATCCTTTCTCGTGGCTGAGGAGTATACCACGTGTATGTGTACTACATCTTCTCTATCCAGTCCTCTATCGCAGGACACTTTGGTTGTTTCCATGTCTTGTGCACCATGAATAATGCCACAATGAACGTAAGGGTGCATATATTTTTTTGAATACATGATTTTGAGTTTTTCAGGTATGTACCCAGGAGTGAAATTGGTGGGTCATATGGCAGCTCTATTCTTAATTTTTTGAGGAATTGCAGACTGCTTTCCATAATGGTTGTACCAGTTTACCAGCAGTGAATGAGGGCTCTCTTTTTCCCCAAACCTCTCCAACACTTGTTATTGCTTGTCTTGTTGATCACGGCCACTCTAACAGGGTGGTACTCTCATTGTACTTTTGATTTGCATTTCCCTAATTGCCAGTGAGGTTGAACATCTTTTCATATTGGCTGCTCATATGTCTTCTTCTTCTTTTTTTTTTTTTTAATATATTTTATTGATTTTGTACAGAGAGGAAGGGAGAGAGAGAGAGAGAGTTAGAAACATCGATGAGAGAGTCATCGATCAGCTGCCTCTTGCACACCCCTACTGGGGATATGCCCGCAACCAAGGTACATGCCCTTGACCGGAATCGAACCCGGGACCTTTCAGTCCCCAAGCCGACGCTCTATCCATTGAGCCAAACCGGTCTTGGCTCATATGTCTTCTTGAGAGAGGTGTATTTTCAGGTTCTCTGCCTACTTTTTTTTTTTTTTTTTTTTTTTAATATATTTTATTGATTTTTACAGAGAGGGAGAGAGAGGGATAGAGAGTTAGAAACATCAATGAGAGAGAAACATCAATCAGCTGCCTCCTGCACGCCCCCACTGGGGATATGCCTGTAACCAAGGTACATGTCCTTGACCGGAATTGAACCCCGGGACCTTTCAGACCGCAGGCCGACGCTCTATCCACTGAGCCAAACCGGTTTCGGCTCTGCCTACTTTTTGATTGAATTGTTTTTTTGGTGCTGAGTTCTTTATATGTATTTTAAATTAAACCTCTGTTGGAACTATGGTTTGCAAATATCATCCCCCTTCTGGTTGGCTGCCTGTTTGTTTTGTTGCCAGTTTCTTTTGCAGTGTAGAAGCTTTTTAGTTTGACATAGTCCCATTCATTTATTTTTGCCTTTACTTCCCTTACCTTTGGGGTCAAGTTCACAAAATGTTTCTATGACCCAGGTCCATAAGTTTGGTACCTATATTTTTTTCTATGCAACTTATTGTTTCAGGTCTGATATGTAGGTCTTTGATCCGTTTTGAATTAGTTTTTGTACATGAGGACAAACTGTAATCCGGTTTTATTTGTTTGCATGTGGCTTTCCATTTTTCTCAGCACCCTTTATTGAAGAGACTATCTTTATTTGCTTTGGTTATTCGGGGTCTTTTGTGGTTCTGTACAAATCTGATGATTTCTTGTTCTATTTCTTTAAAAAATGGCACTGGGATTTTGATGGGGATTGCATATATTGCTTTGGGTAATACGGCCATTTTAACTATGTTGATTCTTCTAATCCATGAATATTGGATATTTTGAATATATCTGATCTACATCTTCCTTTGCCAGATCAGACCTCTCCCCTTTCCTCTTGTATGTTTTTGTTGTCACAAATTATCCCTGTTTATGCTGTAAGTTTTGGGGGATCTTACTCATAGTGTTGTGACACGTTCTTTGTTTCAGGTAGAATAACTAACTCCCTTGAGTATTTCCTGCAAGGAGGTTTTTGGTGATAAAATCCCTCAACTTCTGTATGTATGGGAATGTCTTTATTTCCCTTTCATATTTAAAGGATAATTTTGCTGGATATATTATTTGTGGCTGGTAATTTCTTTCAGATATTTGAATATTTAGCTCTACTCTCTTCTGGCTTGTAGAGTTTCTGTTGAGAAGTCAAATGAAATTCTAATGGGTTTTCCTCTGTAGGTCACTTCCTTCTTTTCCCTGGATGCTTTGAAAATTATTTCTTTGTCATTAATTTTTGACAGCTTTATCACCAAGTGCCTTGGAGAGGGCCTCTTGGATTGGAGTAACTAGGTGTTCTGTTTGCTTCTTAGTCTTGAGGATCTAGTTCTTTCCATAGATTTGGGAAGTTCTAGACTCTCCATTCCATGCTCCCTCTCCTCCTCCACTATGCCTATGATTCTGATATTACCTTTTCTGACTGAGTCAGGGAGTCTCGTAGCGCTCTTTCATTTTTCTTTAGTCTCAGGTCTCTCTCTTCTTCCCTCTTGATTCCTATTTTCGATATCTCTAGTTCTTTCCTTTAAGTGGTTGGTTCTGTTTTCTATGCTCAACAGTTCACTCTTTTAAAAAAAATATATATTTTATTGATTTTTCACAGAGTGGAAGAGAGAGGGATAGAATAGAGAGCTAGAAACATCGATGAGAGAGAATCATCGATCAGCTGCCTCTTGCACACCCTCTACTGGGGATGTGCCCGCAACCAAGGTACATGCCCTTGCCCGGAATCGAACCCGGGACCTTTTAATCCGCAGGCCGACGCTCTATCTACTGAGCCAAACCAGTCTCAGCTCAACAGTTCACTCTTAATCGCCTTAAATTTCCTGCTTCATTTCCAATATTTCTGATATATTCTTTTTTAAAGTTTCAATTTCCTTGGAGAAATACTCATTTTGTTCATTGATTTTTCTGAGTGCACTGAATTGCTTGTCAGTACTTTCTCGCATCTCGTTGAGTATTTTCAGAACTGTAGTCTAGAAGTGTCTGTCATTTATATCACATAATTCCATGTGTTCCACCCTGCTTTTTGGGAATTATTTTGTGTTCTTTCTGGTCATCTTCATTACTGTGGTTCTTCATGGTATTTGCTGCCCTCCTTTGTTTTCCCATTTATCTCTGAAGAGGTCTTTCTACTATGTTCCAGTAGATGGCGCTGAATAGAAAGATTTTTTTTTTTTTTTTTTTTTTTTTAACCGGATTTGAGTCTCATTGACTTCCATGGGACAGTACCTCTGTGCTACTTGGGTTGGGGTTTGTTATGCCCTCACACTAATGATGACCCCTGACCTCTGTGGGGTCCCACCCCAAGCACCTTTCCTGGGGTTCAGTCATAGAGGGAAACAGCGAACGTATTGCAACAGCTTTTGATTTATAGATAATATGCTCCTGAAGTCAATTTCAAGGGCAGCAGGAGGTGAGTTTAGGGAGTCTAAGCAGCAGCAAGGCTCTGTGGTTTCCTTTCTTTGTTTGAAACACCACTGCCTGGCCCAGCAGTGGGGAGCCCCGTGGCAGAACCCCATGCTCTCTTTGGGCGTCTGCTGACTCAAATCATTGTTCTCTCTCATTGCTCGCACTTGTGACTGCTCGCTGCTTCCTCTGTTCCCCTTAACCACCTTCCCCCTCCCTCTCATCCCCAGCTCCCTCTGTTCCTTCAGGCCCAAGGAAGTGCCTGCTACCACTGGCTTTCTCCCCTCTCGGGGCCAGGCTGCGAGCTCCCAGCTGAGCAGCAGGGCTGCATATGTGGGCTGTCTGTGCCTTCCTGCCTTCTCGTTGCCATTTATTCCCGATGCCCACCTTTAGGTCTTTCAGTGCACAGGTCTCTCAGGTGTGCCTCTGTGTTGAGCAGGGACTTATAGATGGCTAACTTGTTGAAATGTCAGGGGGAGAAGAAAAGAAGCACCCTTACCTGCCATTCCTCTGATGTCACTAGCCAGTTTGAAGGCTTTTAAAACTTACTTTATTAGATTCCTATCAGACAGTTGAACCAATTTACATTCCCATCCTGAGTATATGAGATTATATATATTATATATATCACAGAACATATTAGACCAAACGTTATAAAAATTCACTGATTAACAGACCAAAGAAGATAATGGCAGACAGAGTTTGGCAGTTTAGCCCTTTCAAAATGATAAAATATTCTTTGACATATTCCGGAGAACAAAAGTTGAATGTAAGATATGCCTAATCTTACACAGGGGGTCATATAATTAAACTGCTGAGTTATTCAGAAACAATAGAAAGATTCACTGAAAGTTATCCAGACCTATCTTATTTCCAAAAAGGATCAAATTGATTTTTAAAGTAAATCTGTCCACATTCTAGATAGGTAGTCCCAGCTGATTTTCTGGGCTGTTGCTTTACTACAGTTACCTGACGGTCCTTTCATCACTGACTTTAGTCCTCAGTTTCTGCACAACGTGATCCACAAGATCAGACTCCAGCACACGTTTCTCTGTTTGCCTTTCCTTCTCAAAAGACTTTACCTTAAAAAGAAGATAAGAGATCAACCGAAGGACTTGTATATATGCATATAAGTACAACCAATGGACACAAAACTCTGGGGAGGGAGGGCATATATTGGGGGGGGGGACAATGGTATATGTACAAAGATAATAATTTAATAATTATAATAAAAAGAATGAAACAGATCCATCATTTCAGAAGCCAAAAGACTAACTCAGAATCCTATAGTAATACAAGGCAATAGTTTAGGGGCGATTTTGCTCCCCACAGGACATTTGGTCATGTTCAGAGACACTTCTGGTTGTAACAACTGTGGGGCATCGAGTGAGTAGAGGCTAGGCATGCTGCTAAACATCCTACAACGCACACACAGCAGCCCCACAAAGAACTCCGACCCAAGATGTCAAAGTTTGGCTGTTGAGAAACCCAAGTCTAGACTAGAATAGCTTATCAGATGATAGAATTAAAAAAAAGAAAAAAAAAAAAAAAGGCTAAGACAAACCTGCTCCTACTTAATTCTATTCTTTCACATATTCTCCTTAAACATCCTCTGGGTCAGTCACCAGGTTTCTACAACTATTCCCTCTCCTTTTCAAACCCAAGTCCTGTTGTCCTCCTTCTATGGTGTCTGCACTTTCATCTCCACTTACACGGCCAGCACTCAGCCCTGGCTTGGGGAGAGCCCAGTATTATTCCCATTGCTACCCCTGTCTTCAATTTCCCCTTGCTCCTTTCCTCTCTCCCACTGAAGTCCCCTTCTTCTTTTTTTTAAAAAAATAATATTTTTTATTGATTTCAGAGAGGAAGGGACAGGGAGATAGGGATAGAAACATCAATGAGGAGAGAGAATCATTTATCCACTGCCTTCTACCCGCCCCCTACTTGGGATCGATCCCACAACTGGAGTATGTGCCCTTGACTGGAATTATACCTGGGACCCTCCAGTCCACAGACATTTGCTCTATCCACTGAGCCAAACCAGCTAGGGCAGAATTCCTCTTCTTTATAATCCTTCTACTTTATCCAAAACAGACATTGAGGGTATTACCAGAATAGTTCTCTGCTGGTCTGCCTCTATCTTTCAGACAATCTACGGAAAGAACTACCATTTCCTTTACTATTCCTTCTGCTGAAAAGTCCCTTTCAGCACATACTATATCCTGTCCATCCATGAAATTTTAGCATAAATGCCACCTCTACCCTGTAGACGTCCTTGCTACCTCTGAAATAATCTACGAGGCTGCTGAACCCTCAGAGAACTTTCTCGTAAGACCTTCATGGAGTTGAGCATTTTCTAGGTCATAATCATGCACAAATGTCTTATGTTTCCTATTAGATTACAGGATCCTTGACAGTAGGGTCTGTGGCTTAATATCCCTGTACTCTTCATGGGCCTCAATTTAACCCCTCCCACAATGAATGTTAAAATACATTTGCTGAATGGAGGAAGTGATGGCTTGCCCTTCAAATGTGAATGTGATGCTATCGATCCATCATTAAGAGGCAGAATCGCCAGGCCTGGAGCAGCCAGGCCAGGAGTGGCCAGACCCGGAACAGCCGGGCCCAGAGCAGCCGGGTCAGAAGCAGCCAGGCCCGGAGCAGCAGGAGCCAGACCAGGAGCGGCAACAGCTGGGCCCGGAGCAGCCGGGCTCGGAGCAGCAGCGGCCAGGCCCAGAGCAGCCAGGCCAGGAGCGGCCAGGCCCAGAGCGGCCAGGCCCGGAGCAGCCGGGCACGGAACAGCCAAGTCGGGAGCAGCCAGGCCTGGAGCAGCAGCATCCAGGCCCGGAGCGGCAGCGGCCAGACCCGAAGCAGCTGGTTGTGGAGCGGACCAGAGCAACAGAGGCCAGGCAGGAAGCAGCCGGGCCCAGAACAGCTCACTCCTTGCCTGCCCATGCCCCAGGGCTGCTTCTCAGACATGGCTGGAAACTTTTGGGGGAACTTGAGGGTCTGCTGAATCAAGTGATGAAGGCTTAGATCTGGATGTGTTCAGTTATTATAGCGCTGGGGTGTTGATCTGTGAGTGCCTTGTGTGGGGTCTGGATGAGGTTGGTTGATCTATTTGGAAGTGTCTTTTGTGTGAAGTGTATCCTTGAGCATGTGGAGGTATTCTTGATTTGAGAAAATACTAAGTAATTGATTTACTACCTGAAAAATTTAAAGTTCTGAAAGTTTAAGGTCTCTTGCCAAAAAGAGGTTTTAAAGCTAACACCTTAATTTCGATAGAGAAAGGGGAGGACAAGCCCTTCCCACCCAGAACAGGTAATCCAATTCCAACCAGCAGCTATCTTTAAATGTGTTCATTTACATTTGAATGGCTATGCTTTTTTGATAGCCTAAGGGTAAGTTTACATGTAAATAAGTTTGCTTCTCAGTTCCCAGGGCAGAAAAAACAAGGTTTAAAATTACTAGATTTTAAAATTTATTCTTAAAAATATAAAAGTTTATTAATTAAAAAAAAAACAAGGAAATTAAAAAACCTGATGAACAATATTAAATGTTGATTATAATAGAATCAGAGATACGGGAGGGGAGTGGACTGACAATTCTCAGGGAAAATGGGAGTGGTGGATGCGGGAAGAGACTGAACATAAACTGTGTATCTATGGATGAGGACAATGGGGGGTGGGGAAAGGGCAGAAGGTGAGGTGGGAACCTGGTAGAGGGGGGAAGAAATGAGGAACCTCTGTAATAATATGAAAAATAAAGATTGATTTAAAAAAAATTAAAAAAATTTTAAAAAATTTGTATTTGATATTAATTTCAAATCCAAAGGGTTAACAGAATGAAACTGCAATTGCCATCTTTAGGGCATATGAAGGGGGAAAAAACAACAACTAATCTACTCAAATCATGTTAGAGGAGGAACAAATTTACTATAACCTGAAATAAAACATTTTTATGACTGTTCAAAAAAAATTTTAAAAAAAGAGGCAGAAAAGAGCTGAAGATGCTAGAACAATGTTGCAATTAGCAAAATCATATTTAATGGAGATAAATGTGAAGTCCTAAAATTAAAGCCTTATTGTGGAAGGCCAGCCAAACCTGGTAATAACTGTGAAAAGCCTAATGGGTTTAGTTGATTATAAATTCAGTATGAGCCAAAGGAACCACATGGTTGCTAAGAATTCACTTATAGGCTATATTAGGAGAAATATGGTATCTGGATGGAAGGAGGTCAGAGACCCTTTTCCTTTTAATCAGAACATGCTTAGAGCACTCTGTAAAATTTTACTATCACATTTCAAGACAGACACTGACACGGTGAAGTATGTCTAGAGGAGGTTAAGAGGGTCAAGGATCTGGAAACCATGTTATGAGGAATGGCTTCAATAAGTTCAGTGTTTACACCGGAACAGAGGACAGTTAAAGTGGCATGGCAGCTGACTCCTAAAATTTATTTGAAGGTAGCTGAGGGAAGTAGGAAAAATTAGGTTTGTTAGCTTGACTATTCCAGAGGGCACAACTAGGACCAGTGATTGTACTATTGGGAAGCAGATTGTGAGTCAAGTTTCTAAAATGTGCTAACCATAACAGCAGTGTGTTATGACACTGGAATTATCAGCGGAGGCGGACAGTCATCTCCTGGTAATACTGCAGGAGCAATCACTGCTCTAGACGAGGCCTGAGGCCTGATCCGTGGACCATAGGGTAACTGATGATTTTGTGACTAAAGAGCAGATTGCCAGTGGGGACGTCTAAATCTGTCCATGGAGAATTCACCACTACAAGAATTGCCCTCCTGCTTTAAATGTAAACAATGGTTTCAGGTAAAACGTAAACAATGGTTTCAGACTTTGGACAATGAGCAGTGGAGGGTTATTATCCTACAAGTGGCCCAGGTTATTGTGTTGAAGAAGTTTGCAGACTGCAGTGCTGGGGAGCGGTACATAAACTAGGAGTCTTGCTAAACTGAAGTTTAGGCAGGCCAAGTTGGCTACAAATTGTAGGGCAAATGACCAAAGAGGAGGGAGGCACACACTCACAGAGAAATATTTCTTTCTTTTTTTTTTTTTTTTTAATATATTTTATTGATTTTTAAAAGAGAGGAAGGGAGAGAGATAGAGAGCTAGAAACCTCGATGAGAGAGAAACACCCACCAGCTGCCTCTTGCACACTCCCTACCGGGGATGTGCCCGCAACCAAGGTACATGCCCCTGACCGGAATCGAACCCGGGACCTTTCAGTCCGCAGACAGACGCTCTACCACTGAGCCAAACCGGTTTCGGCACAGAGAAATATTTCTGAAGCTCTGCAGAGGAGTCCACTCACATCTTTGGCAGAGGTACTTACCTGGCTTGGGTGAAAGGAAACCACCGCACAGCTGAAGAAACAACCACCAGAAATAAGCAAGCATAATAATTTCTGGAATCACAGGTCTGGGAATAGTTTTTGTCCTTACCAGAGTGAGGGATCTCAGAATACATAGGGCAAGAGGCAGAATCCTCCAAAAGGCTCTGCTAGGGATTAAATTAGACCAAGACTAAAAGTTGCCCTGAACCTGCCCTAACGAAGCTTAAAATCAAGCCTGGAAAGCACCAAACAGAATCAAAAGATCCTAACTACATTTCAGAACAAAGGCCAACAGAGTTTACGAGAGCAAAAGAAAACCCAGCACCCAAAAATGTAACATTCATAATGTCCAACAAGCAATAAAAATTATTAGGAATGCAAAGTGCTAAAAGTATGACTCATAACCAAGTGAAACATTAATACATAGAAATAGCCCCAGAGCTGGGACCGGTTTGGCTCAGTGGATAGAGCGTCGGCCTGCGGACTGAAAGGTCCCGGGTTTGATTCCGGTCAAGGGCATGTACCTTGGTTGCGGGTACATCCCCAGTAGGGGGTGTGCAAGAGGCAGCTGATCGATGATTCTCTCACATCGATGTTTCTAACTCTCTATCCCTCTCTCTTCCTCTCTGTGAAAAATCAATAAAAATATATTAAAAAAAAAAAGAAAGAAATAGCCCCAGAAATGACAGATGATGGAATTAGTAGATAAGTACCTTAAAACGCCCATTTTAAATCTCATAAAGAATGTAAAGCAAATAAGAACCACAATGAAAGAAATGGAAGACATAAAAAACTCCCACAAAACCCACAATGTAACCTGTACAGATAAAAAAAATATGTAATATCTGAAATAAGAAATGCATTGTATGGGATTAACAGCAGATACGAGATTACAGAAAAGATCAGAGTCTCATTCAAAATAAAGCTGGGGGAGGGAAACCCAATAAAACAAAAAAGAGTCTAAGCTGTGGGGCAATATAAAATAATTAACAGACTATAATCAGAGTCTCAGAGGGAAAGGGACAAAAAATTTGAAGAAATAACGTCTAAAAAATTTCCAAATTTGCCAAGTACTATACATCTACAGGTCAAAGAAGCCCCGTGAAACAAAGAATACCACACTGCGGCATGTCATATTCAAATCGCAGAAAGCCAATGACAAAAAAAAACCCTAAAAGCTGACAGGAAAAAAAGGGATACATTATATTCAGAGGATCAAAGCAAACATTTTAAAATAGGTTAGGAAACAATAAAACGTATCTTCAAAGTGGAAAAAGAAAAATTATAAATCTTGAATTTTATACCAGCAAAAATAACTTTAAGAAATGAAAGTGAGCCCTGGCCACATGAGCACAGTCCCATATAACAAAAGGTTGTGGGTTTGATTCCTAGTCAGGGCACAAATTCGGTGGCAGTGGAAACAGGAAACTGATCAATGTTTCTTTCTCACACAAAGAAAAAAAACAAAACCCAATAAAAACATGTTCTCGGGTGATAACTTAAAAAAAAAAAAAGAAATGAAAGTGAAAGGAGGACTTTTTCAGGCCAATAACAGCTGAGAGAATTCACCACCAGCAAATCTACACTAACCAGAAATATTAAAAGAAGTTCTTCAGGCAGAAGGAAAACTAAATCAGAACGATATCTGGCTTAACACAAAAAAATAAACAGTTCAAGAAATGGTAAATATGTGAGTAAATATAAAGGACATTTCCCCCTTATTTAAAAAACCACTTTAAAATATAACTGACTAATTAATGCCGGGACCAGTTTGGCTCAGTGGATAGAGCGTCGGCCTGCGGACTGAAAGGTCCCGAGTTCGATTCTGGGCAAGGGCATGTACCTTGGTTGTGGGCACTTCCCCAGTAGGGGGTGTGCAAGAGGCAGCTGATTGATGATTCTCTCTCATCAATGTTTCTAACTCTCTATCCCTCTCTCTTCATCTCTGTGAAAAATCAATAAAATATATTAAAAAAAAAAAAAAATAAAAATAAAATATAACTGACTAATTAAAACCAAAATATTAACAATGGGATTTATTATATAAGTAGAAAAAAGCATTAGGTAATAATAGCACATAAAATTGGGAGCGAGAGGAAATGGACATATTGTTGTAATATTATTCTGTTGTAATATATGTGAAGATACATGATATTTCTTTCAAAGTACAATGTGATAAGTTAGAGATATGTACTATAAATCCAAGAGAAGTCACTAAAAAAATCCCACCAAAGACAAAGAATTATAGTCAGTAAACCAAGAGTAGAGATAAAATGGAATAAAAAAATAATTTAAAAGAGGACATGAAAACAGAAAAAAAAAAAGAAAAGGAAAAAGGACAGTAAAATGGTAGTTTTAAACTCAATCATTTTAATGATTGCATTACATATAAGTGGTTTAACCACACCAATTTCTAAAAGACTGTGTAACAAAGCAAAACTCAACTAGTGACTGTCTCCAAAGAACCTACTTTAAATATGAAGACACAAATAGAAGGAGAACGATAAGCCATGCGAATACTAACCAAAAGACTTCAGAATAAGAAATATTACCAGGAATAAAGAGCATTTCATAATTATAAAGAGCTCAATTCATCAAGAAGATATAAAACCCTAAATGTGTATTCACCAAATAACGATTTCAAATGCATAGAGCAAAAGTGATATAACTAAAAGGAGAAATAAATAAATCTACAATTATAGCTGGAGATCAATGCTCCTCAGTAATTGATAGAACAAACAGAGAAGTTAGGAAAAATATAGAAGATTTAAGCAATGGTATCAACTAATGTGCGCAAATTGATGTTTATGAAACACTCCTCCTAACAATGTAGAATACACATTCTTTTTAAGTGTACACGAAGCATTTACAACAGCAGCCCATTATTTAAAGGACGGGAATCACACAGAGTATGATTTCTGTTCACAAAGGAATTAAACTAGAAATGGTTAAAGAAATATATCTGGAAAATACCCAAATATTTGGAAACTGAAACACAAGACTTCTACTCGTAAATAACCTATGGATAAAAGAAGAAATCATCAAGGAAATTAGAAATATTCTGAACTAAGTGAAAATAAAAAGTACTAAATAAATAATATGCAACTAATGCATATTGAGTGAAATTTATAGCATTAAATGCTTATACTTAGAAAAGAAGAAATTATATAATCCGTGATCTAAGCCAGGTGGCCAGCATTATTTATTTATTTATTTATTTATTTATTTATTTATTTATTTATTTTTTTCTGTAAAGGGCTAGATAGTAAACATTTAAGCTTTGCAGGTCACACACTGTCTCTGTCACACACTCTTTTTCTTTTTAAACAAAGTACATAAAAAGGGTTTGTGGCCCACAGGCCATGCAAAAATAGGCTGTGGGCTGGATTTGGCCTGTATGTAAGTTGTAGTTTGTCAAACCCGATGTAAAGTTCTGTCAGAGAAACTAGAAAAATAAATTAAATCCAAAATTATCAGGTTAAAAAAATAATAAAGAATAGAAATCAATAAAATAGAAAACTGATAAAAAATTTTAAAAAAGACTCAAACATCAAAAGCTGGTTCTCTGAAAAGACAAAATTGATAAACCTCTGGTCAGGCTGATCAAGAAAAAAAAAAAGATGGGAGACGTAAATTACCAATGTCAGGAATGAAAGAGGATCTCATTACCGATCTTATGGATAGTGAAAGAACAGGGAGTATTTGGAAATTCAGATGAAATGGAAACATTCTAGGAAAGATACAAACTACCAGAATTCACTCATGAAGTAAGAGGCAACCTGAATAGCTCTATATCTAAGCCCATGTGGCTTTACTGGTGAACTTCACCAAATAAATGAGGATTAAATAATACTAATTCTAAACAAATCTTCCAGAAAACACAAAGGAGAGAACACTGTCCATTTCATTTTATGGAGACAATATTACCTTCATATTAAAACTAGACAAAGACATTATAAGAGAAAAACAAGGAGGAAAATGTTGATTTTGATTTTTTTTTCCTTTAAAAACAGAAATAAAGGTTATGAAGTCGTTTCAGTTTGAGCATTTTTAGCTACATGCAACACAGTAAAACTGGTTAGTAAGTAGCCTAGAATATGCCAGTCATTAGAGCAGTATCAGCTCTAATTATTCTTATTTTCTTGGATGAAAAAGAAAACAAGGGAAGAAAACTAGGAAAAAACTACAGCCACCATTATTATTATTATTTTTTTAAGCCTTAAGAAAGTGTTCAGAGCCTCTCTTTCTTATTTTATATTCTCTCCAATAATGAGTCAGAGGAAGAACAAAATAATGGATTTCCACCCACAGGCAGGTGGGAATCGAGTGCTCCACAGTTAACAGAGTGTGGAAATCTCTGAACTGTGAAAGATTTCCTCTGGTCTTTACCTTGACATGGCTCCCTTCTTTATCCGACACAAGGGCCACATAGGTGATTTCATGATGTCGGCAGTACTCCTGTAGTTCCTCTTGGGACTGAAACAAATAAACAGTGTATGAAACAACACAGAGCACCTGGAGCCACCTCAAGGAATTAAAAAGAATGAAAATACTGCATTCAATTGTATTCTCAAAGTGAGCATGCTAACTTCAGGGGTTATAAATATTAAGCAGAATTCAAGGAAGGAATAAGACCTCTTTTGCTTTCATTACTTTCACTATTGTTTTAAGGGTCCATGGGCAATCAGTGTGGTCAGGACACAGTAAGAGGTTTTCAGAAGCTTCACACACACACACACACACACACACACACACACACAGAGAGAGAGAGAGGGGGGGGGGGGAGGGAGGCTGAGAGAGAGAGGGAGAGAGAGAGAGGGAGAGGGAGAGAGGGAGAGGGAGAGGGAGAGGGAGAGGGAGAAGGAGAGGGAGAGGGAGAGGGAGAGGGAGAGGGAGAGGGAGAGGGAGAGGGAGAGGGAGAGGGAGAGACGGCCTTCTTTGAGGAAAGGAAAGGCAACAAAAGAAATAGTGGAGAGTGAAAAGAGAATTGAATCATAAAACAAAGAACATGAGAGGAGAAGCCTGCAGGGGGATGTCACATTGCAAGACTGAAGTCACATCACTGGGCTTGTATTTTACGCTAAGACAGAGCACTTCTCTATCAACTTATGAAACAAGTTAACAAATGGAAGAGATACTGCTCTGGAAAATGATTAAAAATTATCGCACCTGAACAACAAAATCATCGCACGTGGCCGGTGTGGCTCAGTGGTTGAGTGTTGACCTATGAACCAGGAGGTCATGGTTCAATTTCTGGCAGGGCACATGCCTGGGTTGCGGGCTTGATCCCGTGTGGGGCGTGCAGGAGGCAGCCGATCAATGATTCTCTCTCATCATTGATGTTTCTATCTCATCTCTCTCCCTTCTTCTCTGAAATCAATAAAAACAAAATTACTGCTCAGCCTACTTCTGACATGAATTTTTATATAACACAAAAATGGACAACAGCTGCTTCATAAATGACTTTGGCAGGTGATGTGAAAGGAGCAGGAGGGCAGGTGGAGGCTGTTTCCCCAGGGGTCTCTTCAGGCTCTGGGGCACCGTGAGTGCGGGTAAACGTGTGCAACTTGGATGGTCACCTAGGGGTACAACCCCTTCTGTGGTCTGCTCATGGCAGTAAGAAGTTAGTTGCCAAAAGGCCCCACGTTCTAAAGGGTAGGCAAGTATTCAGTCAGCTATGGGAGGTCTGAGGATATAAAGCTACAAACACACTAAACACAGCATGCCCTTGGGAAGTGTGGTAGGGTGCATAATGGATTGTAAAGGTGTCCATCCACATCTTAATCCCCAGGACCTGTGAATATATTACATTATATAGTACAAGGGACTTTGTAGATGTGTTAAAGTTAAGGATCTTGAGATAGGGAGATTATCCTGGATTATCTGGGAGGGTCCAAAGTAATCACAAGGGTCCTTATAAAATGGAGACAGGAGGGTCAGAGTTAGAGAATGTAAGGACAGAAGCACAGGTCAGAGAGGACAGGAGATGCTACTCTGCCATGTTTGAAGATGGAGGATGGAGCCATGAGCCAAAGAATGCAGGAGCCTCTAGGAGCTGGAAAAGGACTCTCCCCCAAAAGCCTTCAGAAGGAATAACCCTATTGACACCTTGCATTGAGTTCAGTTAATTCTGATTTCAGACTTCTGAATTCCAGAAATGTAAGCTAATAAACTTGTGTGGTTTTTAGCCACTAAGTTTGTGGTGATTTTTTACTGCTGCAATCAGAAACGAATATAGGAACCTCAGAGAAGAGTTTGAGAACCCAAAGTGGTGGAGGATGATTCCCCATGGAAGCTATGATTAGTTGCATTCCATTCACTGTGCCTCTTTACCTGTGACCAGTCATACATGATTTCCGCTGTGATTCCCGCTGTCCAGAGTTTCTGGGTTATGTTGATGGCCCTGGACATGGACATCTGGCCAACACTTACGACCAAGAGGTCACAAGAGCTTACTGAAACCTGGATCAGAAACAGAGTGATAACATTTAGAAGAGCCAGACTATGAGCATGGAGCCGAGACCAGCCCCAGGATGGAAGCAGCACTCATGTGGAGGCAGGCATTTTGAAATCTTGTACAGCAACATATGGGTGGAAGCCTTTACTACAAAATTGTATAGTAAAATAAATAAATACCGCAGAAAACACTTTAACATTTGTCTTTTAAGATAGATTTTAGGGGTTCTGATATGAGTCTGTTAACAATTCTAACACCTACAGGGCTCATTACAGATGAAGAGTGAGGCTAAGGAAGGAAGAAGGGATTGTCGAGGTTCCTCAGCTAGAGGCTAAGGGCTGAAAGGCAAAGACTCACACCAAGTTTTTGGCTTGTCTATCACGGCAAAGATAATCTACCAACCCGAACCTAGCACTGCCACATCTGGGCTCCATGTAATGGCTGCGGACTGGAAGACGAGTGGAAAGCAAAGCCAGTACTTACAGGTTCTTCCATGTTGAGGACAGCAGCAGATATCTTGTCTATCGCTATGCTCACCCCAACGGCAGTGGGAACTGGCCCCAGAGCCTGCGGTCCTCTAAACTGGGGAATCTGCAGAGAAAGACGCACAGTCCTGGTTACGAAATAGAGAAGAAATTGCAATTATGGGCAAAGCAATGATTAGAGTGCATGCACTCTCCGCAACCTGTCATCAAAGTGTTCAACAAACAGTTGCGTGTGTGTGTGTGTGTGTGTGTGTGTGTGTGTGTGTATAAGATACCGCAGCAAGCCCACATGCAAGTTTAGGTAAATGTTACATCTAGAACTGTACTGTTCAATAAGGCAACTACTAGCCATATGTGCTTGAGCACTTGAAATATGGCTAATCTGAACTGACATGTGCTATATGTAAAATACACACTGGTTGCAAAGATTCAGAATTAAAAAAAAAAAAAAGTAAAATATCTCATTAATAACTTTAAAAATTTTGGATATATTTTGTATTAAATGAAATACATTATTAAAATTAATTCTAGCCAAGACTGGTTTGGCTCAATGGATAGAGCTTCGGCTTGGGGGCTGAAGGGTCCCGGGTTCGATTCCAGTCAAGGGCATGTACCTTGGTTGCGGGCATATCCCCAGTAGGGGGTGTGCAAGAGGCAGCTGATCAATGTCTATCTCTCATTGATGTTTCTGACTATCTCTCTCCCTTCCTCTCTGTACAAAATCAATAAAATATATTTAAAAAAATAAAATAAAATTAATTCTACCTGTTTCCTTTTTACTTATTTTATGTTACTATATAATTTAAAATGTAACATATAGGTTCTTTTTTTCATATATTTTTATTGATTTCAGAGAGGAAGGGAGAGAGCTAGAGAGAGAGAAACATCAATGATGAGACAGAATCATTGGGTGGCTGCCTCTTGCATGTCCCCTACTGAGGGGGGATCGAGCCCTCAACCCAGGCATGTGCCCTTGGCCAGAATCGAACTCGGGACCCTGTAGTCTGCAGGCCGACGCTCTATCCACTGAGCCAAACCAGCTAGGGCAATATATGGGTTCTGTACCCAAGATAAATAAGTACACTTCTCCTTATTCTTATTGCTAAGTACAGCTAAAAATCCTGGACACTACAGAAAACAAATATAAAAAGATTCTGAAATGAAGAGAAGGCAGCAAACTGGCCAGAAACCACATGACACGTGGCTAGTTCCCTGGGTTTGGTCTTTGCCTCATATGTTCTGAATTGGGTGCTAGAGAAACTGGTAACCTAGACATGTCAAGGAAAAACAATAAAAAAGCCTTGACGAAAACCTGCTTTTTCTGGCTAAAAGACCACACAAGAGGCAACCCAGTAGAACAGAACACTTTTAGATAATACCTGCCCTATTACAGCCAAGACACATAATAAATAAACCTCAACTAAAGAAAAAAAAAAAAAACAACAAAAAAACACAATAAAACAAAAAATCCATTGAGTGAGAATCACCTTTCCTATAGTGAAAAAAATAATTCAAATAACAGCAAATTTCCCATAAGAAACCAGAAATGTTGAAGAAATACAATAAGGTTTCTTCTTGAGTTTCTCAGAGTGTGACAATCAAAGTAATAAGCATAACACTTTCTGATATGGATCTCAATGTATGTAAAGGAAGTATTTAAGACAATTACATGATAAATGGGGAGGGGGTGAAGTAAAGGATATAAAGGCAGATTAGGTTTCTGCACTTGGTGGTTATGAGAATCTATACGTTGATAAAATGGCACAGAATTATACACATACAGTAAATCAATGTCCATTTCCTGGTGTTGACATTTTATTAGATTACTAGTAGCCCTGTGCACGAATCCGTGCGCCAGTAGCCCTCTGCTGCCCCCCTGTAGCTCCCCACCCCCCACTTGTTGTTTGTTGCCCCACCTTCCTGCAGATCCGTGATCCAGGTTGTTATGTGATCAGTCATTACACCTCATGGCGTAAAGGATAATTAGCATATTCCTCTCTTATTATATAGGATGCCAGGTTTAACCATTGGAAGAAAGTGGGTAAAAGTTACATGAACATCTCAGTACTATCTTTGCAACTTCCTATAAATCTATAATTATTTCAAAATAAAAGTTTAAAAACATTACAAGTGTGGTTCACAAGACATTTCTATTCTAGATAAAAGGCATGTTTAGCTTGCTGTGGCTCAGTTGGTTGGAGCATCGTTCAGTGCACTGGAAGGTTTCGGGTTTGATCCCTGGTCCGGGTGTGTATGGGAAGCAACGGATAGATGTATCTCTCTCACATCAATGTTTCTCTCTCCCTTCCTCCCTCTCTAAAGTAAAACACACACACACACACACACACACACACACCACACACACACAAAACAACAACCCTGTACTCAGAGGTAAATCAACAAAGATATACAGGTGTTCAACTGGTTCTATTTTTCTGTATGTTTAAAAATGTTCAAAAATAAAAAGTTGAGGAATAAATGGAATTAAGCCAGAACAGATCAACAAATCTGAGGCTAGCCCTCACCAGCAGGTCATATCTGCCACCAGCTGCGAGGATCTCAGAGACAGCCCTCTGCCTCCGTCTGACGAACGCCACAAACTGGAAGATGATGCCGCTGTGCTGCTGCACCTTGTAAACCAGGCCCAGGTTGATTAAAACCTGCAAGCGAAATGCCACACAACGGTGTCAGAGGCACTGCTTTCCATCAGTGGCATCAGAACAATCTATTTAGCATAAGCCAAGTACTCAGTAGGATCTGGTACGAAGCCTGTTTCACTACAGCCCGCCAAGTAAGAGAAACGACTGTCTTCTCCGAGGCCAAATGACAATAAGAAATGCTGCACAACAGGAATCAGGATGCTTGCACAGAAATTCTTATTGAAGCCAAAATTATGACTAGATATCAAATGTTGCAAAATGTAGAAAGCAGAATAAAACACTTATTAGCATTAATATAATAAGCCCATTTCCCTCTTGTGCTGTTATTAATGCTACAAATCTGAACAGAATCAAACAATTGCCAAACCTGTAACTTTATGCCAAGTTTCTTCAACAGCCCAACAACCTCCTCTAGATCTTTTAAGCCATACTTCACCAGCTGGGCAACGCCTGTTTTCTGTTTTGTTAATGAATTTATTGTTGGTGTCAGATCTTGCAAATCTCCCTTCTGCTCAATAAATTTGTAGAGTCGACACAGCTAGAAAGCAAAGAGGCACAGTTAGGCTGCAGTCAGTCCACAGCAGGGAGGACTTACTCTGCACTGGGTTTCGTACGCATACCTCCAAGAAGAGGAATTGGTAGTTGAAGGTCATTTTAGCCCTTCCCACAATCCCAAATGAGGATTATCCTTTTCCAACAACTCTAAGGCACCTCAGAGAAGTGCTTCAGGCACCTACCTCCACACAAGTTCATTTTTAAGCCACACACTTACTCATAGTTGATGCTGACCCCAGCAGAGCAGGGTTTCGTACCAGCAGAGCTTCCATTATATTTTCTTTCTTTTTTTTTTTTTTAATTTAAATTCTTTATTGTTTAAAGTATTACATAAATCTCCTTTTCCCCCCAGTGACCTCTCTCCAGCCGCCTCCACACTCCTCCATTATATTTTCAAGCCAATAGTGTTCCCCTTTCCATCCTCATTCCCATGAATTCCGATCACTACAGCCATACAAACAGGGGGCTGGGGACAGGAAGGCAAAGTCTGACTTGTTCTGTCTAATATCACACCAAAGCGATCAGAAATCCCCTCCCTCCCTCTGCCTGACCCATTCCTGTTTGTATCTGGGGGTGCAGTTAGATGTCACCGCCTGCAGGCAGCCTCCTGGTCTTTCAGACCCTGATCCAGCTCTGGGCTCTGCCACCAGTACACATGGTCCTTCCCGGGAGAGGGTGGGGGATAGCGGTGACCTCTCTGCGGCCGGCATAGTCGTTGGCACAGAGCAGGTGAAGAGGCAATAACTGGGATCATAAGACCAGAGAGAAAACTTCCAGGAGCTGAAGTGGAAATTATTAAGAAGCAAAATTGTAGCTATTTTAAGGCTGTAGGCAAGCAGAACCTGGTTCAACTCTCAATTGGCACCAGGAAACTAAGAGTTAAATGAAGAGTCAGTTTAATATAGTTTCATATAATCATAAATTATTTTTTAAAAATAAAAATGTTAAAATCTCTACTAAATATAAAATATTTTAATTTTAAAATGGTCTCATTTAATTTTTTTCCCTCTTAAGTAACTTCTCAAGAATTCTAACATTAAGTTTCCCCATTAATGAAACACCAGAAGCAGTAGAGTCAGCACCCCCAGGGTTGGGTCCTCCCCCATCACCATCTGACGCATGCCACTCAGGACGACTCACAGCGTCTCTTTGGGCCTCAGCACCTCATTTGCAAAAGAAGACAGAGCCAGATGTTTGAAACTGTTTTGCAGCATTTCTACTCCAGTTTTTAATGTGCTTAGAGTATTCCATTTTTAAATAATGAGAGTACCAACTGCCTTTATTAGATACTAATTGTTCCATTTTAAACTAACTGAACACATAACTTTGAATCAATGCTTATCCCTGTTGTCTTCTGCGCTGCAGCAGCTCAGTGAAGTGTGGGTGATTATGCCAAAGATCTGAGCCCAATCTGATGCCGGTAGGAAGAATAGAATCAAACAATTGATTACCCTGGGAGATGTTCCTCACAGCCAATGAGATCAAACACAAGAATTTAGAAGCAGGAAATGTATCAGGAAAGCAAGAGCCTTAATTTGGTTCTCAGGTGTTAGAAGACCCTGGTGGGGAGGGGCTGCAGGATGGGTGGATGCCCATTAATCTGCAGGGCTCCGTGCCTATTCTAGTCCCACAGAATCTGTTTCAGAAGAGGAGAGCTGGTACTAGGTCCTCAGCAGGAGGGCCCACCAGGCAGCCTTAACGAGGGTGTGAAGAGGGTTCTGATGATGGAGAAAGAACAGGATGATTACAGCACATTAAGCTGCAGCATGGAGAGGCTTTTTTTGATCACAGCACTGGTTTCTCTCTTCCCTCAGTCCCATGTTGCCATGGTACCTATTAACACTCGGGAAAACCGTCTGTGAGGCAGCAGGCAGTGCTGCCAGCTTACTGCAACAAGAATTTGGTGACATTTTCTGGCCTCACAAATTCACAGAGAACTGTAATAACACCATGAGAGGGTACTTACACTATTAGGAGACAAAGACAGATTGCAAAATTTAGCTTCGACTTCTCTCCTCGTCAGCTTTTCTGTCTAATATAATAGAAGAAAAAGGTCAAATGAGAGGGACCAAATGACCCTGAACAAGGTGCATTTCCAGGCTAATTCTGTTAAGTACAGTCTTCATTTTGGATAAACTACTCCTAATCATGAAAGATGTATTAATTCTGTAATTTACGAATGTTCCCCCCCCTCCCAAATTCACATAAAACTTACCATTATTTTAAACTGTGAAAAACCCTTATATGAAAGAATTAAAAGGGGGGAAGTTGCACTTGTTGAATGATGAGGCCACTCTGAGGGGGGCAGGCCTGGCCCAGAGGTTTCTGTTTGTGGGGGAGGGAGTCACCTGATCTGTCCCCCGGGGTAAAGCCCTCGGACTGACAGCCTCTGACGCCACGCTGGCAGTTAGGCTGCGGCTGTGGGATATGAACAAGGCTGACCTGAGGCCTCTGCAAGACCCCTGGGGCGAGTGTCTGGCTGACATATTGTATTTGTCACTGCTACACAGCAGCAGCATTTTGGGGGAGGAAAGAACCACTAGACACCGACAGTAATGTTAGAGGCCTCAGGTTATACCTGCCAGATGAAAGAAAAGTTAGGTAAGCCTTTTGGTGTATAAAAAGCAATAATCTGCCCTAACCGGTTTGGCTCAGTGGATAGAGCCTTGGCCTGTGGACTCAAGGGTCTCAGGTTTGATTCCAGTCAAGGGCATTCCAGTCTGGGGTTGCAGGAGGCAGCTGATCGATGTTTCTCATCGATGTTTCAAACTCTCCATCCCTCTCCCTTCCTCTATGTAAAAAATCAATAAAATATATTTTAAAAAAAAACACACAATAAGCCATTATGGACTTTCACTATTTGTTCTGCCTTAACCAGAGACTGTCTCGTACTGTTAGTTATTGAATCTCCTAGATGCTTCTTGTTATAAAAAACAATATTTAACAACAAAAAAAAATTATAAAAAATAAGCAAGCATTCACCTCCATTCCAGACTCATAATATCACATGATTAAAAATTTTCAGCCTAGCTGATGTGGCTCAGTTGTTGAGCATTGACTCATGAACCAAGAGGTCACTGGTTTGATTCCCAGTCAGGGCACATGCCTGGGTTGCGGTCTTGATCCCTGGTAGGGATGTGCAGGAGGCAGTCAATTGATGTTTCTATCTCTCCCTCTCCCTTTCTCTCTCTCTAAAATCAATAAAAATATAATTAAATAAAATAAAATTGTCAGTGTTTTCCCTCCGGGCTTTACTATAAAGTGGCTAATTATGAAGAGGAACTGGAGGTGCCACTGCCCTGATCCCACAGGAAAGAGGTGGTAAATGAGGCTCCAAGAGAGATTCAAACCACTCTTCCCAATTCAATCAACCCAAACCTATAAGTGACTTTGCTGGTAAGCACAGGTAGGCTGGAAGAATTAAGGGCAGGGAATGAGTCTTTTATCCTCACTATTGATAATCTTTTCTCTTGGCCTCTGTAAATTAAGTATAATAACTGCACTTGTGAGGATGAAATGAATTAACCCACGTAAGAAGATTAGACTAATGCTTGTCACATGGGTAGGTGCTCAATAAAGGCCATTATTAGCAAGTATCAGGACTGATTTTTTGCCTCCAAAAGTAGGTTAGTGAAGAACTTTATTATCCTAAAAATGAAATGACAATTTTTTAAGAAGTTACCCTTAAAAAAATCCACACACACTCTGGAAGTCACTAGTCCAGAATAAAAGCTCAACTTGTTAATGTTGATATAATCAGAGAATCGGTCCTTTTATCTTACAGCAATGAGAGCAGGAGACACAACTCCAAATTCAATGTCATGGCTGCATCACTAAGAAAATGCTCACAAACTATTTTTATCTTTTAATATCAAGTGGAAGTAATTAAATGCTTACCACGGCGTCATACAGGATAATGTAGACTTGACTGAGTTTATCTTCTGGGATCCCACAGTGTAAGAGTATTGCTTTCAATAACATGGTATGGTTCAAGTAAATACTGTAATTTCTTTCCTAGGAAACCCCCCCAAAAAAGAGACTATCTTAATTTTAAAAGCAGTGTAGGTACATGACCAAACCTAAGATCTCACCACCAATTTACGATCCTAACACACGAAGTGACTGAGCGTGAAAGACTGAATTTTAGCATATTACTTTCGAGCTTATTTTTTCGTATACATTTTTTCATTTGTTGTCAAACAGTATAATACTATTTAACACTTTATTACACACATCGAAGTACTTTGGCCTTCAGCTATGTTAAAAAGCCTGAGCAAATTCACAGACTTCAAGAGGGAAAAGGTCTGGTTCAACGGTAACTGACTTTATAAGCACAGGCTACGGGAATAGCTCTCTTTGCTTTTGTCCGTTAATGAGCGTTCCGAGTCGTGAGCTACGTCCTGAGCGCGGGGCAGCGGGGCATGCAGAAAAGTGGACACACAGGTTCTGCCCCAAAAGAGCACCACCCCGGGCGAGTTCCGCCTTTGGGAGCACGAGGGTGAGGGTGCTTTACCCTTCCCCTCTCATCCCCCCTAGGCATGCTACTTCTCTTTCTGCTGAACTGGCTCACTTCTGCTACCTCTGTAACTTTCTAAATAATCTTTCTCTTATAGTCGTAAAAAAAAAAAAAGAGAGAGCACACACTCAGACGGAACAACTAACAACCAACCCGACTCAAGGAAGCAGGTGATGTCTTGTGCCAAGTGAGAGTTGAAAAGGAAAGGGGGCCAGTCCATCAATGGGGGAACAGTCAGGCTTCCTGGGAGAATGGGCCAACCCCATGGCTGGGTAGAGAAGTCTTTCAAGAGAAGGAACTACGATGGGAGTGAACAGCGCAGGCCCATGGAATCGGGAGGGAAGGCCCGAGAGCCAAACCTCGGGCTAAGCGCGGTGGCTATGGAGCATGCAAACATGAGGAAAAGTGAAGCTGGGGAGTTGAGAGCTCAGGCATAGGAGGGACCCACCAAGGGCTCTGAAGAGGCTATGGACCTGCTAAAAAAAACCATCCTAGGAATCAGCCTAATTTCTTCCATTTTGGAAGAATAGACAGAAAAACAATACCCTTCCCTCAAAACAAAACAAAGAGATAAAAACCAAGGCTGTTCCTTTCAAGGCTGAGGTAAGAGCCCAAGGTAAAACTCAAAAGCAACATCATCAAACTCTGTGACACTTTAGTGACAGTCATTCACTGTCAGCACAGCTGGGGTGCAGCGCTGCAGGCGGTGCCCCCCCTCGCCTGGTGAAGGACTCGGAGGGGGAACTCAGAATGTTAGAATGCGGAAAGAACCTGCAAGGCTGGGAACTCTTGGATGACTTCGTAGATGGTGTAGATGACTTCAGCAGTGGGCAGAGAGCTGTTGGTGGTGGAGGTGACGATATCAAACGCACATTCCAGAAGTTCTTTGGGATGAAATCGGTCTAATTTGCGAGGTCTGAACACACGTTCTATGCAGAACCTGGAGAGAGAAACCTTATTTCTAAGACCTTTGCTTACTGGAATCAAATACGCATAAGACGTTTTTGAAGAAGAGTAAAACTATGAAAAAATTTATCAGTAGTATGACAGAGAAAGCCTAAAGACAGACTTTCCCAGAACGGTCTTGCCTTATGGCCTAGGTTCCAATTCCCCGTTTTCATTAAATGTCTGAAATAGAGATGCCATCACACACAAAAATAGCTTTACCTTAAGTGCTTGCTTTCCACACAGTGATACCCACACCTTACGACTATGACTATTAATTAATTGTTCACTTGCAGCTGAGAATAAAGCATGTAAAGAGCTGTGATTTCTTTTGAGGAAAGGAGCCTTAAAGTAGGGTGCCTCGTTGACAGCAATGCTGCTGCAATTTATGAAGACCCGGGTGGCAGACCCCTGCGGTATCTGAGTGTACAAAAACTTTCCCCGGTGCTGAGGGCCCGGAGCTGCTGGTGTTCACACTCCTGCTGGTTCACTCCACTTCCCTGCACACAGCTTCTGTTCCGTTACCTATGCAGGCAGCTTTCACACAGGGACCACTGGCATTTGTCCCTCCAATTAACTTTTAAAGGGGGCCATCAAAGAACAGCCAGATGTTATTTTTCTAAGCCACTACTCAGGAAAGTAATTAGCTATGTTGCTTGGGGACATTCAGCAGTCACGGAACAGACTGCAGGAGCTTCAGTACCAGCCCAGCTGCCACCTTCCTCCTACCCAGGAGCTCACCGTCCTCAGCACTTCATGGAAAGGGCCTCGTGCCTGGGTGTTTGGCCATATTCCAAACTCAACACTTTAACTCTTTGCTGTGTAAGGATCATAGAAGATAAAACATTCTTCCTGGGTTTTTCCCCATATCCACCAATGAAATCCTCATTGTTTCTTACCGTTTTAAATTCAGTATGTTATTTCTTGCCACGTATCTTGCAAAAGGAACCTGAGAAATAAAGTGTCAAAGGTCAATGTCAAGATGTGTTAACTAGAACATTCCTTTTAGTTTTTAAGTAACAGCTTTATTGAGATGTAACTCATATACCATTGAGTTCTACCCTTTTAAAGTGTACAATCTGTGATCGTTAGTACATTCACAAAGTTGTGACTGCTTGTCATTCCTGTTCCTTGCAATGTTCCTATGTCAGTCAGCAGCAGACCCCACTGCTGGCCATAATAAGGTTGGTGAGCCTTATTCATTGTGGAATTTTTTAGGCTTTTAAGTTTGAGAAAATTCACTTTTAGTTAAATATACTCTGCCAAATTTTATTATGCCAAGTTAAAATCAGTGCAAGTTATTTGTGAAAAATTTTAAGTGTCATTTATGATAATGCAATCAACATGGGCATTGTCTCTAGTTATGAATTTCTTGATTTTCCTACCGATCTTTTAGGAGAAATGCTTAATAACTACCCACTAATAATCAAAACTTGAAAAACCATTTTCAGATCGTCCCAAAGGATCTGAGAGCATCATTAACCAATGGGTGGAATTCTAAAGGGTAATTACTTTTTATCTTTTGTGATTGACTATAAGCTCACAGAAAAGGAGCTAAGTTTAAAAATTTATATTTTAGTCTCCTAACATCTAGAGAAGCAGCAGCCAGTTTTAAGTATCACTGTGTAAATGTTTGTATTCCTACCCTTCCTTTAACAGAGCCCAAATGTCTGACATGCTATTGATTCACTTCTCACTTAAAATAATCCCAAATCACTTAAGTTACTGTATAAGAAAAACCAAGAATATAAAAGAATTTTTTCTAAAACCAGAAAAGCAAAACATATTATTGCAGTAAGCAGCACAACAAAGGTATGAAAAAGGAAATACCTTGATTCCACACTTTCTCCAGAAATATACAGTCAAAGGTTCAGTGTATCCCTTGACACTTCACTTTGTGGTCATTCACATGCATGTGAGGGCATGTTTACACCACACACATACCAGATGATGCAAACATATAGTGCACCTTATACACACACTCGGTTGTTGTTTTTTAAGTTTCTCTCTTTAATAAAAATGGGGTCATATTAGAGTTCCTTTGAAACATACTTTCCCCCCTACCCTATGGACATTTCTACAGGCCAAATATAGATATGGGTTTACCTAAATACATATACATGTATTTTTATCTTATACCTCTTTAATATTCCATAGTAAATTATTCAACCATTTTCCTATAGCTACACATGCAGTTTTCAGATTTTGACCACCATAATAATGTAGCAATAAACATTCTTTTAATATTCATACACCAACATATTTGTATTTTTCTTTAAATTAATTCCTCAAGGTGGAGTTGCTGGTTCACAGGGTATAGTCTGTGTATCAAAAACATTTTTTTTTAATTTCAGTAAATACTTTCAGATTACTTTTCTAAAGGTTTAACGATTTACATTCCCATCAGTAACATATGAAAGCACCAATTTTCCTACACTCTTGTCATCTCTGGGTATTTACTGAAATATTTTTGCCAGTCTGATGGGTGAAGTGGATATACCTTTGCTTGATAGATCCTCACTATTAGTTTATCAGCTCTGTGCATTTCTTATGAGAATTTCCTGGTTATACCTTTTGCTCATTCCTCTACTCACAAGTGCTTCCTGTACATTAGGAGTATTAAACGCGTGTCTGTCTCATGCACGGACAGTGCTACAGATGGGCTTGTCAGCAGCCAGCTCTGTGATGTGAGTGAACAACTGGTAAGAGCGCTGCTGTCAGAGGGAGCCCTGGGGACCGGAAGGAAGGCAAGCAGGAGCAGATTTCAGCACACCCATTAGCAGACACTGCTGTTATAAGAATTTAGTTGTTCTAGACATTAGCATGTTAGAAAGTTAGCAACGATCTGCCCAGGAAGCAGAGAAAAAACTCCACGTATTTGTCTCAGTGGACCTGGTTAATGTGCTATGGTCAGAGCTTAACTGTGAGGTGCAGACACGGCACCTGCAATGCAGGGTTCAGTTTCTAAGGGCCAAAAGCATTTGTGTGCTTAACTGAGTGGATGTACACTGGGTCAAAGGGTTACTGAATTCCAGTAATGCCCTCACCCCAACAACTTCCTTCAACATATGTCTCCTAAGGGTGACATTTAGATTAAGTTCAGCAAAACAAAACAAAACAAAAACATCCCAAAACAAAAAGACTGGTGGGAGTAAACCTTTAGCAGACATGCCACCCTACGACCAGACATGGCATCTGAACTGCCAGCACAGTGTACCCAGCCTCACCCTCAGGTCGAAAGGAAGCATCACCAGCATCCCGCTGTGGTCCATGAATAAGGCGGCTTCGTTGTGCTCGTATATTTGCCTATTTCGGGGAAGCAGCAGAGGGGTACACAACTGGACAGCTCCTAAACCAAATTAGAAAAAAAAAACAACTAGTCATTTTTCTGAGGAAGCAAGTTACAATGAACACAAACCTGACAGTGGGTCCCCTGCTATGGGGACTGTGGAAATTATCATCTATGGTCACTTCTCAATGGAGAGCTCACCTAGGATTAACTTTGACAATCTAGTCATTTTTCTGACTCTGTAAACCAGCTGTGCTTTAGTAGCAAGGTTGTAATATTAAAATCTGTTTCTCCTTAACAAGCTGGATTGTACAAATAAGCTTAAATTTCACATGATGTCAGTTGCTTGTAATTTAATTTAAAAGTAAAAATATAATTGCACTCAAACCCATTAACAATACTTTTTTTCTTTTAAATATATTTTTATTGATTTCAGAGAGGAAGGGAGAGGGAGAGAGAAATAGAAACATCAATGATGAGAGGCAATCACTGATTGGCTGCCTCCTGCATGCCCCCCACTGGGGATGGATCCCAGAATCCAGGCATGTGGCCTTGACCAGAATCGAACCTGGGACCCTTCAGTCCTCAGGCCAATGCTCTACCCACTTAGCAAAACCAGCTAGGGCAATATTACCTTTTAATGATGTAAACAACAACATCTTTTAAGTGGATGTACACAGGGTCAAATGATTTTTTTCAAAAGTACATACCGTGTCTTTTAAAGATGCGGATGATGGTCTCACATACATGCTGCTGCATCTTGGCTATACGGATCGAAAAGTTGCCCTAAAAATAGGATCAATTAAAATGTTATCAAAGGTTAATCAAAAGGATCACCTAAAATATTAATCTGTGGCTTTCATTACATTGCTTGTTCTGAGGATCACTGAAGAGATTTCAATGTTAGTCCCTTTCTGAACATATTCAGGTTAGAGGAAGCACAAGTCTCACAGCACATCCTGCTAGCGGAGGGCCAGCTAGGTTCAGAGTCCAAACTCTTAACCAGGCTGGTGTTTGCCCTCAGAGAGAGCTAGTCAAACACACACATTCCCCCAGGACTCTCGGCGCCACCGTGGAGCAAGCGAACCCCTAACAGCATCAGGCTCCCACAAGCTAAGGGATTCACAGCAGACCCATGAAAGCCAAATAGCATTAGGCATTTTGTAAAGAGCTTTCCTTTTCACTTGTTTCTTATTAGGAAAATAGTACTATGTCACTAGAGAAAATTTAAAAACGGATAGGCAAAAAGACAAGAGTCATTCATAATTCTGTATCTTTCTAATATTGCCAGCCAGCAAAATCTGTTTGACCCCTAACATTTATACTGATCTACCACAAACCTCCTCACTTCCTCTACTACTCTTTTAAAATTATATCATATTTTATTTATATATTTTTATTATTATTTTTATTAAATTATTATCTGTGTACATATCTTACCATAGAAAATTATATCATATTTTAAACATACAGACAATATAACAAAAATTTGTTATTCCCTACTTAACTTTATCAAATTTCAATATTTTGCTATATTGCTTCAGATAATTTTTTCTTACTATTTCAGTATTTGTCTTCCTTCTGTCAAAACCTGAGCCAACCACTTTCCCCAGGCTGCCTGGGAAGGTACAGGAAAAGGAACATACAGGGCAGAGAAGACACGAGAGAAAGAACGATGGGAGGGAGACAGCTCCTTCCCATGGCGAAGAGGGTGAGAAAGGCCTCCAGCAGGCCGAAGAGGGCAAAGCCCAGATGGCGCAGGAGAAAAGTTGCTGCTTCAGAGGAGGGTTCCTGGCATACCCAACGACGAGGCTCCCAAACACAGTCCCAATTCCAGCCCAGACCCCACCACCCCTACCGTGGCAGCCCTTTAGCCCCAGTGAACTTGGCTGCTGTGTCGATGTCCCTTGAAATGGCACTGGTTTGGAAGCTGCGACTAGAAATGAGCGAGGTCAGGGGATGTGGGGCTGCCAAGCTGCAGTGTCTGGTCGTTTCAGCAGCATTGCAGACTGTGACCGGCTCAGCTGAGAGGCGCTCCTGACTAAGGAGGAGTGCAGACAAACATTTTCACGGAATGAGGGAACTGCTCCCAGTGCAGAGAACTCAGAGGGGTGAGGGGCAGATTCATTTTTTTTACCCTGTTTTTTTTTTTTTTTTTTTTTTTTTTTTTTTTTTTTTTTTTTAAAGAAAACACTGACAGCTCTCAAACCTGGCTATCCTTTATTTATTTTTTATTTTATTTTATTTTAAAAAATATATTTTATTGATTTTGTACAGAGAGGAAGGGAGAGAGATAGAAAGTTAGAAACATCGATGAGAGAGAGTCATCGATCAGTTGCCTCTTGCACACCCCCTACTGGGGATATACCCGCAACCAGGGTACATGCCCTTGACCAGAATTGAACCCGGGTCCTTTCAGTCCCCAAGCCTTCACTCTATCCATTGAGCCAAACCGGTCTTGGCAAATCTGGCTATCCTTTAGAAACCTTTTTAACAGATTCTTCAAGTACCTCACACCGGGAGATCCTGTCACTAGAATGGGCATCTGTGTTGTCAAAGGGTCTCCCCGGAGATTCTGCCGTGCAGCCAGCACCGGGAGTTACTGACTGCCTGACCTGTGGCTGAGCTGGTCATGTCACTGGCTGTGGACAGCTGGGCCAGGTCAGTCTCTAAAAGCACTCCTTCTAATCTCCTGGGGGGTGGGTCAGAAATTCCTTCAAGTTAATGATTAAAAGTGTGGTTCTACCCAGAATACAAAAGCACACATTTTGCATACACAGATCTCAGATTAAGAATTTATGTTGGAGGCCTTACAGCAGTGGTTCTCAACCTTCCTAATGCCACAACTTTCAATACAGTTCCTCATGCTGTGGTGACTCCCAACCAAAAAATTATTTTCGTTGCTACTTCATAACTGTAATTTTGCTACTGTTAATGAGTCGTAATGTAAATATCTGTGTTTTCCAAAATGGTGGCTCTCAACCTGTGAGTTGAGATATTTACATTATGATTTACAACAGCAGCAAAATTACAGTTATGAAGTAGCAACGAAAATAATTTTGTGGTTGGGGGTCACCGCAGCACGAGGAACTGTATGAGAAGGTCGCGGCATTAGAAAGGCTGAGAACCACTGTCTTAAAGGAACCCATGAAAGACTGGAAACTGACTTGCTCCTCCTGTGAACCAGGCACAGCTCTCCCGGGAAGCCCACCTTCAGTATGTCGCTGTCGTAGGTGTAGTCGATGGCAGGCGGGACGCGCTGGGCGAAGATCTGGGCCATCATGGTGCGGTAGGCCTTCCCGTCCACGTTGGCCAGCGTGTGGTGCAGCACCTCGTGCAGCTCCGACTCCTCCATCTGCGGCGGCGGCAGCAGCTCGCTCTTGAGCAGTTCTGTGGCGGTGGGCCGCTTTGCGGGGTCGTGGTTCAGCAGCCAGGAGATGACAGATTTCTATAACAAAACCCGGGCATTGCAGTGAGGAGAAGCAACAGATGACGCTCAGGAGTTCTCCTAACAAGCCGGTGGTTGCTTCCAGTCAGAGACAAGACTCCATACTTCTTGCACTGAGTGGGTGCATTTTCATTTCTGAAGGTTTCTGAGTTTGTTATTTTCCTCCCTGCCCTCCAATAGGCCCACAGTGCAGTGCAACAATGTAACAGAGGCCTTTTATATTTTATTGACATAAATGACCCAAAAAATCCTCAACAACTACCTAGAAGCAGAATTTGGGCCTTCTAAACACACAAAGTACTGAATAAAAAAAAAATGAGAATATAAAACAAATCCTTTCGATGTCTATTTTCAGTAGAAATTATGTGCAGTAGCTGCTGGATCCTTAAAGCAGGATAAAACATCTTGTTTTCATTTTCTTTTCTCCATTTATGTTATCTATATTGATACCATTCCCTTGAATTCTCTTGATTTATGTTACTCTATATCTTCTCCTATGTCAGCTACTACCCATTAAGCAGGTAATATAAACCTTTCTTTTGAGGGTAATTCAAACCTTTGAAATACTACTTAATGATTCTTTAATTCTCTTGTTTATAATAAGGATTTATAAGGAGTTAGAAGACTAGCTGACATCAGAAACATCTCAAGTTTTAGGTGAATGTTATTAAGTATTTCTTTTCTTTAATTCTTTATTGTTGAAAGTATTACATGTTCCCCTTCCCCTGCATTGTCCTCTCCCTCTCCCAGCCTGCCCCCAACCCCCAGCGCCAACCTTCACTCTCCCCCACCCTCCACATAGTCTGTGTCCATTGGTTATGCTTATATGCATACAAGCTCTTTGGTTGATCTCTTATCCCCTCAATGCCCTTCCCCCCAGCAGCATTTTAAAGTTATATATCTTTAATATATGCTCCCCTCATGACCCCAATCCCCAAACTCCAATCCTAGTGTTAGGCTGGAATAAAAAATCAGGTAATTGCTTTCCATGTAAAGAAATTGACATGAGCCGAGACCGGTTTGGCTCAATGGATAGAGCGTCAGCTTAGGGATTGAAGGGTCCCAGGTTCAATTCCCGTCAAGGGCATGTACCTTGGTTGCGGACATATCCCCAGTAGGGAGTGTGCAAGAGGCAGCTGATCGATGACTCTCTCTTATCGGTGTTTCTAACTCTCTATCTCTCTCCCTTCCTTGAGCTTGTATGCATATAAGCATAACCAATGGACACAGACTATGTGGAGGGTGGGGGAGAGTGAAGGTTGGCGCTGGGGGTTGGGGGCAGGCTGGGAGAGGGAGAGGACGATCTACAAAATCAATAAAAATATATTAAAAAAAAGAGAAAAAAAAGAAATTGACATGATACAACTTTTATGAAAATGTTCAAATTAAAGTGATAAAAACAATAGCCTATTCAGCAAAACAGACCCTGATATTCTGCTTAAACCCTATATGGTGAACATTGTGTTACATGCATCTATAAGCATTTTCTATGCTGCCTCCTTACAGATAAGAAGCAATGGCTGTCTTGTGGAAGCGGCGGTGGCAATGGTTTTGTCAGTTTTTACATAGTTCAAACACAAACGCTCAGGATGCCTAATAAGTGCTTGTGATGGAGAACAATCCCATTGTGAGAAATGGTCTGTATAGTTGCTCTCATGTTTATAGTTTAATTAAGTTCCTGAGCCATCACAGCTGCCAACATTCATGTGGAAATATTGAATAAGACTGACCTTGTTATAGGGAACATTTCATTAGTGTTCAATGAAATGAACATTTTCTTATGACATCTGGAAATACAGAAATGACTCAGCTAAAAAAATAATAATAACAACTAACAAAAGAAGAAGAAACACAACTCAATGTTCTTTCTAATGGTCTTTACTAATTCAATAGATGAGGCAGAATAGGTCCCTCTAGCCACTCGATAAGCACTACAGCATTACAGGATATTTAAGGGTATTTAATACTTTTATTTTGCAGGTGAGGAAATTGAAAGTCTAGAAAAGTGAATTGTCCACCTAGCTATATAACTAATATGCAAGAAATTAGCTTGGCTGGTGTAGCTCAGTGGTTGAGAGTCAACCAAGGAACCAAGAGGTCATCAGTTCGATTCCCAGTCAGGGCACGTGCCTGGGTTGTGAGCTCAATCTCCAGTAGGGTGTGAGTAGGAGGCGGCAATCAATGATGTTCCTCTCTCTCATCGATGTTTCTACCTCGCTATCCCTATCCCTTCTTCTAAAAATTAATAAAAACATAAGTAAAATAATAGCAAATTAATGCCATGTTCCAGCTAGTTTTCTCTCAACATTAATACAGTCATACACTGCTTAAAGACAGGGATTATGTTCTGAGAAATGAGTCCTTAGGCAATTCCATCACTGTAAGAATATCACAGTACACAAACCTCGGTGGGATAGCTCACTACTATAATTGTGTGCTATACTTTTATAGAACTGGCAGCATAGTTTGTTTACACCCACACCATCACTAACATGTGAGTAATGAAAGTCTTGTGCTACAACATTAAGATGGATATGATAATATCAGGTTAGGAATATTTCAGCTCCATTATAATATTAACTAGTAGCCCTGTGCATGAATCTATGCACCAGTAGCTCTCAGCAGGGCCTGGCTGCTCCCCGCCTGCTACCCAAAGGCTCTCTGCGGCCCAGAGGTCCATCCGAGGCTGGGGTCGAACGCCTGCCTCGTTGCTGCAGCAACAAAGCAAGCATTCCACCAGGCCACTCACACTGCCCATTCTCAGCGCGAGCCCTCTCTCCCCCAAGACTGGGGGACTCCAGTGGGGCTGAGAGGACTGGACGCTACCATCTTGTAGCTATGGGCGCCCCCATATTTGTGATGGAGTGATGGTTAATTTGCATATTACCATTTTATTAGATAGGATGGGACTCCTGTTGTATGTGAAGCATGACTGTTATGTGATGCAGGACTGTTATTTAAATAAGTAATTTTATCATAATTATAATTGTTAAGAAAGGTCAGTTTAAGAAATAAACATCCACAAGACAAAAGTATTAATCACAAACGTTTCACCAAGACAAACAACCAACTAAGAAGTGCACACCAGAAGTACAATACATAAGTTCCCTAATAATTATTCTCTTAAACTAGCTGGGTGCAAATATTAACCTATGATAAGCCACATACACACACATTCAGATATTTATAGCATGGAGGAGAAATTATTTTGCTCTAAAATACTGTAACTTCAGACTGTCTGGTCTTCCCCTTCACAATCTGAACTACTTGAACCACAAAACAGAACAAAATGGTAGTTTTATTTTTTTCTTAAAGTCTTAAGCTTTCTCTAAAACAATGAGCTATAAAAGCATTCTCTTTTGTTTGAAAGGCAAGGTTCCAAATAGCACTTCAAAAGCACAATGAACCACACAAAAGAACTCTGTAGTTTGTTAATTTTCTGTGCCAATCCTTGGCATTTTTATGGTGCATTTCAAGATTAGTGACTGTTTTAAGTGCTTTATCTTTTGATTTTTCCCTCTACATTGTTCCCAGGACACAAGAATGAGTGGCAGAAGATTACTAATTGAAAAAGAAAAATAGTAATTAAAACCCAAGAGTGAAGATGGTGTTTAAAGCGTCAGAAAATTACCTGCTTTGTATGCTCTCCATCATCGAAGTCTTCTGGAAACTTAGGCGAAGTGGGCTAAAAGAATATCATATTCAAATCAGCAAGTGCTTGGCAGACTGCCACAGTGAAAGCATTTATTCACTAGAGATAAGAAAAGCAAATACAGAAATGAAAATCTGCCAACAAGGGAAGATGGAGGTGGCACCTTCTTGAAACCCAGTGTCATTCTTCCAAGTGCATACGTATTGACACAACTGTTAACCAAATGATAGCCTAGATAATAGGAAGCACCTTAGGAGAGGACAAGCTATTTAAAAATCTAAAGGTTTCAGAAAACAAGAAAGTAGCTTTATTAAGCACACAGATGAAAAAAGGCAAAAACACCAAACCATCAACACAGAGTAAGAGAAAAACATTAACTGAAACCTCTACTTCCCCCAATGTTCTCACCTTTCTGGTAAATAAGACCCTAATTATAACATTAACTTGAAAGTTTAGATTTTCTTGAAATGAGGTAAATTTTGACTAAAGAAAGGCACTTCATCAAAGACAATTCTCAAGTCATGGGAAGGGCACAGTAATCGCTTTATTTACTCCTTTACTTAATGAACACAGCTGCCCACGCTGTACCGGCAGTAAAATAATTCAAAGCACTGGCTCAGAAGGAAGAGCAAGAATCTCAATATCTCTTGCTCATGAATATGTAAATCTAAAGCACCCTCACCGAAACCTTACTCTCCACTTCCATCTTAATGCCTTTTCTAATTCGCATTCTTGACCTCACACATTTAACCTTAGCCCCTTTTTATTTAGTTTGGATAATAACAGAGGCAAGGATTAATCCCAAGAACACAAATGGAAGTTTCATTGAGGAAAAACATTCAAGTGACTCATATTTTGGTCATGGTAGTTTTCTTTAGGCACCAGCTGGAACCTTTAATTTTTAAAAGTTAACTTCTGTTAACCTTACAACCCATTCTTAATGCTGTAACTGTATGGTTATTATGCAAAACTTCTTGGATTTTTCCTTTGTTTTAAAATTAAGAAGAATAAATTTTTAAAAAGTAACTATAACTTAGCAATTTCTCCAAGTAAGATTTCTAAAAATAAACAAAACTGGGGAGTTTCTCATCAAGGGAGGTATGCAAGAGATAGATTTCCACTTATTAGGAATACAGACAATTATAGCAGGATCACTTTTTCAATATTGTAAGTACCAGAAAAACCCTCTGCACTGAATTCTGCTGTCCATGCTAAGATCCAGGTTAGTGGATACTGATGCACTGAAACATCTGATACATACATCTCTGAGTTGGTTGAGAACAAAGATCCTTTCTGAGGCCGTGACCATGGGGTAATAGGACATCTCGAAGAAGATGATTCCCAGGCTGAAGAGATCCACTTTCTGAGGAGGAAAAATAGCTATATTTAGAAGTCGTGATAGGAAATGCTATTTACCAGGGAATTATGAGCACTGTTAATTGGAATTAAAGTTGCATAAGTGAAAAACAGGCCAATTAAATAGAAAAAAATTAATTTCTTCTAAAGAATAGGTATAAGGTATAGCTGAGATTAAATATTTGGCATGACTTTCTAACATTTCCCTTGAAATTTAATTGTGACTGGTTTAGCTATATAAAGACACATCGATAACCACTAGCCAACCATTGAGAATAATTACTAAAAAGCAAAGACAACTGAGATTTGTCTCAAGAATGTGCCTTGTGCCGGGACCGGTTTGGCTCAATGGATAGAGCGTCGGCTTGGGGACTGAAGGGTCCCGGGTTCGATTCCGGTCAAGGGCATGTACCTTGGTTGCGGGTATATCCCCAGTAGGGGGTGTGCAAAAGGCAGCTGATCGATGACTCTCTCTCATCGATGTTTCTAACTCTCTATCTCTCTCCCTTCCTCTCTGTATAAAATCAATAAAATATATTTAAAAAAAAAAGAAAAAAGAAAAAAAAGAATGTGCCTTGTATCTTTACTAATCTCAAAAGTGAAACACAGGCCAAAATATGTAGTTAATAACAAAGATCAGCTATTGATTGCAAAGCCATACCAATAAGGCAGAGAAATTTCACAACAGAAAGATCATGAGACAAATCCTAACAAAATATAGAAGCACAGCCGGGACCGGTTTGGCTCAATGGATAGAGCGTCGGCTTGGGGACTGAAGGGTCCCAGGTTCGATTCCGGTCAAGGGCATGTACCTTGGTTGCGGGCATATCCCCAGTAGGGGGTGTGCAAGAGGCAGCTGATTGATGACTCTCTCTCATCGATGTTTCTAACTCTCTATCTCTCTCCCTTCCTCTCTGTACAAAATCAATAAAATATATTTTAAAAAAAAATATAGAAGCACAAACAAAGAGGAAAAAGGTGAAGTCAGTGCAGAGTGCCCAAGAGGGAGCTGCCGGGAAGCCAGAGGGCGTGTGCCACAGACAGCCAGCACTGCCAGCCGGTTGGCTGAGGGAGCCTGCTCACGGTCATCGCACAGGCACGGAAGCCACTTTCCAGAAAAACTCGTGATTGGATTTCTTGTGAGGCATCTCAAACTTAATGTGTCTCAAATGGAATTTTCCTGCCTTCTCCTCCTCCATGTCTTTCCTCAAGTCTCCTCATATCATTCATCTCCTGCCCTCCCCCTCACTGCTCCAAGCAGAAACCTGAGCAGTGTCCATTTCCTTCCTTTTCTTCACCTAAATCTGCTCCATGAGGATACCTGTCAATTCCCCCCAAATTATCCTATATCAGCATGCTTCTCCCCGCCTCACTTGGTACCACTCTGGTTCCAGCTACCACCTGCTCCACCTTGAACTTCTGCAAAGCCTCCAGCAGCAGCTGGAGTGACCCCTCGCTCAAGATCCTTCAGCAGCTCCCTGTGCCAGGACACATGGCAAGCTGGCCCTGCACGATCGGACCTCTGCCTTCCTTTCTGGCTTTACTTCATGCCTGTTTCCCCATTGCTCACCGCATTGTAGCTACACAGACCTTCTCTTTGCCTTAAATGTGCCAAACTAGCTCTCACCTGTCTTCTCTTTGTGCATGCTCCCCCTTTTCCTCCCAGGCATGCTCCAACCTCCAAGTCTGCATGGCTTTTCCCTTCTTTTCCTTTATCCTAACAGCCAACCTCTTGGAAAAGCTTTCTCTGGTTTAATCTAAAGACGATGTCCCTTGTGTTCTCTAGTCACTTTTCTTCTTAGCTTTTATTGGATAAGTTCCTTGAGGGCTAGAATAAGGTATTTGTCCTATTGCTCAACTGCCTTATCCCTTGTGTTCCTGGGCCTGGGCCAGATCTTTGAATGGATGGAGGGACTCAATTATCTCAGCAGCAACTGTATCAGCATCAGTCACTGTCCTTGGCAACACATGTCCTGTGAAGTGTAGTCACTCAGTATACATGTGGGTATATATAAAATGTTCCTGACTATTTCTGCTGGAAACTAAACCCCAAATGCCATAACCTTGATGCTTTTGCTATTGTCTCACTCTTGAATGAGACCTTTCCTTCTCTCCCAAAAGCTTTCCCTTTACCTGGTTGTACGCAGATTTGGTGCTTCCTTGGACTTCTGGGCTTACATACAGAGCAGTGCCAACCATCCCAGTCAAATGACCTGCATGAAAGAAGACGAGAGGAGGGTTTCCAATAACAGGACTTAAAAAAGGCAAATTCTCATTAAAAAAAAGTTTCTTGTGCTATGACTGGGAAGCAAGTCATGACCTCCTGGCTCATAGGTCGACACTCAACCACTGAACCACACTGGCCAGATTATGGTGTTTTTTAATACATAAATAAAATATACTGAATTTACCTGAAGGATCTGATTTAATTAAGTGATCTCCTGCTGCATCATCTTGTTTGCCATCAGCCTAAAAGTATAAATAAGCCAAGAATCAGATTAAAATGTCTTATTATTCCAAACAAATGGCTTATCCATTTCTAAATAAAGACTGAATGAAAAATATCATACAGAAACCAGAATAATCGTAATAAAGCTTTTTTTTGAGCTGTAAAATTTTTTGTTTACTTAGCCCACTAATGCAGAGCTTGCCACAAACCCAATAAGATCAAGAAGAAGGGCAATTCACTATAGAACTCTTTCTTTGTGACAGAAACCCCTGAAGTTTAGAGAAGCAAATGCCAAAACAGAACCTATTTACCAGGAAGAGGAATATTATATTAACAACCACCATCACCACCTCACTGTCTAACTTTCCCATTCATTTGGGTCAATTTTTATTCTTTTTTCCCAGAGGCTGGCCACCAAATTTCCACCCTCACTGCAAACACCTCTTAAGTAGCCTCACCTTCTCCCACTGTACCTGTGACAGTGCTGACTCACGTATTACCCTAAATCACTACTTTGCTGACATCACTCCATAGGTCGCTATCACAAGCACCATCACCAATACTGGTAGCCGGGCACTGACCACAGCTTTCCTGTTGTCTTATTTTATCCTGCTGACAGCTCTCTGAAGTAGGTAGTAGTATTAGGTGCCTTTTGCAAATGTGTTTATTGAGAGGTTAACCAATTGCCCAACGTCACAATACAAAGAGTTGGGAGAGATAGGATTAGTCCAACTGTGCTTTTATCTACCTCACTATATAAGCTTTCCAGAAAGCAGGTTAAATTCTTTAGTTTGGGGACCAAGATCCCCATCATTTAGCCCTTCCTTGGTCTTAGCATTCTTCTAAATACCCTGTACTGGTCAGGACCACGTTCTTACTGACCCCCTTCCACCTCCTCCCTCTCTGCTCCTTCTAACCTCTCCTTCTAATTCAGCCTCTATTTCCCATTTATCCAGATGGATTATTTACCATTAATCCAAATCCTATTTTATTTTTCCTGACCATCCTTAGAATTAACGACATTTATCTACGGCATACATTTTGGAACTTGGGCTTCCAATGTCAAGTAAAACTCTCCCTCTGGCACTCAAGGTCTGCCACCTACAGGAGTTCCAACCTCACAGCATCCTCTCTCACCCGACACCATGCTGGCCTTCACTCAATCATGTCTGCTCACCTGAGGGCCTTTGCAGATGCTATTTTTGCTGGAATCCCCTATCCTGGTATCACTATGTCCTTCCCTCAAGCTTGGCCTGCTGGACTCACAGCCATCCTTTAAGGCACATTTGCAATGCTGTTTTCTTTATATAGTTTTTCTTGATCCTCATAACCATATACAAATTTTCTCAATTTAGCTCAATTCACATTATTTACTTTTGTATATTAAACTACTCCAATAATGCTGTGAAAAACAAACATCTGGATTACATGTTGTCTAGAAGTGATGTTTTATGCTTTTTGAGCCTTATTTTCTTAAAATAATTAAAAACTGCTCAAGTGCAAAGCACCTAGCCCAGTGCCTGGTGGGGTAGATAAAAAAACAAATTATTTCATAAAGTATTATATGCCTAAATATTGACATAATTATGTCCCTCGAGTGAAATGCACTCACTAAAATGCACTCACGATTTCAAAGCGTAAAAGGTCACTTGCATCTTACCCCTTCAGACTCGTGTCGCTTCCTAGGGCTTACACAGCACAGTTCACTGATTTCATTACTATCCTGTCTTCTGACACTTTCATTATTATCAAAGCATGCAGGGCCCTTTTCAGGCATAGTCGAATTTTAAAAATACTCACAGCAAAGGGTAGATGGTCTGTCGCCAAACCAAAATCACCTATTTTTACGTGGTCGTCGGAATCCAAAAAAATGTTGACAGGCTTCAAATCCCGGTGGATCATTCCCTGATGGGAGAGAGCAAAGAAACCAAGTTTAACCTGTTTCCTAGCTACTTTGCCTGGGAAACGCTTGCCTTTCTTCACTCAGTTAAATTATACCAACATTTACAAGTGCCAACACATTTTCATGAGGATTTCCACGGTAATGCTAACACTTCAACTTTGAATCCCCAGCACACACAGAATGTGCTCAATGTACACTTATTACATGACCATGCTCCACTTCCTAATGGCATTCTCATAATGCATTTGTTCCAGGTATTATAATATAGGAGATAATTAAATGTAATAAATAAAAACACATTGTGTGATCCTTTTTACCTTACATGAAGGTACATTTGGGCACCCTAAAAAACAACAACCAAGAAGTCCTTGTCTGCCTGTATTTCTAGGTGTGGCAACATGTTAGCTAGCCAACAAATGATTAGCAGACATGGAGCAAATTAGATTGAGAGAAGAGAGCTCAGGGGCACGGTTGTAGGACCCCAGGATGATATCACAGTAATAGAGTTCTAGTGACCCTCACTAGAACTCATTTTTATTTCCGTCTTGAAAATTCTGTTTCCATCAAATCATTTATAAACCAGACATGTGTTAATTACAATTCTGGCTTTTCAGTAGAAAAATGGTACAGTATAAATATTTCGAGGTTAAAGAAATTGAGGCAAAGGAGAAAACAAATTTACACTAGTTAAATGCATTAGACAATTCCAGTTTTTAAAAAGTAAGAGTGCTTCATCCTGAAGCTAGGCCCATTAGCATTTACATTAGCATTTACATTGTAATGGAAATTTCTAGCTTTATAATGACACCAGTATACACATCCAGGCATGGGGTGTGTGTGTGTGTGGGGGGGGGGGTGGTGAGGAGAAGGTCCCTCAGCCAGGCCTGGGCCCTCTCGGGGAGTGGGCCTAAGCCAGCAGGTAGACATCCTCCCGAGGGGTCCTTAACACTGCCACCACCACCAGCAGCCATGAGCCCAGCTCAGGACTTTTAGCTGAACAGCACTCCCCCTGTGGGAGCGCACTGACCACCAGTGAGCAGCTCCTGTGTTGAGCGTGGTCAGTGCATGTCATAGCAACCAGTCGTTCCTATCCAGTTGATTTGCATATTAGGGTTTTATTATGTAGGATTTTATACATGTGGCAAACCATGTTACTCAACAAGACCCATCTCTGTCCTTGCCAGATGACTTTCTGGTTCTCCATGTTCCTAGGAAGGGTGGCACCAAGTCAGAATCAGATAACTTGGCCTGCATCAATCACATTCTCACTGTATTCTAAACCACTCTAGGAGTCCTCATATTCTAGGCATGTTCACGTATTTCCTAACCAGGAGGTTGACAAAGTTTTTCTGTAAAGGACCAGAAAGTAAGTATTTTAGACTTTATGGGCCACAGAACCTGTCATAACTATTCAATTCTGCAGTTGTAACATAAAAGCAGCCATACACATTATATGAGCATGACCCTGTTCCAATAACACTTTATGGACAGTGAAATTAGAATTTCATAGAATTTTCATATCATGAAATATTCTTTTGATTTTTAAATAATCACTTAAAAATGTAAAAGCCATTCTTATATAGGCGAGGTCATACATAATGTGGATTGGATTTGACCTGTGGGCCATAGCTTGCTAATCCTTGTTCTAACCTTCAATATTTTCTTTTAACTTTGATATTTTGACTGTTTTCTTGTCTCTTGACACATTGTTCTAGTGCCTATAAAAATAGATTATTTTCAATATACACATAATTTTCTATTTCTGTTTTTCTCCAATCTTACATTATTTGATTTTTTTATTGGGTCCTAAATTTTATATAAAGATAAGTTTTCAGATATGAAATGTTGTAGTTTACTTTCTCATGGATGTAAGCCAGTCCATCCAGAATCTCTCGAAAAAGCCTCCAGAGCCTGTTGGTGTCCTGATACAGTCCCTGGTCAATGGTGTCACGTAAAGTGCTCTTTTCACAGTACTCCATCTACGGACAAGAACAAACCAGGAGGGATTTGACTGTACAGAGTTTAATTGAAGACAATTGCAATGAATGTAATCCTTCATTTTAAAACATGCACCAGAGGTTTCAAATAGCTATGGGAAAGGGCTTGATTTTTTTTTTTAATTGAAAAACAAAAAACAAAAAACCAAGAGTATTAAAAAATTGGGGATGAAATATGCATAATCTTAGCAACCTAACATAACCAATTTTTCATATTACTGTTCATTTAAAAATTACCTTGTTTAAAATCCCTGTCACGAATAATATAAAAATTGAGAAGTATACTTTTATTTATTGTTTTACAAGATTACTTCTAACCCAAATTTTCAAGATGGGCTAATTATCCTAATGATGTCATTAGCCTTTTTCATTTGTACATTACATTAATGACGGTGACCTTCAAGTCTAAAATAAAACATTATAAATATAAAAACAATCCAGAAAGGACTCTATTTCATCCCTTAAATGTATTGATGTATCAGAAAACAATGATTTATCAACATGTAGCATTTGATTTATGAAACTAGACTATATGTTTCAAACCAGTGCCAGAGTTGAGATTTCTCATGAAGGAGGATTTTACTGTTTTTAAAGAAAGGAACGTCTCATTTTAAAAGAGAGGAACATCCTCTGATGATTCAAATAACCATATACAAATTGTGACTCACTCTCCAGGCCTCACATGGCCTCTAACTCCCACCCATAGTCCTACCACACCTCAGATGCATCTCTTCTATGCACTGTCAGAGCAATGGCATGTAGTAGATACTCAATAGGTAGTTGTTTGGGAGACGAATGCTTTATAGAGTTTGAGAGTAGTATCTCAAAGATGTTTCTGTTAGCCCTGGCTGGGTAGCTCAGTAGGTTAGAGTATTGTCCTGATACACCAAGGTTTCAGGTTCAATTCCTGGTCAGGGTACATAAAAGCAGCAACCAATGAATATATATAAATAAGTGGAATAACAAATCAATGTTTCTCTCTCCTCCTACTTCTCTCTCGCTCAACTCAACAAATAACACTTAAAAAAAAAAAACTTTAAAAATAAATAATTAAGATAAAAAGATGTTTCAGTAGGGAATAGCAAAAACTAGTTCCAATCCCAGGAAAGCAACTACCTAGTTAGCCTCTTTTGAAACACTAAACTTGTCTGAAAATTGTCAAACTTATCTTCATATTTGAAGACCTGCCTACTTGCAGATATGACTGAATATACTAGTAATGGTCCAGGTCCTGTTCACTTGGGGTAGAGGCAAGTCTGCCTCTTTGGTTTGTGGCTGTCTCTCTGCTGGCAGAACTCACCACTGTCCAGAACGCCGCCCCTCAGGCATGGGGGCAGGCGAAAGCCAACAGGCTTCCCTTTAGTCATGCCTCATTGCAACGGGTTAGCCTGTGGCTCTTATCCCCGAGAGGTTCCAGGACAAGCCAGTTTGCCTAAAGCCACGCTGGTGTTTCTTCTGCACATGCAAGGATGTTTGTGCATCAGACCTTAACTGGCCAGATTCAATTTGTTAGACCAAGCAGAGTTCCTTACATACAGTCTAGCACTTATGAAACTCGAATATGGTTCTAATTACTTCACATACATTATTTTATTTATGCTTCACAAGTCATAGAGATTGCTGTTATTTAATTTACAGATAAGGAACCTGAGGCACAGACTGCTGAAGAGCCTTGCCTGAGCTCACACAGCAGTGGCTGGTAGATCCAAGATGTGAATTACACAGCCTGAGTCTGGAACCCATAAGCAGCACCCTATGCCGTCTCCTGCTATGGCACAGGAAAGCATGAGTGCGAGGCCAGGGGAAAGGGCCTCCATGCTGCAATCCTTTCTAGACAGTGGGCAGAGTAGGACCCACTGGCACTACCAAAGGTTAGTCTCCTGAGACATATCCACCAGCAATTACTGGTCAACACGCTGCACGCAGACCTCACCTGAATGTAGAGGTAGTGCACAGCTTCAGTGGTCACCGATAACTCACTTTCATGGCAACTATTCTTCCCATTACAGCCTTCATCCTAAACCAAGAGGAGCACACAAGAGCTCAAAGTGGAGGCTAACATTAAACAAGGCCATCATCATTATCATCAACTCATTTGTACCTGCCCCCACCAAATACATGGCCATCCCTTTCCTAGAGGGAAGATCATCGGGCAGAACACAATCACTGTCTTTTAGTTGCTTACAACATTCTAAAGACAATGTTGCTATTATCTGAATCCCCTGAATAGTTTCCAGGTCTGTCACTGTACAGCATAAATGATAGGAAAAATTAAAAAAAACAACAGGTCGGTATTAAAGGTGCAATCTATAGAAAAACTCCATGTCAAATCAGTTCTTTCTTACCATTATATCTTTGTCTGGATAAGGAAAGCAGAATGCGTACAGACTAATATTTTAAAGCTTCAGTTTTACTGAATGCCTTCCTTTGGAAACAGATTAGAAATTCATCTTTAGCCAAAACAATTTAAATGGATCATATGATCCCAGACACACTGCCCTTTGGGTTACACTGCCGCAGAGCATGTCCTCCAGTGCCACTTACAGCCTCTCTACTACTTTCCTCTCTACTACTTTCCACATGGTAGTCTGTCTGTCTCCTTCAGCTAATTTTCTAACTCATGTCCCTGTTTTTTAATAAATTATTTTTTCTTCTAATAGATGAATTTAATACCCCCCCACCCAGGTATAAAAAAAAGCATTCGGCAGCATTTGACCTTTTTCTTTCTTCACGAGTGTCTTTACTCTGCTCCAAATTGCTTGCATTTGTTAACCAAATATGCCAGTTCAAAATGGCCTCAGTTAATTTAGGGGGGGAAAATCTGCCATTTGAGACTGAGGCCTTGACAATTTCTGACTTACACTTTCTTCATGGAAGCACTCTTCAACATTTTTCCTTTATCAAAGAAAAAATAATTCTGATCTGGAAACAATCATATGTTCCTCTTGAATCATTTATATACTCTGGGGATTATCTGTAGAAGATTGTTAATTTCCTGGAGGCTTCTCCCCATTAATTAGAACACTTGTGGGATCGTGCCCTTAATGGAGCAAAGCCAGGTGTATAAATCTGGTGACATCATAATAATTAAATGCATTAACTAATGCTAAAACCAAAGAATGTTTGCTTTAGCAGTTTACTGTATTTATAATATTATTACTGATTAATTTACAATTCATAAATTTAAATCAAGAGGATGATTTTAAGAATGATTTTAATCAAAAGGAAAAGTACTTATTAAAAAATACTGGTGAGCCAAAACCGGTTTGGCTCAATGGATAGAGCGTCGGCTTGGGGACTGAAAGGTCCCAGGTTCGATTCCGGTCAAGGGCATGTACCTTGTTTGCGGGCATATCCCCATTAGGGGGTGTGCAAGAAGCAGCTGATCGATGGCTCTCTCTCATCGATGTTTCTAACTCTCTATCTCTCTCCCTTCCTCTCTGTACAAAATCAATAAAATATATTTAAAAAAAAAATACTGGTGAATGCATTTAAATCTCCTTCAAATCAATTTATGCTTATCTAACAGAATTTATATGTAGATTTTGCTTTATCTATTATAAATGCCTCTTGTAATTACTAATGATTATATTTTCATTTCTGGTAATAAAATCACTGTCTTGAACCCCCAGGTGCAGAATGCTTCTCTATATATCAACAACGGATGGCCTTAGTAGTTAAAAAGCTTCCTCCTGGACTCCATGTACCAGCATCAAGGGGCTTTGCTGGCCTGGGCAGATGAAAAAAACATAATTGAGTAGGGTTTAAGGCCTAGCATAGTGTTTTTCAAATTTTTATGACTATGATCCATATAAAGAAAGAAATATATTTTATATCACATCAAGTGCACACACCCATGAGAGACAAATTCCACACAGTTTACCTTTATTATCATGACACATTTTGGTATTCTATACTCCTCTCTAGAGCATTAAGAATAAAATAATGCTGGTTGTAATTCTCAAAATTAATTTCAGGTTATGGCTCAGTATAAAATGAAAATAAAGAATCAAGATTAATTGATGTGGGAGAGAGACCTACTTTAACTCTACAATTAGGCTGTTTAGTTATTCAATTAATTTATATTCAATCCTCATTCCCAACTACATAAAGTTTCCCAAAATCCTCAAGGAAAAGGCTTTACTTTTTAAAAATACAGGGTATCAATTTACTTCTTTTTTATAAAAGCAGGCATATTTTATCAGGTGGATAAATTAAGTCCTGTAAATAAACATGTGAGAAGTATATAATTTATTTTAACTTGAAGGTTTCTATATTTGCATATTAGATTAAGGTTATTTCACCTGATATTTGTAACATCAAACATTAGTTTTCTTACATACTCACCCCATGATGAATAAAATGGTGTAATTTCTATTTATAAATCTACCTGATTCTGGCTTTTACTGTTCTCATCTTCATTGTCAAAGATGATATCACTTTCAGAGTCTGAAGCAGGTCTTAAAAAGAAAAATAGAAAACTACTAAAGAAACCAAAATCCCTATTATAATTTTGAAAATCAAAACTTGTTAATGATTAGAAAGCAAAGCAACTAGAGAAACCATACCATGACCCTTCAGGCATAAATCTGTCCACAATAACATGCTGATTTATATTCCCCTAATATATGATGAAACACAGAACTCAATTTAAATAAAAATTGGCCTGAATAATTTTCCTGAAAGAAATTTAATAGTCAAGAGCTACGATAAACTGTATCCAATTTGACACAAAAGAGTAAAGTCATCATGATATTAAATGACTGGGGTCTGAGCCAAGACCGGTTTGGCTCAAGGGATAGAGCGTCGGCTTGGGGACTGAAGGGTCCCGGGTTTGATTCCGGTCAAGGGCATGTACCTTGGTTGCCGGCATATCCCCAGTAGGGGGGGGGGTAGGTGCAAGAGGCAGCTGATCGATGACTCTCGTCAATGTTTCTAACTCTCTCTCTCTTCTTCTCTGTACAAAATCAATAAAATATATTAAAAAAAAATTAAATGACTGGGGTCTGAGATGAGTAACTAGAGTTTAGGATCTTATTGGTTTGGTAACCTTTTCTGGAGCTTCGGTTGGCATTGCATCAAGACTCCAAATTACTTTTTCAATGTTCCATAGAGTTGGAAGCCCTTATCTAAAAGAATGACCTTTTAAAGAAGTGTATTAAATATATTAAGATGAGGTATTGGAAGAAATTTCTATTTTTCCTTTCTTCCAGGCTTGGGTTTTAGAGATCTTTTGAAGATAATTTGGGGGGTGGGGAGGATCCTTTGGATTGCCTTTGGTTACTCCGTAAAAGTGGGTTTCATATTTTGATTTTTAACATGGTCAACGGGACTGGATTTCTAATGGAATCTCCACTCCATCCTGCGATGGGCTTGGGGTATAAAACGGGCGTGCCCGCAGGCAGCCGGGCCCTGGCAGCGCTCTTACAAGAAGGACTGTGAGAAGACGCCGTCCAGCTCATCCTCCTCGTCCTCGTCGCTGCTGGAGCCCTGGCCCGCGGCGGAGCGCTCGGCCGATGTGCTCCACTCCACCGAGCTGGTGAGGATGGGCGGCGGCGCGGCTGCCTCCACGCTGTCCGGGCCGTCCGCGTCGCCGCCGCCCAGCCCCGGCCGGGCTGCCGCGGGGCCGTCCCGGGCCTCGGGCCCCGTGTCCTCGGGCGAAGTGCTCGGGGCCGCCGGCCGCTCGTGTTTCTCGATCCAGGCGTTGTAGTAGCGCACGATGTTCTCATGGTGCAGGCGCGACAGCAGCGTCACCTCGCCCTTGATCCTGCGGAAGTGCCTGCTGGCCGGGTTGACGGGGATGCGCTTCACGGCGTAGCAGCAGCCGTCCAGCTTGTTCTGCACCTGCGGCGGGAGAGGGGCCGGCACCGTCAGCCGCTCAGAACCTTAAGCAGCCTCTGCAGCCTCACCCAAGCCCGCCAAAGGAGAACCTGGAGTTCTGAGTGAACACAGCTCCAGTCTGGAACTCCTAAGCTGGAAAAAGTGTTGACAGCCAAAAACTTAGAAGACATCTCACACTAAACCAGATGGATTGAAATTGCTAAGAACCCCTGGGAAAACAAAAACATTTTAACCATTAACTGTAGAGACAACTTTTCTAATAGCATACCTGCTACCTGCTATCTAAGTTTCTAAGTAAAATCTTGTTCCTATCTTAACCTTGTTTTAAAAATAATTATTTTCTAAAGTCAGTGTAAGGCTTCAGAAGATGACTTTAGTTTTTCTGATTTTTCTTTCTTTCTTTCTTTCTTTTTTTTTTTTTTTTACTTTTAAAGTCTACTAAACCCAGACTGCACTCCAAAAATTTCAACAGACCTAAATGAAAATTCTAATTCTCAACTTATAAAGCTGTGTTAATTTAGTCTATTTCCTTAAGACTTACTGGTAATTTTCTCATCTATAAAATGGTATCTATACCACTTTCTTTACCTCAGAGGGTGACTATAAAGATTAAATGAGCCGGGCCTGTGTGGCTCAGCAGTTGAGCATCCACCCAGCAACCAACAGGTCACTGGTTCCACTCCCAGTCAGGGCACATGCCCATCCCCAGTAAGAGGTGTGGGGAGGCAGCCAATTGATGATGTTCTTCTCTCACCAATGTTTGTATCTCTTTATCCCCCTCCCTCTCTCTTTCTAAGAAATCAATAAAATAAAATAAAAACATGAAAAAAAATTAAATAAGTCCTGGCCAGGTGGCTTAATCAGTTGGAGCACTGACCCATACACCAAAAGGTTGCAGGTTCAATTCCTGGTCAGGGCACATACCTAGTTTTTCTGATTCAATCCCCAGTCGGGGAACATTCAGGAGGCACCTTATTGACATTCCTTTCTATATCCATGTTTTTCTCTTTCTCTCTCTTCTTCTCTCTCTGAAATCAATGGAAACATATATCCTTGGGTGATGATTGGGGGGGAAAAAAAAAAGATTAAATGAAATGATGTGGATAAAGCACCTGTATCAAGGCTGCACAGAAAAAGGTGCTCAGTAGGTAGCAGCAGTTGGTATTAAGACAAGTAATGCCCACTGATTTTTTTTTTAGAAAGACTGCAGATTTACCACTGATATGTATTGAAACTAGAACAATATCATTAGCAATGCAACAAAATATAAGTACAAGTTTCAAAGCCAAGTCTCAGGCATCCTTATGCCGGGCAATTTTACTGTGCAGTTGGGTTGACTGAAGTACTTTTTATAAAATCCCATTCACCAGAATATCCTAGACTTAACCCTACAGTTCAGCTGAGGTAATGAAAAGGTAACTTGACAATGGACAGAGGGAGAAACTAGTTGATTACAAAAAAACAATACAGCACATCAAGTGTTTGGTTCATAGCTTTCAGGTTACTGTGTGTGTAAACAGATGCTATCAAGTAAAACAGATATGGGTCTGAGGACAGTGGGAAGTCTTAACATTGTCTTTCAATCTCCTATCTCAGTACATATCATATATATATATTGTGACTCACTGGAGTGTGGAACTTGCTATATTGGAAACACCTAGGAATTCACTTATTCAAATGGAAAGGTACATGAACAGTAATGGGTCCAAGTGCCAATGAAATGCCAGACCACTGAGCAGACTGCCCTGCCCTAACCGGGAGACAGAGGGGGCTTTGAGGTCTATGAGGTTCTCACAGGGAGAAACTACTGGAAAAACTTTGGTGTTTAAATTACTACGATGTTTTAGTTATATAAGCTTACTAATAATTTTTAAGTATTTATAAGAAAATGAAGTTTGTATTTTTGTTGGTTGTTTTTTGGAAAAAAAATATTTTTTAAATACCGTATATTTTATTGATTTTGTACAGAGAGGAAGGGAGACAGATAGCGAGTTAGAAACATCGATGAGAGTCATCTATCAGCTGCCTCTTGGACACCCCCTACTAGGGATGTGCCCGCAAGCAAGGTACATGCCCTTGACCGGAATCGAACCCAGGACCCTTCAGTCCCCAAGCCGACGCTCTATCCACTGAGCCAAACCGGTTTCGGCTGTTTTTTGAAAAAATATTTTTATTGATTTTTATGGAGAGGCAGGGAGAGTGATAGAGTTAGAAACATCAATGAGAGAGAAACATCGATCAGCTGCCTGCATTCGCCCTACTAGGGATTGAGCCTGCAACCAAGGTACATGCCTTTGACCAGAATCAAACTTGGGACCCTTCAGTCTGTGGGTTGAGATTATCCACTGAGCCAAACTAGTTAGGGATGTTTGTTTTTTAAAATATATTTTATTGATTTCAGAGAGGAAGGTAGAAAGAAAGAAAGAGAGAGAAAGGGAGAAAGAGAAAGGAGAGAGAGAAAGAGAGACAGACAAACATCAGTAATGGGAGAGAATCAATGAATGGTTGCCTCCTGCACACCCAACACTGGGGATCAAGCCTGCAACACAGGCATGTGCCCCAACCGGGAATCAAACCGTGACCTCTAGGCTCATAGGTCAATGCTCAACCACTGAGGTGCAATGGCTGGGCTGGTGTTTAGCCTTCAAAAATCTAAAATGTAAAGAAGTTAAAGGACTTCATCAAAACTACAGGTTGAGCCGAAACCGATTTGGCTAGGTGGACAGAGCATTGGTCTGCGGACTGAAGGGTCCCAGATTCTATTCCGTTAAGGGTATGTACATTGGTTGCGGGCACATCCCCGGTGGGGAGTGTGCAGGAGGCAGCTGGTCGATGTTTCTCTCTCATCAATGTTTCTAGCTCTCAATCCTTCTCCCTTCCTCTCTGTAAAAAATCAATTATATATATATATATATATATATATATATATATATATATGACAAAACTACAGGTTGAGCTAGAGGGATAATATATACTTTAATCATTCACTCCTCTTAAAGATAAGTATGATGACCTTTTCTGCATATCTGTCCTCAGTATATCTATTTAATCACCTAAATGTAATGTCTCTAATTTCAAGAAGAAAATTGAAAATTTCCCATACTATAACATCCTTTTGGAAAATTGGCTTAAGATGGTCTTTCTATTCCTGATAACCACAAAAAAAAAAATGCAATTAATTTTTTTAATGTAAAAAGCCTTCCACCGTAATACTAGTAATATTTCCTAATAACAGTGCAAAATCATAAATAGACATATGCCCTACTTTCTTACATGTAAGATGACATATATCTTATATGGACTTAATAATACTATATTAATCTGGGTTTCCTAAATTCAAACAAAATACTTATATTAAAAAAAGCTAAAATCTTTCCAAGGGATAGGTAATAATAAAAGTCCCCCAAACAGACTGGACTAAAGAAGGGAAGACCTCACTACAGCATACCTTAATAATGTATCACTAATTTCCCACCTCAGTAGGAGATGGAAAATAAAAGCCACCAAGACCATCTGGGGCCATTTCCCAGTTGAAATTCCATCTTAGTTCTAACCTCGCAGCCCTTTTATCTACAGTAACCCTGAAAGCAAATGGGAGAAAAAGAGAATAATTTTCTTTCTAAACCAAAGCACACAAAAATGTTCTTCATGTAAAGGTCTTGACGCCACTTGGGCTGTTACCATCATGTGGTTTTCACATTATTAACACTGCATCAACCCAGGGAAGAAGAATGATGTGTTCTTAATGGGTCCAGTGTAACTTTAAATAAAGCCTTTAACTCCACGAAGGTGAAGATAATCATAGCTTCAAATGATAGAATTCACTTCCCTCTTCGCTCTCAAAATAGAAGTCAAGCCCGTAGTGCAGAAATGGAACAGAGCAGGAGCTCTTACAGGGCCCGGGACCACCCTGTAGCACACCTTGATGACAGCTCCAAAAGCTCCTTTACCGAGAAGCTGTAATTCTTCAAACTCATTGAAATAGCGGGAAAACTGTCTCTGTGTCTCACTGAAGAATGCAGTACTGGGTAGCCGGTTGCTAGGAATAACAGTCTCAATGTAATCTTGTCCTCCAAAATCTGAGATAAAACAAAAGACAAGAGGCAAATGAGGCAGTAGAAATACAGGAAGAGCTGCAATATACAACAATGATTCAAGCGTCAGCCAGTAGTTTGAAAAGATACCTCTTACTTGGAAGACTGTTTAATATTTTCCTCACCTTGTCCTCTTTAAAGTAGGTAGAAATATATAATTAGGCCAAGTTTGCAGGTGTAGGTAACTGAGACAGAGAGTAAAGAAATGACTGGATGACAGAGCCAGAACCCAAACCCAGGTCTCCTAATCCACCCCACTCTCTACTGAGATCCCTTAATATGCTACTTACATAGCAGCAAGGAAATCCAGTTACGTGGTAATAAGGGCAACATGACAAGAGTTAATAAACACTAAAAGAAGCTACACCAGTGGTCATCCCATCAGTAGAGACTGGAAAAGCCAGGATGGCAAAAACAATTCCAGGCACACAGGACACATTGAATGAATGGATTTACTAGTATGTATATAGCTCAGCAAAAAACAGATAAAATAAACCATTCATGTAGTCCCTTCCAGTTTTAGGATTATATATACTTTCAAAGTAATTTATATCAAGCAGGGTATACAAAAAGAATGGTAAAAGACTCACCTTCGGGACTCTGTTCCAGTAAAGGTGTTTTTGGCTGAGGGTTTATAAAGCTGTGTTTCAACAGCTGCTGAGGACTCCACCTTTCCTTGTCATCCAGGCAAACACATCTCAGTGAGAGAGGAGAAAGAATCTCAGCAACACAAAGTAACTGCTGAACTAGTAAATCTAAGGCATTCATCTATGGGTTTATCTTGTAAAGATGCACATTAGAGGATTCATGTTACTTATGAACTCAGAGGAATTTAAATTAATAAACATTCCTGCAGGATTTACATGATAAGCACCACGCTGGGTACAAATGGGAAATCAAAAAAACGTAGACAGCAGCCAACCAGATGGGAAATGGTATTTGCAAACAGTAGCTCTGACAAAGGTTTAATTTCCAAAAAATATAAAGAACGCATAAAACTCAACATTAAACAAACAAGCCAATCAAAAGGTATTGCAGAGGACCTGAAAATGCATCTCTCCCAAGAAGACACAGCAACAGCCAATAGATGTATGAAAAGATGTTCAACCTCACTGGAAACTAGGGAAATGCAAATCAAAATGACAATGAGATGGCCATTACCAACAAGACAAGCAATAACAAGTGTTGGAGAGGTTGTGGAAAAAGGGAACCCTCATTCACTGCTGATAGGAATGTAGACTGGTACAACTACTTTGGAAAGCAGTCTGGTGATTCCTCAAAAAATTAAGAATAGAGCTACATTACAACCCAGCAGTCCCACTCCTGGGTATATACCTGAACATGTGGAAATCATATATTCACAAAGATATGTGCACTCTATATTCACTGTAGCATTATTAATGGTGCATAAGACATAGAAACAACCAAAGTGTCCTGCAATAGAGGACTGATTAAAGATGTGGTACACATACACAATAGAATCTCCTCAGCCATAAGAAAGGATGAAATAGCGGCATTTGCAACAACATGGATGGACCTTGAGAACATGATGCTAAGTGAAGTAAGTCAGTCAGGAAAAGCTAAGAACCGTATGACTTCACTCATATGTGGGATATAAAACTGAAACTCATGGACACAAACAGCAGTGTGGTGGTTGCCAGAAGGAAGTTAGGGGAGAAGGGAAGGAGGCCCTAATATATGGTGACAGAAGATTTGACTGGGTGGTGGCACACAGTACAATATACAGATCTTGTAACACAGAAACCCACATCTGAAACCTACATGTTCATGTTGACCAATATCACCCCAATAATTTAATTTTTAAAAGTGTACAGTAGTCTCCCCTTAGCCATGGTTTCATTTTCCATAGTTTCAATTACCTACAGTCAACTGTGGTCTGAAAAATATTAAATGGAAAATTCCAGAAATGAACAATTCTTCAATTTTAAAATGCACACCGTTCTGCTGTGAATCCTCCCTTCATCCAGCATATACATTACCTGCCTGTTAGTCACTTAGTATCCATCTTGGTTATCAGATTGACTGCTTATGTTCAATAACACTTATTTTACTTTATAATAGCCCCAAGCACAATAGTCTAATGCTATGTCACGAAACCTACATCATCCACCATCTCATCATGTACGCAGTGTATCATCTCACATCACCACAAGAATGATGAGTACATATACTAGAGATATTTTGAGAGAGACCACATTCACATAACATATATTGCAGTATATTGTTATAATTGTGGTACTTTATTAATATTTATTAATCTCTTACTGTTCCTAATTTATACATTAATCGATCATAAGTACACATATATAGGAAAAAACACATAGTGTTTATAGGGTTTGGTAATATTTGTGGTTTCAGACATCCACTGGGGGTCTTGGAATGTATTCCCTTGAAAAAGGGGTACTACTCTAGTCTCCAGAGACAGAAAGACTTACCCTCGTAGAACAACGCTGAAACCATCTAAAAAAGCACAAGTATGCTATGAATTTTCACTCCCATGGATAGTTCAATGACTTGCCATGCTAAACCATGCCTTTCCAGGGACCAGTCATAAAGCTTTCCAAGGAAAGGCAATCAGGTATCTCAGGTAGGGTAGGGACCCACTATGATTCACTTTAGATAAAGCTGTTCATCATAGTATGAGACTATTAACAATTACTTTTTAAAAGTTTCACACTTTATCATATACTTTCTTCTAATTTTCATTCCTTAATCTTATTAGCTTACTGTTGATTTTTGTTTTTAATGTATGAAAACAAGCCATACCTTTAACCCTGTGGTTCTCAAACTGGGTTCCCTGAACAGCAGTGTCAATATAAGTATCATTTGTTAGGAATACAAATTCTACTCCATCCCAGTCCTAGTAAATCAGCAACTCTGGGACTTTGGGAAGTAATCTGTGCCTTAACAAGCTCTCTAGGTGTTTTCAATGCAAGATAAAGTCTGAGAACCACAGTTCTAACTAAACTAAACTGGTTGGCTATCAATACAAATGACCTAAGTAGCACCACTTGGTAGCAGTTGATCCTAATTATAAACAGCTAGTGGCCTGGTGCATGAAAATTCATGCACTGGAAAGGGAGTGTCCCTCAGCCCAGCTGCCCCTGCTCATAGTCCAGGAGCCCTTAGGGGTGAGAGGCGACCCGGTGATCAGGGCAAGGTGACGACCCATCAAACACACCTCTGCTGCTGTCACTGCCAGCAGTATAAGCCTCGGCCAGCCCTGGTTACCTGAGCCTCAGGTGGCACTGGACAGCTGAGCAGCTGCCATCCAAGGCTGTGCAGCTGGGGTGCTGAGGGAACTCGGGGAACAGAGCGGCCTGCCTCCCTTCCCGCCCCCCCAAGGTTGAAGGGGCTGGGCGCCGCCATCTTTGAGGGCACGACAGTCAATTAGCATATTCCCTCCTTATTGGCTATGGGTGCTACCATCTTTGCAATGTTGTGAGGGTCAATTAGCATATTCCTTCTATTAGATAAGATGTAATTAAAAGGATCAACCATCATAATTCTGGATTTAAAATCTATCCTATACAATAGAGAGCTAATATGCTAATTAGACCAGATGGCAGAACAACCTTCCAAAACTATTCCCATTGTTCGAGATGACCTTCTGGAATGACCAGTATGTGTGTGTGGGGGACAGGGCTGTGAGGCAGCTGGAGCTACTGCGAGGGCTGAGGTGGCAGCTGGGGCTGTGAGGGCCGAGCCACTTGCATGATTTTGTATATTGGGCCTCTAGTACCTATATAAAGTGGTGACAGCAACTATCATAAATGGTAATATTTTATTTTTTATATCACAACACTAAAAAGTAAAGCACTCAATTTAATACATTGTAAGGGCAACAACAACAACAAAAAAGATGATAATAAAAGCATTTGGATAAGATACTGTATTTCCCTCTAAATTTAGGATTTTTAATTCTGTCAGCAAAACATGAATACCTTCTCCTTGCAGATATTATGAAAACATTACTGATAATGGAAGAAGTCTTTGACAACCGTCCAAAAAAAACATAGTTTTGTTTTGTGAATATTGATTTTTTTTAAATGGTATCATCCTGCACATATTATTATTTAATTTGCTCTTATCTTTTGACCACATAAAATATACTTTAAGGAGAGAACACAGCATATGAATAAAAGTTGGCCCATTTTCATAACTGTATGTATATCATGTCTACTTCTATTTTATGGTACATAGGAACTATCTTATTTAAAGATGAGTGCAGTTGCCTGGCTGGTGTGGCTCAGGGGTTGAGCATCAACCAGGAGATTACAGTTTTATTCCTGGTCATGGCACATGCCTAGGTTGTGGGCTCGATCCCCAATAGGGGGTGTGCTGGAGGCAGCCGATCAATGATTCTCTTTTCATTGATGCTTCTTTCTCTCTCTCCCTCTCCTTTCCTCTCTGAAATCAATAAAAATATATTTAAAAAAATAAAAATAAGTGCAGCTACTTTACTTTGTAATAGGTATTCCATTAGTGACAGGAAATAATATGGATTAGGTCAGACAGATGGCAGTTGGGACAGATGGAAATAGAAAAAGAAATATTAAGGGTAAAAGAAATGAAATGTAGGGACTGAATGAAATGAATTAAAATGAATGGCTGGGGAAAAGAAATAAGGTGAAAAATAAGACAGATTGTTAGAAAGAGAGAGTCCAGTCCAGGTCAACTTGCTGGAAAGTGAGACTAGAGGAGTATCTAGAAAAACCAAAAGTTAAGAGACATTATTTCTCACTTAATAGAGAATGTAGGTGTGGCGTGGACTGAGAGCAGAGGCAGGGCTAACCTAGAAGGCACTGAGTGAAAAAACCTGCACAAAGACTAGCCCAGAGGAAAACTTCTCAGTAAAGATTCTCTTAAAGTGGATAACACTTGGCTCTGCACTTAAATGTGCACCTGTAATTCATAAAAATCTTCTGGCTAGAGTAAGGAAATCGTTTGCATTCTAAGGCTTGGCCTTAGAATGAGACATCACTGATGAAGAAGAATGGTTAAGAATAAGAAGAATGGTTAAGAATAATGTGGCTCAGTTGGTTGGGCATTGTTCTGTGGACAGAAAGGCTACCAGTTCGATTCCAATCAGGGCACTTGCCCAGATTGTGGGCTTAATCCCAAGTAGGGAGAGTGCAGGAGGCAGCTGATTTTCCTCTGACATTGATGTTTCTCTTTCTCCCCGTCTCCCTTCTTCTCTCTCTAAAAATCAATTTTAAAAATTCTTAAAAAAAGAAAGAACAAGGGGCAGAATTAGTACTCTCCTAAAGATGTTTTCTAAACAGGAGGCCTTGCCTTTGAACCCTTAGGAACCAGAAAAAGGAGGTCAAAGAGACTCTCCCCTTTGGATTTCCTGGGGCATATCCGCCGTAGCCATCCTTACTGACTTCCCAGAGCAGACAGGCCCCAAAAAGCAGTTTAAAAATAAATTATTAAGCCCAAGTGAATTTAGGAAAATGTGGGAGTTAAGGAAATCACAAACATAAGAAAACAGAACATATGTCGCTGGAAAAGAATTGAGAAAACAAAGAATGAACTCTAATTCTGTTGCCCACTTTTCAGCTTATACACATCACCTAGATGTTTAGCATTCAAACAATAAAAGCACAGCAGTAAAGGGCAATTAGAGAGAATCTCAGTGTTACTCACTTCTTTAGAAAATCCTGAAAGTCAGCAGGTAAGTCACTAGGGATGGTCACAGGGTACTCTCCACATTCTTGTCCTTGGCTGAGAGAGAGCAGCAAAAGACCAAGATGCCAAACATCTCCTTTCTTCCCTGTCTTATAAGGCAGAGCACTGTCACTAAAACGAACCCGAGTTTGCTCAAACACATCCTCCTTGCAAATGTCTGCGAGGCGCTTAGAAATGCTGTAATCTGTAATCTTGATGGTGCCCTCTGCGTCCACCAAGACACTTGATGTACCCAGAACCTTGTGCACCACGGAGTTGCTGTGCAGATAATCGAGGCCCAACAAGAGCTGAGCTGCGTACTTGCGAAGCAGGTGCACAGGGATGGGGCCTGTGTGGCTCAGGTGTGCAGCAAGGGAGACCCCATTGAAGTGCTCCACCAGAATGTGCACCACGATGGAGTTGTCTTGCTCTCTGAGATTCATTGCAAAGTAGCGTACTATGTTGGGATGGCTCAATTTTACCAGTGAGTTGAATTCTGTTTCTGCCCCTTGAATCTGATAAGGGGAAAAAAAGGTAATATTGGGTTGATCAGCAATATCTGGTGTTTCACTTCAAAAGTTAAATATTTAATAGAAAACATACTTTCAAAGGATAAGAGAAGGAATTTGTCCTGAACTGACACCTCCCCTAAACCGTTTGGTCAACCTAATAGTTCATGAAGTGAAAGAAATTTAATTAATTCTCAACTTCTTTGATCTCAAAACTTAGTGTATAAATACTATAAAATTAGTGAGCAGCTTTTAAAATTTCTTTTGCAATAGGCTACCAGAACAAGGAAACATTAATTTCAAAATAATTAATTTTAAGAAAACCCTTTCTGATTATAAAGATTAATTGTAAAATTTTTAATAAGTACTAATACAAAAGAAAACCCCCATAAAACAAAACAGCAACAAATTATCTATGTGATTACCACTGAAAGACAATTATGATTTCGGTATTTACTTTCAGATTTTCTTCTATCAGAAATAAACCTACCTTCTAAACACAAGACTTTAACCTACAGTTTTGTTACCTTTTTATTATGTAACATTGTAATATGTAATATTAAATGTTCTTCTTAAATTCCGTGTTATAAATTACTCTAGAATTCTCAAGTCCTCTAGAATTCAGTTTTTAAGTAATATTTAAAAATATTGCAAAAAGCATGCTTATGCAGCACTACTGAGCGTTGGCTATCGATGCCATAACAGAGGCTGAGAAAGGAGGTTAAGAAAGCAGCTGCAAAAGTTTGGGTCACGCTGTGAAAGTTCAGAAACTTGGCAAGAAGGTGCTGATCCCCTACCATGCCTCTGGTTAAACTGATCTCACATCATTCCGATCATCTTTCCTAGCCAATCAAATACAGAGCTATTCTGTCATCTCCTAAGGCTCAAAATTAGGTCTTTTGCTCAGTGAGCCCTCTCGGATGGCCTACCTGTTTTTTGCACTTATCAATCTTTTCTTTTTCTTGATTGGTAAGAAAAGGACCGATATTTTTCTGCCACTGAAGGACCCACTCATACAATAAGACGAAGTTGCCAGTGGCTGTTTCCAAAGCATTGTAGACTAGTTTTCCGAGCTGTTCATCACAGGCTGCACATTAAGAGGAAACGTAATTAACACTCACTGGTACATTTTCTGTGGGAATAAAAAAATGCACATGGCATTCATTTGCCAGTGGATGCCATGTGCTACTTAAGAAAAAATATTATTTCATATAACGCATGCTCTTTTATAACTAAGTTTTAATATTTATCAGTTTACTCTGAGCCCCCCCAAAATAATTACTATAAAGGGACAAAAATCAACAGCGAGATCTTAGTATCTGATGAGTGTTCTCCTAGTAGCCAGGATTCACAATGTTACTGTCATAACCAGTTCACCTCTAATGACAACTCTCAGTGCGACAATGAACCCTTGCAAAGCTAACTACCAACTAACGTGACAGAAGGAATTTGGAAATAGAAACACTCCACCAGATTACTTCATCAATGTACATCAGCGTGCACAGTGTAAACAGTTTCAGTAATCTGGAAATTTGAAAACACAAATGATTTTTCTAAACACAAAATCTGAATACATTCAGTAAACACAAACTAGTTAACAGTTTTGAGGGAAGGAACCAGAAATGACAGCTTAAATTTGAAGCTAGAGAGATACATTTATTTAGTGATAGGCATATGGTTTTCACTTGTATCTGGAGAGCCTCAATTTCTGCAACACCAAAATTTTTCTTATAAAAACGTGTATTTTCATTAAAATTTTGTAATTAAAGTATGTTGGCATTATTCATTTTAGGTATACAGCATGGTGATCTTAATATATGTATACTTGGCAATGTGACAAGTCTAGTACAAGTCTAGTAACCATCTACTGTGCAAAGGCACCATAATTTTAGTGGCTTTATTCTCTGTGCTGTATTTAAAAATCTGTATTTTCATTGAAGACTATTATCAAAAATTGCCAAAAAATTAAAAATGACCAAAAAATCACCCTCAATATCATCATATTTTGTTTTTTGTTTTTGTTTTAAATATATTTTTATTGACTTTAGAGAGGAAGGGGGAGGGAGAGAGATAGAAACATCAATGGTAATTGATTGGCTGCCTCCTTCATGCTTCCGACTGCGGATTGAGCCTGTAACCCAGGCATGTGTTCTGACCAGGAATTGAACTGCAACCTCCTGTTTATAGGTTGTTGCTCAACCACTGAGGCACTCTAGCCCGGCACCATTCTGTTTTATTTCTCTTCTAATCCCCTCTACCATTCCCCGCTCCCTAATTTATGAAATCACAGCATATGTAGCAGGGTTTTTTTTACCCTTGACATTTTGACCAGGTAATCCCTTGCTGAAGGATTATCTTATGCACTGGAAGATGCTGGCTAGCAGCATCCCTGACCTCTACCCACCAGATGCCAATAACACCTCCAACATAGTCTTAACCATCAAAAATGTGTCCAGATATCACCAAATGCTCCCCAAGGGCAATGCCAATCCCAATTGAGAACCACTGATATATAGTGTTCTGCCTTTTTCTCTTGTTATATAAATAATAGTTTCCTGTGATGTTGCACTGTTTTCAAAATGAAAAACTTTTTTTGTGCCGAAACCAGTTTGGCTCAGTGGATAGAGCGTTGGCCTGCAGACTGAAAGGTCCCAGGTTCGCTTCCAGTCAAGAGCATGTACCTTGGTTGCGGGCACATCTCCAGTAAGGGGAGTGCAGGAGGCAGCTGATCGATGATTCTCTCTCATCGATGTTTCTAACTCTCTATTCCTCTCTCTTCCTCTCTGTAAAAAAAAAAGAAAAAAAGAAAAGAAATAAAGAAAAAAAAGAAAAGAAAAACATTTTTTGAAGAAGTAATTTTTTTCCATTTAAAAACTGAAAAGTGAAGTAACCTGCATATGTAAGACATAGAAGAGCCTTAGCAAAAATACTTTGAGAAATGTGGCTGAACTAGCTCACCTAAAGTTTTTATCTGAGAAGCAGTTTTCACTTCACAGAAATGCTGACAATTTAAAAAGGTTTAATTAAAGTGATCTGCTATGCTAGTCATAAACAAATCCTGACATTCTTAGGCTAAACGGAAAAAACCTGATGCGAACCGAAGGAAGTTCCTGTGCAATGTGGGATCTAACTAGTACTACACACACTAGAGACTCAGATAGCATATATTTATGGGATAAACTATGATGTTATTTACATAAAGCTTAACTACATGTGTGTGTTATGCAGTACAATGCCTTAAATATTCTTTTTCCCAACTGGGGCTCGATAGGTATTTCACAATTGCTGGGGTTTGTTTTTTTTGTGTGTTATTTTAAAAAATAATTTTTTTGTTGCCTCTCCCTGTCACTTTTGTCTGATGGGGATAATAAAGGACAAAAGAACACACTGTAATGAGACTGAAGGAAAACATGTCACAGAAAGAACTCGAACTTAGTCTATTATATGCTAACAATGGTCATCATATTATTACAGACAGTTTCTAGTGCTTTATCTATATGGAAGTTCTAATGGTTTTAAAGTGAAAAACAAAATATTAGTTAGTTGACCTTTTATAAAAATATCTCACAGAAAATTAGAACATATTTTAAAAACTAGACCCATTGTGAGAAAAAAAAATTATGTAATTGTTTTATAAAGAACTTTCAGATTGCAAATATTTCCTGATGAGGATTAGGTGAATATGTCTAGTAACTATCAGTGAGAATAGGAAACAAAGTTAAGGTAATAAGTAGATTGATTTCTCTTCCCGATCTCCCAGATTATTAAAAATAGTGAGTTTTATGTTGCCAATTCATGAGTCTGAAATGCCCTAAGCCAAGGACAGTTTCAAGATCAAAGTTAATCATCTCTGCCAACGTCCTGAATCTGTCCAAATGGCTGTTTTGTCTGCACAGGCAGGCTCTGTGTATGCACAGAACTCTGTCCAGTTCAGCCAAGGTCAATTGTCCACTTCACAAACCATTCAGATATTTGGTTTCTTCTCTCTCTACCTGCTGCCTGCTTCCTGGCAGCTCCCCTGTTTATTTATAGCTCCTTAAAGAGGAAGGAAAAAAGACACACACACACACACACACACACACACACACACACACACACACACAAAGCATACTCAATTTAGGTAATTTGGCTACCATATTAATGGGATTAAAAATTAAACATGTTCTCCCCGGAGCTGAAGGGCACAGCCACGCCCTCTTCCTTCTTCCAAGCACTTACATTTGCCTTTCTCTCTGCTAAGCTCTTAGGGCCCTTCTTCTGCCTCTGTAACTTGTTTCCTGCACTTATGCAGCCCAGGTGGCTCACTTCTACTATCTCTGTAACTTTCTAAATAAACTTTATCTTATAAATTGAAAAAAAAATTGTCAGGTTAATTATATACAAGTGATCCCTACACCACTTAGTGCTTATATCAGAACTAGAGGCCCAGTGCAGATTTGTACACCGGTGGGGTCCCTCAGCCTGGCCTGTGCCTTCTTGCAATCCAGGACCTCTCAGGGGATGTCAGACTGCTGGTTTTGGCCAATCCCCATGCCAAAGTGGCAGGCGACTGGGCACTGAATCACTCCCGTTCATCCTGGCCCACTGGGCCTGCTGCTGCGGCGTGGCAGTGCTGTAGCTCGGCAGTGCCGCAGTTCAGCAGCGCTGCAGCCGCTGCGCTTGCCAGCCCTGAGCCTGGCATCTGGTGCCCACCAGCTGAGCGGCACTCACGCCGTGGGAGCGCACCTACTGCATTGAGCATCTGCCCCCGGTGGTCAGTGCATGTCATAGCAACCAGTCAAATGGTTGAATGATCAAACAGTTGACTGGTTGCTTAGGGTTTTATATATATAGATGGCTGATAAAAGATGATGGCATTTAGGGCAAAGAAGTAGATAAATGAAAATTTGAATTTAATATAAACAATTCAAATCATAAATTGCTAAAGCATTTCACTCCAAATAGCCGTCAATAGACAAAACTGCTAAATAAGATACATAGAAAATAAAATGGAAAAAAATAAAATGATTTTCTTAGTCAGGTAAAACATGCTTACTGGGAAAATGCTAACTAAGTAGATGGATATCAACTTAAGAAAATAGGATTTGGTCATTAAAGATCACAGGCATTAGTGAAACTAATATAATATTGTATATCAACTGTAATTGAAAATAAAAAATTAAAGAAAATATCACAGGCATTAGAACTTATTTAAGTGCATATATTTCATTGGTAATAAATTCAGATGATGCAAAATTCTACTAATTCATAATATTTCAACCATTTTGGTTTCAAAAGTTCAACTGATTATAATGATGATGAACTTTAAATTATCTTCCTGCTAACAATATTTCCAGCCTAGGTTTTAATTTCTATCTTACAGAAGGGGAAACCTCAGTAACTTTTCATTCTGGTCATTAGGAATGGAAGCTAGAATGACTATCAGCTCACCAGTCTCCTTAGGCTGCACGGTGTCTATTCTGCTTTGTTTCTTCATGATTAACTTTTGTTGTTAGAAAAGTTACATGAATTTAGTTAGTTTACTCACCAATACATTTTCCTTTGTGCACCATGAGCTGATCAGTATTACCAGTAGAGAAATACAGGATTTCACAAGAGCCAGGAGAATCCTCACTATTACATACAGAATACTGCCGCTCTCGCCTTAAAAATAAATTTCAACAATGATTTTTTCCCCCCAACTTCTTGCCCCTCTATTTTCTCCTCTTTACTAGACTGTTCATAGTCTAACATTTGTTTCCACTGGAAACTGAGCTTGAGGTGCTAATGAGAAAGTTGTTCAACTCCCCCATTTCCCATTGCTGCTTTCCAAATGAACTCTGCAAACCCCCAACTCTAGATCTCCACTGTCCAATGTGGTAGCCATTAGTCACATGTGGATATCTAAATTTAAACTAGTTAGAATTGAATTAAAAGTTCAGTTCTTTGCCCTGGCTGGTGTGGCTCAGTTGACTAAGCATTGTCCCATGCACTGAGAGGTCACTGGTTTGATTCCTAGTCAGGGCACATGTCCCAGATGAAGGCTTGATACAAAGTAGGGGGCCTGCAAGAGGCAGCCAACTGATGTTTCTTTCTCCTTCTTCCTTTCTCTCTCTTTAAAAAATGAATAAGAACTTAAAAAAAAAAAAAATCAGTTCTTTGACTGCAGTAGTCACATTTAGGTACTTAGTAGCCAAAAGTGGCCAGCATTAGTATAAAACATTTTCATCATCACAGCAGTTCTATAGAGATTTAGCTCAACTACATTGGCCCCACAATCTTTTCATTCCAAATGCACATGCACATCCGGGGAAAGCTAAAAAACAGTGTTTGGAGCACTTCAAATTCCTATTCTCCAACTGGGCTCCCAACCACTGAATTAGATGGATACTCTGCCATTTCCTTTTATGAAGTCTCTAAAACACTTAAAGCCAAATCCTCCTCCTCTCTTTCTCTATTCTACTTTTTTTTTTCCCCCCCTAGCTGGGAAGGTAGATTATAATGCAAAAGTAATAAATTGGGGAGAGGGAAGTAGGGAAAAGGCCAGGGAGAGCATTTTTGACGGTCAAGATTGGACCCTTCTAAGAAATGCTTTGATGAGACATATGGATAAATATCTAGAAAGCAGCCCTCTACTCTAAGCACCATCCTGACTTCTACTTTCACATAGAACACGAGGCAAAGAGGAATAAAGCCCACACTTTCTACTGTTCCACCTAAAAAGTTAGTTGGAATCTGTACATTCTTTCTTTTCCCCAGACTCTGAGGAAGGCCAGCTATACTGTCCTCGGTTCCATTTCCTACAGTCTCTCTGGGATCATGGCCCATTGGTTGTCCCTCTCTCCTATATGTGCAATCTGCCCTCTAGATTAGTCCTTCCCCTCAGCTCTACATCTCTCCCATCTCTATGTCCTCTTGTTCTTTGTTTTCAAACTTTCACACTTGCTGTCTCCACTTCTGCCCCTCTATTTACCCCTGATGCTGCCGCAATGTCAATAAAACTGCCACCTCCCTCCTACCCATTCTCAATCTGACTTCTCCCCTGGGTTCTTTTACTTTGGTTTGTGGCACAGTCATTCATTTTGTCTGGAGTCAAAAGCATGAGTCTTCCCGGGCTCCTAGACCTCCTACATATAACTGCTCCCCAATATCATACTCTCCATTTCCCCTGCCTTGTTGAGATCATCTCCAACTTTCCTCTGGGCACAAGTAATACTCCATTATTATCTGGTCTCTTCACCTCCAATCCTATACATCTTCCTTTTCCCCACCCAACTGCTGATAAGACCCATTTTGACACGAGTCTCCTGTGTCCACATATTCAAACACCAGGGAATGACTACCCATGTTTCCCAAAAAATAAGACATCCTCCGAAAATAAGACCTAGCACATGGAAAGATAAGACATCTCCTGAAAATAAGACCTAGCACAACTTTGGGAGAAAAAATTAATATAAGACACTGTCTTATTTTCGGGGGAAAAGGGTAATACATTGTACTTCTAAAGTTACTTATGCAACCAGGGGCACACGGGTTTATGGAGAAAGTAATAAAAGCAAAGATTTAAAATGATTTATTAGACTTACTAACGCAAATTATTTAGAAGCACCTCTACATCAGCTCTGCCTCCTCCAATGATGGTGCTAATAGTCATTTTAGTCTAGGTCATCTTAACATCCTTTAGTTTACATTGTGTAAATGTTTGGTTTTAGAGTGTTTTAGAATATTAATCACCCCATCATGACAGTTAAACACCAACCCAATGAGATGCTAAGAGTGCTAATAAGAAAAGATGTATTATTATGATTAAAATAAAAGTAAAAGGGCTAAGAAAATGGCAAATGTGGCACATGCCACATAAGACAGGCTGACAGCTAGAATAAATCTGAAGGATAAAAAGTAAATCCCACTGAGTTAGAAAAGAATAAAGAGGTGAAAACCAGTTTCACTGGTGTCTCTGGTATTCACCTAAAAATATGTATGTATTTGCTTTTTAGGAGAAGAAAAGTAAAAGAATAAAATGGAACACTATACTCATTTCCTTTGACTTTCTAATCCATAAAGACCAATAAACAGCATGGAAGGAATAAAATCATGAGTAAATCATGAAGTGCTTTGGTATATCAAGGTCTTTTTATTTCTTTACCAAGGAAGCACATGAACTACACTTGATTCATTCTTTCCTAGTCAGTAGTCAACACAGTGACAGAGATTCATGCAGGGATGTGCAATATTTTGGCAATCATCAGATGAAAACTATTTAATGTTCCTTCTTGGATGCTCATGGGATGTTTTCCTATCCAAGACATAAAAATATCACTCTTACAAGCATAACAAAAAAAGTTTTCCTACCTATGTCAAAGGGAGAATTCCACATCCCACTTGAGTAAACTTGCAAATGATCTTTAATCTTAAAATCAAGTCTAATCTTAGAGCTACTGTTTATACTTAGTCACAAAAAATGGAAATGTTTAAATTTAAAAAACTGTTTTTATATATCCAAAAAGACTTATTCATAGCATTGATTTAATTCTGCTGTGTGGAGAGCGGCTACCGCGTATTGGCAGGTTCAAGCCTAGGACTAATGAGAGGGCATGGTCCTTTCGTGGCAAAGCTACAGACAAGTCCCAGCTTGGGGGACAAAGCCCTCCCAGCACAATCATACCCAAAGGCTATAGTTGTAAGCATGCCGTTATGGTCCGAACCTGTGGTCCTAGGTGCTAAGTGAGATAGACTGCAGAGGTGCAGCAAATGCTGCCAAAACAAAGCCTGATAGAGTTCAGGTGCATGTAATTGAGTAGATTCGAAACCCATGAGAACATTTTAAACGTCTTGACCACAGCTTTATTTTGCTTTGTGAAATGTGGCTATAAAATAAAGACTTGGCTGCAGTGTCACACCTAGGCCCAGCTTTAGTCTTGTCTGTCTTCTTTAATCCTTCACTGACACACATTCCCAATCCCCCCTCAGGTTCACCCCTGGCTGTGCTGAGCGTGGCTCACTGCTGATTCTAACACAATAGAAATTTGTTAAGTATTTTTTAGTGAAATGCTCTGACAACTTCAAACTGTGTTGCCTATTGGAAGCCCAGTTGCAAAAATAATCTAAATTGGTGTAAGGAGTTATAATCTTAAAATTAAATTGTTACCAGAAACAGTATTCAAGAGAAAATTCGGCTCACCTTAAGGGTAGGTGGCGAAGTGTTAATATCCAAATGATTTCTAAGCTGATTTCTTTTTAAAGTCAGTAATTAGGGAAAGAACTGAAACGTTTCCTTCTTATAAAGAAACTATAACCTGGAAGTTTATATGTCTTTAATTTGGTACCTAAAATGTTTCTTTCCATAGGAAAAAAAAAAAAAGGTTGGTTTTCAGTGCTGCTTAGATTCTTAAAAGATACCGTTTAAAATCATAAGGAAGCTGAATTATAATACCTATACTACTTGGTCACCCACTCATAAATGGATTCTGTACTAAAATTTATTTCTGATCCACAGAGGGTCACAACAAATATTTGGGGAATATTTTTAGAGGAAAGGATGTGGAGGAAGAGGTGGTATCTTTCATGTGACCTCTGGTGATAGGGAACAACCCAGGAGCCCACCCAGTGCCCTCAGCAGCTACCGGAAGGGGAGCCCTGCCAACAAGCTGAGGCTCCATTCTTAGGTGAAAAATCTTCTACACCATGCCCATTTGGAGCATTTCCCACATCCGTGGTGGGGCCCAAGGAGTTACAGACAGAAAACAAATACAGTGGGAAATTTGACCAGATGATGATTCTGATGGAAGAACAAATTTTAAGTCACTTATTGACTAGTCAGATCATTAGAAGTCAGATCAAACTGCATTGGAGGCAAGATTGTGAAGTGTGATAGCACAATTATGAAGGCAAGTGAGCAATAAAACTAGTTTAATTAAAGATACATAGAAAGTGTTAAAACAAATGAAAATTTTGTTTCATATGGCTAACAAATGGTATATTAAGACATATAGGCTTTGAAAAGTTATTAAAACTATCTGAAAACTCATCAACTTTCACAAGTTGTTTTCTTCCTTCTACATCTTTCATTCTACATCTTTCAGATCAGAAATTTCAAGGACTTACCTAGATCTTCCAGAGGAGTTGGTCCGATGTCTACCATTTCCTACGAAGTCGGGAGAACCTCCATGTGGAATAGCAGTTCTGTGTCCTCCTGGGTCCTTCCTAGAAGTATGATCTTGGTTTGAAAAACTAGCAATTTCCAAACGTTCCTAGAAAAAAGAAAAGTAAACCTACTTTAGACATAGGTCAGAAATGGAAAACAATCATGGTGTATAATTATGAATCCAGGAGAAAGAGCATATTTTATTTAAATGGAATGCTTTTAAGTATAATAAAGTTGAACTCAACTTTTAAAAGCTAAATGTCTGAGAAAACACTCATGGATACGGACAACAGTGTGGTGACTGCTGGGGTGGGGTGGTGGTGGAGAAAAGGGAGGATAAATGGTGAGGGACTAAGACTTGACTTGGGGTTGTGAACACACAATACAGTGTAGATGTTATATTGTGGAATTGTGCACCTGAGACTTATATAATTTTGTTAACCAGTGTTACCCCAATAAGTTAAATAAAAAGGAAAATAAATAAAAATAACAATTTAATATCCAAATAGTACAGTACTGGTTCAGGAACTGAGAGTCAGATTATAGTTTTAAATGGAAATGTTAGACTCTTGGAATATGCATAAAAAGTTAGAAAGAAGAGCAAGAGGAAAGGAACAGAAAGCATTCAAAGAGAGAGCAAAGTGGCAGATCAGACATAAAACAGGAGACCTGGTGGAAACAGTAATAACATCTTACAATTTGTACACAGCTTTGCACTTTCAGAGGGTAATATAGTTATCTGTGGGAACAGTTACATGAGACAGAAAGGAAAACATCATAAGTCCCATTTTAAGGGATAAGGAAAATAAGTCACAGAGAGTGTCACCTAAAGGTCACACACAGAACTCGGCAGTAAAAAAGCCAAAGCTTTAAGCCAGGTGCTGCTTCTCATACATCAGTGCCTCCTCCCATTACACCTCAGAGCTTCCTTTTAGTTAACTGCCATAATTTTAGAAAATGAAATGAGTAACTGGTGTTTTTATTCAACTGGACACAGGAAAAATATAGAAGAGGATTTTATCCTTTTTCACACTGCTTTGAAACCTATTCTGTAAATCCTTCTTTTCCATCACTGAAGGAAATCTCAAGCAGAGCCTTATAGTTTCCATTCACTCCTCAGTAAGAACAAATTGTTTTATTTTCCAAGTATTAAGAATTCCAGTCTGAGTTAATTATCAAAACTTCAATATCGTCTCTCTCTCGATTCATCTGATAGGTGCATAAGCCTAAGTCATTTACAGATAATATACAATTCTAAATTTTGCTTCCTGTTTGGAGATTCTTTTAGTGCTTTATTGTGAGTTTTACTCCTGAGGTAATGCAGGAGGGGGAAATATCATCAATGACAATAAAAAGATTTTATATTTAGCAAAATATAAACCATTTTAGTATGGCAGACTTGATAGTGTACCTGCTTGGCCATTTCTTTCCTTTTTTTCTCTTCTTTGATCTCTTCTTTCCTTCTCTGAATCTCATGAAGGATTTCACGTTGCTGAAAGAGATCATATTGCCATCAAAGGCCAATCTTTGAAACCTCTACAACATACACGTTCTGAAATTATAAAAACTCTTGTAATTTATAAAATTCACATGCCGTTTCTTCCTAAGAGACCCAAATACATGAAACCTAGTTCAAACTGTCATTGCATGAGTTTTATCAGAGTTCTTATGCAAGAGGCATTCCCTTTTAAATAGATATGAAGACTGGGCGAGGGACAGTGCCCCCACACTTCATGTCACCATGTAGAGAGACTTTTACTTCAGCAACTCTGTTGGCCTCTCCTGTCCTCCCACTTGTGACTCTGCCCCTCCTCTGTGATGTCTGCCTGTCTGCGGAGAACATGCACATGTGCTGCTCTCTGCCATAGGTCCAGGGCAGATTAGGAGGTGAGCTGTTCTCCATGCCTGGGACCAGGATGGCACGGCATCACCACCACAGCCACACGCTATCCAGCTGCATTCTCCAATCAGCTTTCTCAGTATTAAAAGCAATATGTTGATCCCCATCCAATCAACTCATGTATCTATTGCTCCACTGGGTCTAAATTTAGATAGGGAAGAGTAATGTGTTTTTATGAGTCCCCTGAAATTCAAGATTGTAATATCAAAACCATTAAGACACTCAACAAAAAGTGTAACAGCAATAATACAAAATGAGAAAAGATGGCCCAAGCTAACAGGCAGTTATAGCAATGCACCAAAACAAGATTGTTAGCTAAATATTCACTATCTTCTAATAAAAATCACCAATATCAGCCCTGGCTAGGTTGCTCAGTGGTTCGAGTGTTGGCCCTCGGACTGAAGGGTTGTGGGTTCTATTCCTGGCCAAGCGTACATACATTGGTTCAGGCTCCATCTCTGGCCCTTGGTAGGTTGGGGCGCATGCGGGAGGCAACCAATTGATGTCTCTCTCTTACATCGATGTTTCTCTCTGTCTCTCCCTCTCCCTTTCACTCTTTCTAAAAATCAATGGAAAAATATCCTCAGATGAGCATTAACAAAATAAAAAATAAAAAAATAAAATGTGCCTTCCTAAAAACAGGAACTTTAAATTACAAATGGTAACCAGGATATACAAGTAAGTAGGAGCTAAGCAATAACAAAATTAATGGGATCCACTAAGAGACAGCGTTAACATATAGGTGTGTAGGTGGAGACAGTCACATCCTATGGAAGCTCACGGTCGCCGGGGCTGGCCACCTGTGAGGACAGAGGTCTCACCTCCTGCTCCTCTTTCCGCTTGGCCTCTAACAGCCTCTGCTGCTCCTCCTGAGCCCGCCTTTCCAGCATTTCCTCATGAAAAGACTTGGGAGGGGGCTTGTTATGTTCGTTGAGAAATGACTGCACGTGGTAAGCCAGTTCAAATATCATCACCTAAACAAGGAAATGAATATCAACCAAAAATGGTCAAATAATGGGAAGGCAGGGTGCCAAGGAGAGACTATAGAAAAACATGCAGACAACCAGATAGTCACTTACAATAGGGATATTCATTTTGATATGACACATTCTGAATTCAGGACATGATACAATCACAGCGGATTCATCATGTTGCTATCAAGACAAATCACTAGATAAATAAAAAGCTTCACTTGTCTTTTGTAGTCCTGTTTTATTTATTGGCATTTTTTTGTATAATAAATCCGATAAAATATTTTTCTTACAAATAATTTGGTAAAATGTTTAAGACTGTCCCTGACTGGTTTGGCTCAGTGGATAGAGTGTCAGCCTGCGGACTGAAAGGTCCCAGGTTTGATGCTGGTCAAGGGCATGTACCATGGGTGCGGGCAGGGGGCAGCTGATCAATGTTTCTAACTCTCTATCTCCCTCTCTGGAAAAACCAATAAAATCTATTTTAAAAAATAAATAAAAAATGTTTAACACTGCATAAAAAAAAAACCTACCTTCCTTACTAGAAAACCTGTCTACATATGATAACTGAGCAGACAATAATCATTGCTAACATCAGCTTTTATCTATCTACACCACATACTGAAAATAATTCTATTGGAGTTCTGGAAGCAGATATTTAAAGCCCTCGTTATCTCCCTGCTAATAATGGGCCAGTAGGAGGCTGATCAATACCTGGACAGCACTTCATTTACACTTAGGGAAGCATTCAGACAGTACCAGAAGAAAAACGACCTCCTTCTCAGACAGTCATGTGACCATAGGAAGCCACTTTCCCCTGAACCTGGGAGTCATAAGTCATACTGGGGCTGGTGAGTCAATAGAACAAGGTGGCTGGGACCCCACACTGACTACCCCAACCCCAGAGAGGTCAAGAGTGCCAAGCTCCTTCTGCACCTCACGACCAACAGACTGAGATTTTTTCCCTTCAATTATACAATGAAGCAGCTTAAAAACTTTTATTTCAATTATATGTTTAAAACATTTTCTAAAGGGACTTAACACAGTGGTAAATAGTAATAGAAGTCATGGTACACAAGGATATAAAGTTATTGACTTAGGGAGGAAATGCAAAGAAACCACAGCTGTCGTAGGGGGAAATTCATGTATTTTTTTATTACACCAGAAGCTGTGGCATTCACTAGATCTACTTCGATTTACAATTGAGAAACACTAGCCTCAAGTCTAGGAGGCAAATTCTTTACAGAAAGGCTTTTTTTTTTTTGCCATGGCCAGATAGTTCAGTTGGGTAGAACACATCCTGGTATGTCAAGGTTGTGGGTTCAACCTTTAGTCAGGGCACATATAAGAATCAACCAGTTAATGCATAAATAAGTGAAACAACAAATAGATGGTTCTCTCTCTCTCTCCCTTACTCTCTTTCTCTAAAATCAATAAGTAAAAATATAAGAAGCTCCTTTAAGAAAAGCTGGGGCCCTAGCCAGTTTGGCTCAGTGGATAGAGCATCGGCCTGCAGACTGAAGGGTTGTAGGTTCAATTTCAGTCAAGGGACATGCCTGGGTTGTGAGCTCGATCCCCAGTAGGAGGCGTACGGGAGGCAGCCGGTCAATGATTTTCTCTAATCATTGATGTTTCTATCTCTCTCTCTCCCTTTATCTCTAAAATCAATAAAACTAAATATATTTTAAAAAACACACACAAAAAAAAGCTAGGAAAAGGTGGTAGTTTCTATTACATCAAAGAGAAACTATTTCTGTACAAGAAAGGAGCCAGGAGCCAGGTGGTGGAATGTTTTTCTTTTGCCAATCTGTTTAATTTAGTAGCATTTTCTATACAAACAAATCTGATAAACATATAATACTAGATGAAAACAATAACTACTTTCAAAACTGGCAATTGTCCCTCCCCCCATATTTACAGCATTCATTGTTTGGCTTCCATCAAGCTTCTCTCAAATGTCACCTTATCAGAGGCCTCTTCTGACCTTATTTACAACAGTCATTCTCATTCTCACAATACACGTATTAGAGTTCTCAAGAGAAAGAGAACCAACAGGATGTGGGTGTGTAAGTGTGTGTGTGTGTGTGTGTGTGTGTGTGTGTGTGTGTGTGTAGAAAGAAAGAGAGACAGATAGTGAGAGAGAGAGACATTTATTTTAAGGTATTGGTTCATGCGATTATAGAGTTAGAGAGCCTAATGAGTCCAAAATCTGCAGGGTAGGCTAAAGAGTTAATGTTGCAGCCAAGTCCAAAGGCTATCCATCTTCTGGAAATTTCCTCTTCTACGAAGGCCAGTCTTTTTCTATGTAAGCCCTCAACTAATGAGATGAGACCATCTACATCATAGAGAGTAATCTATATAGAGAGTAATCTGCTTAACTCAAAGTCTACAGATTTAAATGTTAATCTCATCTAAAAATCACCTGCATAGAAACATATAGAATAATATATGGCCAATCATCTGGGTTCTGTGGCCTAGCCAAGTTCACATATAACATTAATCATCACGACATCTATTAGAACAGCTACAGTGACATCAAATGCTGACAAGGATGTGAAGAAACTGGACCAGTCACATATTGCTGGGGGAACTGTAAAGTGGAACCTGTAAAAAATGGTGGTTTCTTAAAAAATGACACAACTACCATATACCCACAACTGCATTCCGAGGCATTTGTTCCAGATAAATGAAAACGTCTGTTCACATAAAAAGCTGTATATGAGTCTTGGCTAGTGTGGCTCAGTTGGTTGAGCATCAGCCTGAGCACCGAAAGGTTCTGGACTTGATTCCCGGTCAAGGGCACATACCTAGGTTGCAGGTTTGATCCCTAGCCCTAGTTGGGGTGCAAACAGGAGGCAACCAATCAATGTGTCTCTCTCACATCTATCTCTCTCTTTCTCTCTCTCTCTCTCTCTCTCTCTCTCTCTCTCTCTCTCTCTCTCTCTCTCCTCCCTCCCTCCCTTCCACTCTCTCTAAAAATCAATGGAAAAAATATCCACGGTTGAGGATTAACAAAAAATCCTACATGAATGTTTAAAACAGGTTTATTTTCAATAGCTCAAAACTAGAAACAATTCGAGATGTCTTTCACCTGGTAGATGGTAAACAAATAGTAGTACCATGAAATATACAGAATACTACTCAGGAATAAAAATTAAGAATTATTGATTCATGTAACCATCTGGATGAATCTACAGAGAATTGTACTGAGTTAAAACAAAGCCAATCCCAAAGGTTACTCACTATATGGTTGTACTTATATAATTTCCTTGAAACGAGAAAATTTTAGAACTGGAGAACAGATTAGTGGTTGTCAGGTGTCAAGGAGAAGGTGGAGGTGGGTATAAAAGGGTAGCTATAAAAGGATAACATGAGGGATCCTTGTGGTGATGAAACTATCTGACTACCAATGCCAATATCCTGACTATAATACTGTTCATAGTTTTGCAAAACGTTACCATAGGGACAAACTAAGGAAAGGGTTCATCTGATCTCTCAGTACTATTTCTTACAACTGCATGTAACTCTACAATTATCTCAAAATAAAAAGTGTAATTTAAAATAAAGCAAAAGAAAAGGGGAGGGCAGCAAAAGTAAAAACAAACATGTAGGACTATATTAAATTAAAAAATTTCTTCGCAGCAAAAGAGACCATTAATAAAATGAAAAGGCAACCTACAGATAGGAGAAAATATTTGCAAATCATGTACCTCGTAAGGGTAATACCCCCCAAAATATAATGAATTCACACAACTCAAAAGCAAAAACACAAACAATCTTATTTAAAAATGGGCAGAGGAACTCAATAGACATTTTCCCAAAGATGACATACAAATGGCCAACAGGGACATGAAAAGATGCTCAACATCACTAATCACCAGGGAAATGCAAATCAAAACCTCAATGAGATATCACCTCACCTATTAGAAAGGCTAATATCAAAAAAGGCAAGAAACTAGTGTTGTGGAGGATGTGGACAAAGGGAACATTTGTGCACTGTTGATGGGAATGTACTAATAAACTGGTGCATCCACTATGGAAAACAGTATGGAAGTTCTTCAAAAAATCAGGACTAAAACTATCATATCATGCAGCAATCCCACTTCTCAATATATATCCAAATGAAATGAAAACAGGATATTAAAGAGATATCGGCACTCCCAGGTTATTGCTGCATCATTTATAATAGCCATGACATGAAAACGAGCTAAATGTCAGTCAACAGATGAATGAATAAAGATGTGGAATATGAATATATAACATTCAGCCATGAGAAAGGACATCTTGCTAAAGTGAGGGCATTATGCTAAGTGAATTAAGTCAGACAGAGAAAGACAGCTATTGTAGGGTAGCATTTATACTATATGCAATCTAAAAAAAGTCCCCCACAAAAAAATAAATAAATAAAATAAAATAAGAACACCAAATTCATAGAAACAGAGACTAGAGTAGTGGTTACCAAGGAATGGGAGAATAGGAGAGATATTGGTCAAAAGGTACAAAGTTCTAGTTATAAGATGAATAACTTCTGGGAATCTAATGTACAACATAGTGATTATCATTAACTAGAGGCCCAGTGCATGAAATTCGTGCACTGGGTGGGGGGAAGAGTCTCTCTGCCAGGCCTGAGCCCTCTTGCAGCCCGAGATCCCTTGCTCCTTACCACTTGGTTCACTGCTCCTTAGCACTGCCACAGAGATGAGAGAGGCTCCCACCACTGCTGCTGCACTGGTGAACTGTGAGCCCGGCTTCTGGCTGAGCAGCATTCCCCCTGTGGAAGCACAACGACCACCAGAAGGCAGCTCTTGCATTGAACATTTGCCCCCTGGAGGTCAGTGCACATCACAGCGACTGGTCGTTCTAGCTGTTCCACCATAATGGTTGCTTAGGCTTTTATTATATAGACTAGAGGCCCAGTGCACAAAATTAACGCAGCGGGGGGGGGGGGGGAGTGTCCCCCCAGCCCAGCCTGCACTCTCTCCAATCTGGACCCCTTGAGAGATGTCTGACTGCCTGTTTAGGCCCAATCTTAAATGGGCAGTTGGACATCCCTCTCACAATCCAGGACTGCTGGCTCTCAACTGCTTGCCTGCCTGCCTTTTTAAAATATATATATATATATTTTATTGATTTTTTTACAGAGAGGGAGAGAGACAGAGAGAAACATTAATCAGCTGCCCCCTACTGGGGATGTGCCTGCAACTAAGGCACATGCCCTTGACCAGAATCGAACCTGGGACCTTTCAGTATGCAGGCTGACGCTCTATCCACTGAGCCAAACCAGTTTTGGCCCTGCCTGCCTTCCTGATTGTCTCTAACTGCTTCTGCCTGCCAGGCTGATCACCCCCTAACCACTACCCTGCCAGCCTGATGGATGCCTAACTGCTCCTCTGCCAGCCTGGTTACCTCCAACTTCCCTCCTCTGCCGGTCTGGTCACCCCTATCTGCCCTCCCCTGATGGCCATCTTGCAGCAGCCATCTTTTGTCCATATGGGGGAAGCCATATTTGACCACTTGGGGTAAGCTATCTTGTGTGTTGGAGTGATGGTCAATTTGCATATTATTCTTTTATTAGATAGGATAGAGGCCTGGTGCACAGGTGAGAGCCAGCTGGTTTGCCCTGAAGGGTGTCCCGGATTAGGGTGGGGATTCCCTTGGGGCATAGGAAGGCCTGAGCAAGGGGCCTGTGGTGGTTTGCAGGTTGGCTACAATCCCCGGTGACCCAAGTGGAGGCCCTGGTATCTGAGATTTATTTATCTTCTATACTTGAAACTTTGTAGCCTTAAGCAGAGGCCAAGGGAGTCCAGGGCAGGTGGAAAGCTTGGCTTCCCCCATAGCCAGGGGCAGCTCAAGCCTCCTGCTCTCTCCGTGGCCACAGTCATCTTGGCTGGGTTAATTTGCATGCTCACTCTTGATTGGCTGATAGGCGTAGCTTGTGGGTGTAATGGAGGTATGGTCAATTTGCATATTGCTCTTTTATTAGTTAGGACTAGTGACCCAGCTAGCGAAATCGTGCAGCTCCGCCCATTCATGTGTGCCCCACCCACCTGCCCACTGCTCAGCCTTGACACCCTAACCTCACCCAAAGCTGGAGCGGGCCTAGCCCCGCCTCCAACCCCTCTGGCCTTCTCTGGCTGCTTCAAGCCCTGCCCTCAGTTGCCTCAGGCTGGTCCTGCCTACTCCAAGGGCCTTCCTACTTCTGCCCCATCTCCAGAGCAATGTGGCGGCTCTGCCCCATCATGGTGCTGGAGGAGACCATGGAAGCCTCCTGCCTGCTACATTGCGCTCCTTCCCCTGACAGGTGGGCAGCAGGGTGCTCTGAGTGAGGACTGGTGAGGGGGGCACTACAGGCTCTCACCCCCACCTTCCCTGCCACAGAATGGTCCTGCCTCTTTCAGGTGCATCCCCACTTCTGCCCTGGAGCAACACGGCAGCTCCACACTCTGCCGTGCACGTGCACACAGCCTCCTGCTGATCGGTCATTATGGCGTGAGGGCATTACAACCATTAGCATATTAGCTCGTTATTGTATAGGATTATATAGGATAATCCTGTGCTGTAAAAAACAGAGCAAATATTTTTTTCCAAAAGAATCCTAAATCCTGAATTTAAGAAACCAGAGGATTCCATAGCTGAATTTAACACAACTCCATATTATTTCTCAATGAGACATTAGAGTCCCTTTACACTAGAAAGAACTTTGGCCTAGTTTTTTGTTGGGGCTGTTCTATAATCACTGTCTATATCTCAATGATTACTGAAGCTTGTGGAAACAGCAACTGAAGTCTGAAACAGAAACAGAGAAGACCTGGGGCTGGTCCTAACTTGGGCTTCTCAGAGTTTACAGGGCGGGATAGTTAAACAGAAGCTGCCTTGTGACTTTACGTGTAGGTGAGGATTATACGTAAAGGGAATTGGTCTGACCTAAGAAGCACACAGCAAGACTCTACATTAAGAAGTCACCTAGCCTGGCTGACATGGCTTGGTGGTTGAGCGTCAACCAATGAACCAGGATGTCACGATTCGATTCCTGTCTGGGCACATGCCTGGGTTACAGACTCAATCCTCAGTGTGGGGCACACAGGAAGCAGCCAATTAATGATTATCTATCATCACTGATGTTTCTATCTTTCTCTCCCTCTCCCTTCTTCTCTAAAATCAATAAAAATATATTGAAGAAGAAGAAGAAGAGGAGGAGGAGGAGGAGGAGGAGGAGGAGGAGGAGGAGGAAGTCGTCGCCTAGTCTAGCCCTCCAGAGAAAGTGGCATCGCCCAAGGAGAGCTCAGGTAGACCCTGATGTGCAGAGGATTAAGAAAGAATTAGCACTGAACTAAGTATAGTCCCATGCTCAGGTAGAGAAGAGACAATGAAGGATTAGAGCATGTTGCTAATTGTTGTCAAGGAGAATAATTAGATATTCTGATATAGAAAAAGGAAAAGGGGCAAAGTTTTGTCAGAAATCACTTATCTGTAAATATTTTCCAATATAAAGTTCAAATCAAGATCAAGTCATGGTGCCAGGTCCAACGGATGCAAAAAATATGGCCAGGTTCATCTTTTGGAAAGATTCTTAAGCATCAATAATATCATCTATATACACTTTACAATTTGTAATTCCTAAGTACTATAAATTAAAGAAATTCAAATAGCAATGTTCTCCTTTGTAGATATCAATAAGAAACAAAACATTCTAGTCAAAACTGAATTTAAGGTGCAAAGGAAATATCTTTCAGTCCCAGAAAAGGCAGAAAGGCAAACACTGGTGAACATGATGAGATTTTTTTTACTGTCCTCTTATAAGTCCATTTAAATAAATCTTACCTCTCCACAATGCTTTTTGGCCACTTCATCCAGGCGAGATTTTAATAAATTAACACTTTCATTGGACAGACCTTTGGCATTTTTTAACTCTATTTCAGGGACTCTGGGAAAGAAAAAACAAAAACGAGTTACTCGAAAGTGCAGCCTGTCTGCATTAATATTTGGGGATTTCATACAGGGCTCATTTGTGAACTTCTCTCTATACTCCCAGCAACATTTCTTTGCATCTCAAAAGGATTCCGACCACACCCCAGTAGCACAGTTGACACAGTGTGGATCATGGATTCACCTGCAGGCTATAGGAAGCGAGTGGGCTGGCCAGTTGGCAGTGTGGGCTGTCAAATGACCAAACTTACTGAGGCTTGATCCCAGTATCTCTCCAACTCCTTTGTCTCTGACTTCAGCTTACAATCTGATTAAAAGTTTCCACATCAGCTGAAACTGGTTTGGCTCAGTGGATAGAACATCGGCCTGAGGACTGAAAGGTCCCAGGTTCAATTCCGGTCAAGGGCATGTACCTTGGTTGCAGGCACATCCCCAGTAGGGGGTGTGCAAGAGGCAGCTGATTGATGATTCTCTATGATTCTCTCTCATCGATGTTTCTGTCTATCACTCTTTCTTCCTCTCTATAAAAAAATCAATAAAATATAAAAAAAAAAAAATTCCACATCAACTATTCTTTTACTACCTTTAAGAAAATCACTTCAGCCCTAGCTGGTTTGGCTCAGTAGATTGAGCATCAGCCTTCAGACTGAAGGGTCCTGGTTTTGATTCTAGTCAAGGGCAATGCCCAGATTACAGGCTTGATCCCCCATAGGGGGCATACAGGAGGCAGCCAATCAATGATTCTCTCTCATTATTGATGCTTCCACCTCTCTCTCCCTCTCCTTTCCCCTCTGAAATCAATAAAAATAAATATTTTTAAAAAATCACTCACCTGGCTGGCATGGCTCAGTAGTTGAGCATGGACTTATAAATCAGAAAATCATGGTTTGATTCCTGGTCAGGGCACATGCCTGGCTTGCAGGCAATCCCCAGTAGAGGGCTTGCAGGAGGCAGCTGATCAATGATTCTCTCTCATCATCGATGTTTCCATCTCTCTCTCCCTCTCCCTTCCTCTCTAAAATCAATAAAAATATATATTTTTTTAAAATCACTGTGTGTTATTCCAGTCTCAACCCTGATTTGCCCCCAACATCAATTACTCCAGCTCTGACAGCTCACCCACCAGACACCGAGTTCTTTGCTCTGGTCTGAGTGCTCCACATAAAGCAGGCTGAGAATAACTAGGCTGCATGGAGCCACAATGATCCATCTAGTATTCCCACAACATGCCGTGTCCAGTCACTCACTCTGATTGTAAACAAGGTGGAAAAATGCTCACTCACTCACTCACATATAAATCTAGTCGTGCATACTCTTCCAAAGATGCCTAATTCCCACACCTCTTCACCCTTATAGAGCACAACTCAGACTCAACACCGTCTACTCAAGGAAAGTACACAGCCGGCCCTCAGGATTCCTTTTATTCCCAACGAATAAACATCCATTAATAATTTGATTTTTACTGAACAAAAGATGACTGTACTTCCTACCAAACTTTTCTGAGTAATTCATGGTGTTTTACCTCAGCATACCCTTTACTATTCATTATCTACGAAGTTCACACAATGCTTCAGTTATAATAGGTTCTACAATCATTATCTATCTAATTGGATAGATGGGAATCTGAAAGTAGTTTATATATATGAGAAAAGGATAGAAGTACCACATAGCCCTGAATCTATGCATGTCTAACTCAGGATTCTCTCACAGGGGCATCACGGTATTTTGCAATAAAGGAAAGTGCCTGCCCCATATCATCTCAAAAGATAGCATCAAGGTATTTTACAGAAAAGGGAAGTTCCTGCCACAATCATCTCAAAAGATATGAATGTTCCCCCACGTCAAGTCTTACATAATTATTTTTAAAAAATAAAGCAAACATTAGTTAGCAGTAGTAAAAGAATAATGAAAAATTCACCTATAATCTATAATAATAAAGCTTAATATTAGACTGGACAGCTGAACCACCTTCCAGATGTCTTTCCAGACAATCTTCCAGGCCACCTTCAGGGTGAAGCCAGGGCTGTGAGGGCCGAGCCCCTTGCACAAATTTAGTGTATTGGGCCTCTAGTACTAATTAGATTTTAATAGAACTTTCCAAAGTTCTCTTTATGCCCTAACCACATAAATGTATGTAACTGATATTAGAATTTTTACTTTTTACAAGAATTTCCATGTTGTTGTTTTTTAAAAAGTCATCCCACAATATTTTTACCAAGTGTACACATCAAGACTACCTGAATGTAGTAGTAGTTCTCAACCAGGAGTAACCGTATAGTCACCCAGGGATGCCTGTCAATGTCAAGAGGGCCGAGAAGCTCCATGCCCCTCCTACACTTCTTGCCTATGCATCTCTTCCATGTGGCTATTCCCAAGCTGTGTTCTTTATAATAGACTCAGTAGTAAGTGAAGTGCCTTCCTGAGTTCTGTGAGCTTGTTCTAGCAAATTACTGAATCAAAGGAGGGGTTGTGGGAACCTGCAAATGTACAGCCAGCTGATTAGAATCCTGGTATTTGCAACTGGCCTTTGAAGCCTTGTGGGACTAAGCCTTAACCCCTGGGGTCTGCAATAACTAAGAAGAGTTTGTATCAGAACTGAGTTAAATTGTTGGACATGCAGGTGGTGTCAGAAAAATAAAACCTAGAGAGGCACTGTCTTATTCCGCTTTTATAAATTTAGTTGTTCTTTAATCAATTTATTATTTAACTTTCTACATACCTACTTTTCTGGGCACAGTGTTGAGAGCAAAAGAGAGCCACTAACTTCAAAGAGTTCATCTTGACCTATCATTATTTTCTTTCTTTTTTAAACATTTTTATTGATTTTTTATAGAGAGGAAGGGAGGATAGAGAGTCAGAAACATTGATGAGAGAGAAACAACGATCAGCTGCCTCCTCCATACCCCCCACTGGGGATGTGCCCACAACCAAGGTACATGCCCTTGACCAGAATCAAACCTGGGACCCTTGAGTCCACAGGCCAACGCTCTATCCACTAAGCCAAACCAGTTTCGGTCCTATCTTTATTTTCATATCCTCCATCATCTCTTAGTATAATAAATTCCGTAAGTTTACCACCTTCTTTGTAAGGCAGTGCTTGTTTTTATTTATCACTTTTTTTCACTTGGTTCCCCGCACGATAAGACCAAGTCACAAAACATAATCCAGGCCAATCTGTCTTTCCATATGGAATATCTGGGGGAAATTAAATGAAATATACAAGATACTTCAGAAAAAGAGCACTTGAGTCCTGATTGCTAAAACTTTTGCTTATCAGTGGTTCTCAACCAGTGGTGGTTTGGAAATATGTGGGGTTCTGTAGTTATCTCACTGGCTATAGGCCTTGCAGGGCGACTCTAAATCTTTCTTTATGAGTAAAGTTCCATTTAGCTCAGAAAGCTACTCCAAGTCCCAATTCATACTTTATTTTTATTTTTATTTTAAATATATTTTATTGATTTTTCATAGAGAGGAAGGGAGAGGGATAGAGAGATAGAAACATCAATGAGAGAGAAACATCGATCAGCTGCCTCCTGCACTCCCTACTGGGGATGTGCCCGCAACCAAGGTACATGCCCTTGACCGGAATTGAACCCGGGACCCCTCAGTCCGCAGGCCGACGCTCTATCCACTGAGCCAAACCGGTTAGGGCTCATGCTGATCACACTTTAAAACAAGTACACAAGCTATCACGTCTTTATCCTTTTCCTCTAGATGGTTCCTCTTTTCAGTTTATGAAGAATTAGACAAACAAAGGTTAACACATCAGAAGAAGCAAACAATTGGTCATGGAGCAAATACTGGTGTCTACAGTGGCTATTGTTCAGCTAGAAGCAGACTTAACGCAAGATAGGGCTTATGAAAATGCCTATTGCTGATATAGTTTTAATGACTTGCAAGTGATAGAAAATGAAATTTTAGATGTAACGGTGATAAGGAGGAGAAAATTCTGTTTATTTCAACCATTTTTTATGTGATCAAAAGAGAGAACTGAAATTACATCACAGCTATTTTATAATGTACTCACACATCTGGGTATGTCGGTGGGCATTTAACCCTCAAATCCACTTTTACATATACTTCTTCACCAGCCAGACCCTGGGGGTACAGAACTAAATTGATTTCAGGGGGCTCTTTAACCTAAAAGAGAAAAAGGGGGGAAAAAAGTATATATTTTTAATCTAGAGAGCCAATCATTACTCTGATCATCTTAGTTTAAAAGTTATACTTTCTAAATATTACATGTAATTATATCTGATATAGTGTTTGGTCAGAGTTTCCTAAAGCACAGTTTAAAAATAAAACCTGTGCCAAAGAGAATGCATTTCCCTTTTCAAAGTAACCGAAGGAGTGAACCAAAATGTTCCATGTAGCTTCCATTCATTCAGATGTTACTGAGTGCGCTGATGTCTGGGTGCTGCCCGAGAGGCTGGGAATACAGGGTTAACTTTAGGCAGACAACTCCTTCATACAAACTAGAAGACAAGTAAATACTTTGCAATAGTGGTGTTGTAAAGAGAATACCACAGACAAATGGAACATAGTGGGGAGAAGAAGATATTCAGACACATGGGGATCAGAGGATATTTCACTTGAGAGTTAAATACCGAGAATAATAAGCTGATATGGAAATCTAGAGCGCTTCAAAAATTGCTTATGCTTCCAACCAACTGCTTTTCACCAAATAACTAAATACTCTGTTGTTCTTTTATGTATTAATTACACTTAAAAAAAAAAGATTTGAGATGGTTTATATATTCTTTATATCATGAGAGAAGAAACATCTATTCCTGTGGTCCAGGCACTTTACCAACTCTGCAAGGTAGGTGCTGTATCCATTTATTAAGTATTTTTTATTGACTTTTTTTTTTTTTTTTTTAAAGAGAGAGTGTGGAAGGGAGTGGAAGAAAGAGAAAAATATCAATGTGAGAGTGAATTATCCATCAACTACTTTCTACATGCCCCCTACTAGGGATTGAGCCCACAACCCGGCATGTGCCCTGACTGGACTCTCGGCATATGTAAGACAACAAGTCTGGTTTAACAGCCTCTTTCATCTTAATGTAGGAAGTGAACAGTACATATGAACATAGCTAGCCTTCTTGGGAAATGGTATGGGGGGCCTCCACATTTTGAAGATATTCTTTTACTAATGGGAATGCATTTTCAACAGACTATTAATTGTTCCTCAATTAATTGTTCCTCATTCTCCCTTTATTTCTGTGGACTCTGAGAAAGAAGATCCTTATAAAGAAGGATTCCTGGTGGCTAACTGGGCTCAAAATTTAAAAACAGAGGCTTAGCAGCCATTTCTACACAGGGGCGTCTCATACAAACAGTACTTCACAGAGAAGCTTGCACTGACCCTCCAGCCTCTGCACTGAATTGCTTGACCCTATTGTTTCTGCCATCTGAGCCAGCCTTTATAAAGGAGTTGCAGGAATTCGATTTCAATCCATAGGACTGAGGCTTGCCCCATCCAATCTACCCTGTTTCCCCGAAAATAAGACAGTGTCTTATATTAATTTTTTTCTCCCAAAGTTGCGCTAGGTCTTATTTTCAGGGGATGTCTTATCTTTCCATGCGCTAGGTCTTATTTTCGGAGGGTGTCTTATTTTCGGGGAAACACGGTAGGTGGCACAGCTATACCCCCAGCAACATCTTCACCAACCAATCAGAACATCCATTCTGAACAATCAGGAAAGTGCCTTTCAGAACAATAAAACTGTGAGGCTTTGGAGACCTCATTTGCCAATCAGAGGTCAGGGGTGGGGGTATCTGGCTATATAAACCAGCTCCCCTATGGCTCTGAGAGTGCACACTTTCTTTTTCCACTGAAAACTAAAATGCTGAAGACGTCTTCCCAGCACAGAGCAGAGACCTCTTCATCAAGGAATATAGCAGAGGTAACCGGACCAGGGCCTAACCCCAGGGCTGCTCACAGCCATGCTGTTTTCACAATCATGCTGTATCACAATTGAGCTGTTTTGTGATAAAGTTTCTATCTTTACTGCACCTCAAAGTGGGGATTCCTAATAGCACTGAATGGACACCAATGATCATCCATTGGCATTAGAACTCCAGATTTTTTTTTTTATTGAACACATTTATCAGACCTTGTCCAAGATCAATAGTAATTAATATAAATGTGAGCGAGAAGTCCAGTCAGAAGGCTGAATATTGATATTTGCAGGGCTGAGTATCTGCATTTTATTACCTACTGCTGATGACTCAATGGCCTAAAGCAAACGCCCCAACCTGATAATCTTACTGTTCACCAAACATCACCTTTGATATGTCTGTTTGCATTCCTAAAAGGCAATTGTGTATTCTAGTAAATAAAAGCAGATGGGAACGAAGACTCAGTGAACTTGGTCCCTTGTACCAAGCTCACAACTGGCTTCTCCTATAATTTCCAAATTTATATTTCTTGTCTTGTGTATTAATTAGCCCTTTCTTCAAGTATTTGAACCCGAGGCCATGCAGGTCGTGACTTCACAAGAAGTTAAGCATAGCCACTGAGCTAATTTCTGGCCAATGAGATGAAAGAACTAACATAAGCAACTTCTTCATGCCTTTTTCCTTTCAGGTGACTGGCATGCATATGTGATGGTTGGAGTTCTGATAGCCATTTAGGACCATGAAAGGCACATTAAGGATGGTGAAACATCAATTTAGAAAAATCCCTACACTCCAGACTTTTACATGCAAAAAAGCAAACTTAGTAGTATCTGCCATATGTTGCTCAACTTAATCCTAACCAATATAGGTTCTAGGAGTGGAAGTGGAGTGATGGTGAGGAACAGTGATTTTAGATGTAACAGAATATTTGTCAGGTTTTTCTTAAGCAAACTGAGATGCTCCCCAATGTGTGAGGAAACTTTTATGTGAAACATGTTTAGAGTACCAAGCATTAGCTGGACTCCTGGAACTGAACATAACTTGATTAAAAATGGCTTAACAACCAAGATGCATTGGGGAGAAGGATGAGGTAGGGCCTCCTTCAAGGTTTTAGAAAATAACTAGTCATCAGAATTCAGTACTGGTAAAATCTTTGACTTAACCTGCATAAGAAAATAATTCCAGAAATATCTGCAAGCAAATAAACACAAAATACGAACATTTTTGAGATCACTAAACACAATGTAGATGTATCAGCTCCAAAATATACAAAATTCATGACCAAAAAAAATGATTTGAAGACGGAAAGTGAAAGTGATATGCAAACCACATAAAAAGTAGCAGCAATGGAGAGAAGGTCATATAATGTTACAATAAGATATGAGTAAATTCCCTTCCTAATGGCACCATGAAGCTGGTACTCCCTGAACTGTTATTAAAAAGCCCAACAAACCCTCAAGCATATAAAAAGTGAGAGACTGATGTAAATTCAGTCCTCAAACACGAGAGAGGTATTGCTCATTTGGAATTCATAAAAAATACCCACAGCTATTCAAGAAATAAACCCTAAGGATCTTAAATTATCCCCAGAGGATTAGAAACACCAGCATACCCCCGGAGGAGCCAATGCTGTTGTAATTCCTGCTGCTCAGTATGAATGTGCTTTCTGCAGGCACTTTCTAACACAAGCCCAACAAAATCAACTGGATGTTTAAGAATGTGCCTATTTCTGTTAAAAGTACTGAAGTAAAGGGTAAGACTAGGAAAAATTGAGAATTTTATCAGTCATTCCACACAGCAGCAAATTTTTTGGTTTCACCTTAGCTGGTTTGGCTCAGTGGACAGAGTATTGGCCTGTGGCTGAAGGGTCCCAGGTTAGATTCTGGCCAAGGCACATGCCTGGGTTGCGAGCTTAATCCCTAGTGGGGGGCGTGCTGGAGGCAGTGGATCAATCATTGATGTTTCTCTCTTTCTCTCCCGCTTCCTTTCTCTCTGAAATCAACAAAGAAAAATATATTTTAAAAAAAATTTTGGAGGGGTTTCAAGGCTAAAGCATAAGGGTTAATTATAGTCTGTGATTAAATTTTACTTGTTTACAAGATAAGCAGCAGTGTAAGGATAAGGTTTGGGAAATCAATTAAAAATACCAACATAATTTTTCATTGCACACAATATAAATATACTTAACACTACTAAAATGTACTCTTAAAAAGGTTAAGAGCCCTAGCTGGTTTGGCTCAGTGGACAGTGTCAGCCTGTGGACTGAATGGTCCTGGATTCGATTCCAGTCAAGGGCACATGCCTGGGTTGTGGGTTTGATCCCCAGGAGGGGGAGGCAGGAGGCAGCTAATTGGTTAGAGCGTCATCTTGATATGCCAACGTTGTGTGTTTGATCCCTGGTAAAAGAACATACAAGAATCAATCAATGACCCCTGACCCATGTGGCTCGGTTCGAGTGTCATCCAGTGCACTGAAGGGTTGAAAGTTCTATTTCCAGTCAGGGCACATACCTGGGTTTCGGGTTCCATCCCTGTCGGGATGCATATAGGAGGCAAGCAATCAATATTTCTATCACATCGATGTTTCTATCCCTCTCTCTCAAATATCTTCAGGTGAGGGGGGTAAAAAAATCAACCAATGAATACATAAATAAGTGGAACAACAAATCTTTCTCTCTCAATCTAAAAATCAATAAAAATTTTTTAATTAATAAATTTTAAAATGTTTTATAAAATCTTATGTTAAAAATGGTTAAGATGATAACTTTTATGTTATGTGTGTGATTTTTTTTTTTTTTTACCACAATTACTTATTTTTTAAAAGTTACACAATTCAAACCACATTCAGATGTTTGGCCTAAAATTGTTACCTAGGATTCTGCTAATCATATCTTTCTTAAATTTTATGGCAAGATTTGGCTCAACATGGCTTGCTGTTTCTCAGCTGTTTCAGATCTCATATCCTGTCATTTCTGTGGGGGAAACTAGTCTGTGTAAAAACATAACAAGTCTATCATAGAAATAAAGTAACATGTGCAAGTTGGGTAATCTGGGCAAACCTTTGGTTTTAAGTTTGTGAAGATATCAAAAACAAAAATCCCACAGCGTGGTGGTATAGTGGTGAGCATAGCTGCCTTCCAAAAACAAAAATGGGCCAGCCAACCTGGAGACCATTATGCTAAACAAAATAAACCAGTTGGAGAAAGATAAATATCATATAATCTCACTCATTTGTGTAAT